CGCAAATGCAGGTTCAGGCCGTTTATGTTTGTCGTGGCACTGAATGATTCCAACTGCCTTTAAGCATTCCTGATCGTGACAGAAACCGGATTCGACATACAGTATGTCTTCATCGCAGTTCAGGAACTGTTCATGATTTTGGCTGTGAAGATTGGTTTAACCTTCGTAGAAGTCAAAGGATCCGAAACGCTGTTCCATCCAAACTCATGATCACCAGTTTTGGATATCTCAAAGACGCATCCGGCAGTATGGAGCCTTTGTCGGCAAACAAACCTGAGCCTAAAGAAAATCTTGTTCCTGCTGAAAAAGTCGGGGAGCCCTGTCCTGACAATCCCGCTCAGCCTGTTTGTCGTGCCTTCCGTGAACCATCGAAACAGATATGTGAGGGTTGGGCACCGCCTCCAATAGCTATCCATGGTCCTAAGTTTCGTGATTTGTCAAATCAAGAAAAGAGTGACCTGAAAAAGCTTCATCAAAATCTTGGTCATCCGGACCCAAATGTTTTGGCAGAACACTTGAAGGCACAACATGCTGCTCCACACGTGGTGGAAGCTGCACGTGAATTTGTTTGCGATGCGTGTGCTGAATCAGTTGGTCGAAAGCATCAGCGTCCTGCCAAGCTTCATGAAGCTCGAGATTTCAATGATCTTGTTGGTTTAGATGGTTTCTACTGGTCCGGCAGTCGTGGTTTCCGTGTCCATGTTTTTCACTGTATCGATGAGGCTTCATTGTTTCATTTGGGTCGTCGCTGTGAAACAAGAAACCCAGATCAGGTGATTGATACATGGACAAGTTTTTGGACCTCATGGGCTGGAGATCCTGTTCAACTTTATACTGATCCAGCAGGTGAATTCATCTCGTTGGAATGGAAAGATATGTTGCGCAATCGGGCAACTCAGCCCTTGGTGACCCCTGAAGCATGGCAACGCGGCCGTGTTGAACGCCATGGCCAAATCCTTAAAAGGATGCTTTCACGCTGTGATCTCGAAAGACCAATCGAGAATGAGCAAGATTTTGATCGCGTTTTGCTGGCATGTTTTCAGGCAAAGAACGCCCTCACTCGTCAACATGGTTATTCACCTGAACAAATTGTGTTGGGAAAATCTTTACGTCTTCCAGGCAGTTTGACCTCTGATGACAATGCTTTGTCCCACACATTGGCCCTGAGTGATGAACCTGAAAGTGAGAGCTTTCGCCGCCTTTTGGAGATCCGTACCACTGCCAGAAAGTCCTTTTTGATGACTGACAATGATCAAGCCATCCGAAGGGCACTCCTTCGACGATCTTGTCCTACGAGAGGTCCCTTTGAACCTGGTCAACTTGTCATGTACTGGTTGAAACGACATCGTGCCAGTCGTCAAGAAGCTGGACGTTGGCATGGTCCAGCCAAAGTAGTTTTGCAGGAAAGCCAGTCTGCAGTTTGGATCACTCATGCTGATCGGTTATTCAAATGCTCCCCTGAAAGTTTGCGTCCTGCGTCATTGCGGGAATGGAACACAATGTATGGTCATGACTCTTCGTGGATTCCAGAGATTGCCCCACTTGACCCTGAAACCAAAAATCCCAATACGCCTGTTCCATCAGAACCCTATGAACCTAGTATTGTGCCTGACATTCCCAATCAAATTATTCGTAGCCAATCAGTAACTCCAAATTCCTCAGTACAACCCGAAAGTGAGCTTTTTCCTGATCCCAGTAATCAACTTCCAACAAATGAAGTAGCCGAACCTGTTGAAGATTCACCACAAAACGAAGAGCCACTTGACCTGGACGCAACCGATGAGCCTAATGATGGTCCCACAGAAAATGCCATGCCCATTTTGCATTGCAGTGCTCTGGACTCTTCTGTATATGAATGGACGCAGTTTGACCCTGGAGAAGCCACTCAAGACGTCCTGTTGGCCGATGATGGACTTCCCATGATTGAGAATCCACTTGAATGTGAAGAACAACCGTGTTTTGCTTTGTCCAATGAGTTAAGTGATAATGATGTCCATCGATGGGCTGCTGCTGACAAGCCTGAAGAGATGGCTTGGCTGGCCAGTGTAAGCAAACGTGCTCGTGCGGAAGTTTGCATCAAGAACTTGAATCTGGAAGAGAAACTTCTGTTTGAAAAGGCGAAAGATGCAGAGTTGAACTGTTGGATCCAAACAAGTGCATTAAAGCCCATCCTTCGAAAGAAGCTCAATCCTGAACAGATCCTAAAATCCAGATGGGTTTTAACATGGAAGTCCATCAATGAAGAAAATCCAGAACTCCCTCAAAGAAAAGCCAAAGCCCGTTTGGTTGTCTTAGGATTTCAAGACCCGAAACTTTGTGAAGTAGCTCGTGACAGTCCCACCTTAACCAGAGAGGGTCGTCACACCATTTTACAAACAGTTGCCTCTCGAGGCTGGACCTTGTCTTCTTTCGACATTAAGACTGCCTTCTTGCGTGGACAATCCGACAGTAACAATCCACTTGCCATGGAGCCTCCAGTTGAACTTCGCAGGAAATTGGGCCTTTCATCTGATCAAGTGTGTGCCCTTGTGGGAAATGCCTATGGTAGAGTAGATGCCCCTTTACTTTTCTATCAAGAACTCAATAAACAGCTGCAAAAACTTCAATTCACCAGACATCCGCTTGAGCCTTGCGTTTTCATGTTGGAGACTGGCAGTGGCCTGAATCGTGTTTTACACGGTGTCATTGGGACTCATGTGGACGATGGAGTTTGTGGCGGTGATCAGTTCTTTCATGATCAGCTGGATGCACTTAAGAAAGTCTTGCCCTTTGGCTCCTTTAAACAACGAAAGTTTGTCTTCACTGGGATCCATTTGGAGCAACTTCCTGACAATAGCATTCTAGCTTCACAGCAAGAATATGTGCGAAATATTCCCGCCATAGACATTGGTCGGCCACGGAGACAGACACCTGACTCCCCTGTGAATGAAGCAGAGCTTAGCAAACTTCGGGGTGTCATTGGAAGTCTTCAATATGCTGTGACGCATACCAGACCCGACATGGCTGCCAAGCTTGGAGAGGTTCAAGTTCAGATTTCCAAAGCCACTGTTCAAACATTGTTGTTAGCCAACAAAGTACTTCGTGAAGCTCAGGAAACAAGTGATGTTCGGTTGTGTTTTCGTAGCATTCCAGTTGAACAACTTACCCATGTCAGTTTTGGTGATGCCTCTTTTGCAAGTGCGAAACAACTTGCCTCTTTTCAAGGAACTCTTATTTGTGCTACCACTCCAGAGCTGAATAAGAATCAGTTGGCACCTGTGAGTCCGCTGACCTGGACCTCAAAGAAGATAGCGAGAGTTGTCCGATCAACTCTTTCCGCTGAAGCCTTTTCCATGTCTGGCAGTGTAGATCGTCTTGGTTGGATGAGACTCTTGTGGGGCACCCTCAATGTCCCTGACTTTTGTTGGAGGGAACCAATTCGGGGATTTCAGATGCTACATAGTGCCACCATAGTCACGGACTGTAAAAGCCTATATGACTTAGTTAGCCGCACTGCAATGCCTTCTTGTGAAGAATTTCGTACTACTCTTGAAGTTCTCTTGATCCGTGAACGTTGTCAAGAACATTGCGTTTTCAGATGGATTCCAACTTCTCTTCAAGTAGCCGATGCTCTTACCAAACCTATGGATCCTGCGTTGCTTCGCCAAGTCTTAGCTTCTGGAAAATTTCAGCTACATGACGAAGCTGAATCCCTGGAGAAAAATGCCCATAAGAAACAAGCCGTACGTTGGATGAAAGCTCAAACTGACGTACCTTCCAAGACTAATGTCACATCAAAAGAAAATTAAGGGAGTGTGATTTGTATGTAACTTGTCCACCCTGATGTTTGCCTTGATGTGACTGCATGTTAACCTTGCACACCACCAGCATGTTCCGATGGCCCATATGGCACAAGTGCCAGTGGAGGGTGGGCCGTGGTTTCTTGGTGTTGGACACCATACCGTTGCTTGAGCCATTTCCTTGGGAGGAAAATCTCGCTGTGCGGCTGCGGATTTCATTTGCAGAAGACAGGGATCTTTTTACATCATTTTAGTGGTGGGACCACTTTCATTTCTGACAATCAGGGATTGCTGAGATCTTGGGCTACCAGTGGGAAGGGGAGAAATCCCTTTCACACTATATATCTATATCTATATCTATATCTATATCTATATCTATATCTATATCTATATCTATCTATCTATCTATTTATCTATCTATCTATCTATCCATCTATCTATCTATCTCTCTATCTCTCTATCTCTCTATCTATCTATCTATCTGTCTATCTATCTATCTGTCTGTCTGTCTGTCTGTCTGTCTATCTGTCTATATCTGTATCTTTCTACCTATGAATCTATATCTATGTTTATATCTATATTTATATCTATTTCTAATATCTATATTTATATTTATATCTCTATCTTTATCTCTATCTCTATCTCTATCTAATCTAATCTAATCTAATCTTATATATCTAATCTTATCTATCTATCTATCTATCTATCCATCTTTCTATCTATCTATCTATCTATCTATTTATCTTTCTATCTTGTGTTTCTTTCTTTATTATTTTTTTATTATTATTTCTGTCTTTCTTCATTTCCTTCTTTCTTATCTATGCATTTATTTATCTATTGATCTATCTATCTATCTACTTATAGCCTATATGTCTTATGTGATACTTCTGCTGCAATATGTTTTGGGCAGGGGTTGAATCGAAGACACTAAGCAGACATGTTGTGCACCTCTGGACTCGACTGGGAACAGCTCGAATTGCTTGCGTACAAAATGCACTCCTTCGATCCGGCTCGCACGTTTTCAGATGGAACACGCGCTCATGGGTTGCTGGAAGTGAATTCTCACCAGACCCCCAAAACGATCCAACAAGATTGACAAGTAGTTTATCAATATTCATAATGAATCATCATGAATCCATACAATTTTCCAATATTTTCCACTGTTTCAGGCAAAAATCAAAGTTGTTTGCCATTTTTTTGGGTGGTTGCCTTGGTTCCCAGACGATCGGAGAAGAGCTGCCGGGTCACGTGCGAGTGGCCGCTTGTCCCTTTTTGGGTCGGGCAGTATAATTTATATATTCTTCGTTAATCAAACATGATGGGAATTCCACCATATATAGATATACATATAACATATGTATATATATATATATATTGTTCCTATCAACAGCTGCATTTAGTGCGAGTGTTTCCGTTGCCATGTTTGATTAGTGGAGGGTCATGTATGTGTATATAATTTTATGAATATAAATGACATATTTTAGGAAAAGAAAAGGACAGAATGGGACGATAACGGAATATACATGGGATGTAACATGAATATACATGGACCTAATGAGATATAACTGCGATAGTTTCCCATATTTTTTTCCAAAACCAATCCATTCCCATAGGATCCATATATGCTATATATGGTAACACTTACCATCAATATACCCCCAATGTTAGCATATATATATACCATACATGGATCCTATGGGATTGTTTCCGTTTGTGTGTCAACTGCTAGTGGTTGAAAAATGCTGCTCAGCTGAGGTATCCAAAGTGATTCCAGTCGATGCAGATGGAAAAGTGGCCAGAGGAACTCGGGAGACTGTGCGGTATTGACCCAAGTTACCCTCCGGTAAACTAACATAGCCATGGAAAATCACCATTTTTTATGGGTAAATCCACTATAAATGGCCATTTTCAATAATTTGTTGTATGTTTACCAGAGGGTATCTGGGTCGACCCTCGTCCTCAGCCACATGGCTGGGAAGCCCGCAAACTTTTTGTGGACATCTAAATGGAACATTCATCGAACTCAATGGTGGATTTCCAGCACGCCATGTTTGATTGCCAGAGGGTATCATTTTGTTTGTTTCATGGTAGCTATATGTAGCTATCAATCTGAATATATTCTGTTGCGACCGAACCTCGTGACGAAATGTGGTTTTATGTTTTTGTTTATTTTTCTTGGTAACTATCCCAAGATGGCCAAAAAAATCATGTGGTCACTCCGGTGATTGTCATCCAGGCCTATTTTTAGATGATCCCGACCTGTCAAACTGCTGGGATTTTTCTGGAAGCCGCTTCCGGCAGCTCGTGCCGGCAGGGAATGAGAAGACCAGCGGTGAAAAGCTGGCAGAGCAGATCTTTCAGGCAATGGTTGGAGATTGGCTAGGTACATCTATAGGTACCTGGGACATCTCGTTGTGGTGAAAATGAAGGGGTTCGATTGTAGCCATATTATCGACTAATTTTGAATCGAAGATATATCGAAGGTCAACATATTTTGGTCAACTGGGAGAAGTGCTTGAACCAACAACCTGCTTGTGGACCGTGTTTTTCATGCTGAATGAATCCAGGAAAGATGTTGCTAACTGCTCCAGCTGTGATGATGATCGGTTCTTTCACCCTGTCTTCAGCCGAGCCATGTAGCACACCAACTTCCAAAAACCATTATGACAGTTCGTTAGCGATTTCGAAAAATTGTTCGTTGTTCACCCCTAGTGACTCTATACATACTATTATATGCCTATTATATAGAGATATTTAATGTTATAATATAATATTATACAATAATATTATATAGTATTATATGATTATTGTGTATTGTATTATATTATATTATATTATTGTATTGTATTGTATTGTATTGTATTGTATTATTGTTATAGCAATACTAATCCCTTCACCCAATATTAAATGTCCCCTTTGAAACTTTGGTTTTGTATTGGATTTGTTCAATTTGATTTCAAAAAAAACTGAGTATTAATGAAATCTAGAGATGTGATTACATGGCTGTACGATATATGGGTCAGATGATTGTTCCAAATTATCTCATGTTACCAATCACCAGAGTTTTAAAACACAAATAATCAGGTAATCACGCAAAGCTGATTTGCTTCATAATCTCATTTATGTTCGAGTCTTGAACTACAAAACAATTTCCAGTTTTTAATCAATGATATATCTCATATATATATATATATCATACCAGGATGAACTAACTCATAAGTCACGTAAATCAATATAAATCAGGTTTTTGAACTAGGGCTGGATATTGGATTGTATGAGTGGCTATGATTTTGATACCGGCAATCCGATCGTAGGCCGCCTCAGATCCATCCTTTAAGCCTCAAGTGGATGTGACCTGTGCAGAGGCGGGTCAGCCCCAGATGGTACCCGTCATAGCTGGTGAATGGAGGTTGATTCCCCAACATTTAAGGAAAAAAATAGGTTTTGAGCCATCCTGGTAAGAAATATTTAAGGGATTATCACTGCTAGAATTGTTTTTTTTCCATTTTTTTTTTCACGTGAAGAAGTGATAAGTCTACTGACAGATGGGAGAAGCACAGGTACGTGACTTATGATGAAGGATTACCAAAATCAAATCACAGCAGGGATGGTGTCAACCAATCCAAAGCTGCACAGCAACCCTCAATATTGGCCGAGAAGACCCATGGTTTCTTCTGCCAATTGCCCGGGAAGTTTTCCCATTTCCTCTTTATTGGTATAATATATATATATATATTAATATGTATATATATATATTAATATGTATATATATATATATTAATATGTATATATATATATTAATATGTATATATATATATATATTACATTCCAACGTCAACGGAACCATAGCGCGTAAGTTCCCCCAGCATCTTCATTTGCCAGGTATCAGCTGGCTGTGCTGGGCAGCTGTCGCAATTCTTCTGGGACTCCAATCTTCTGAGTCCTCCTGAAGGACCTCAGTCTTCAGAGGTGAGCCGTGGAATCATGTGGAATCTATGGACTCCAGCTTGTCAATGGCCAGAAACCTAAATTGGAGGTACCTGCCCTACATAAGGATCAAAAGGCCTACGTAAGGGTTATTGATTGGAGGATATATCTCCGAAATATGGCATCATGTACCTTTAAGGTCCAAGCAATAATGAACATATTTTGATGGCTTTATACCAACAATTTATGGTAAAATTGGGGATGGTGGATCCTATTGATGTTGCTGTACAAACATCGATTAATCCCTGATGCTTGTAAAAAGTTTGGTTCATGAGTGGTTGTGCTGAATTTCCATGAGCCATGATCTCGTGGTTCTCCAAGGGGTATCAGTCGCAAATGCCTGGGGAGAATCTCCGTGATCTTGGAGGGTCACAGCTGGTTTCACGATTCGCGTACAGAATGGCTTGTATATCTAATCAATATGTGTATTCGCATATGTACTCTGCTCATAACCATACATATAATTACTTGTACGATCTTATACATATTTATTACATGTAAATTGTTTTTTTCGGTCGCCAAGTCGCCTCTTCCATTTGGGGCTTGATGGCCATTCCCATTCTATCTTGGCCAACAAATGATGGGATGACCCGGGGTCCAATATGGTCTATGGTCCAATCATCCAGTAAAGTATATAATATTATATAATAATGTTTATAGCTTCTTTTATTTTCAACATGTTTTGTTGGTTGAATGTCAAAGTCATTGTTTGTTGCAACAAACACTATTTGTTATTGTTGATTCAGGATACTGTGGATCAGTGGATGCTTGCAAAATCCTGCACCAGTTGGTAGATGGTAAACATCTTAGTACAAATTACAATCCCATTATATTTATATCCAGTGGTTCATACTTAAGTTTCCAATAATGGCCAAGTGGTGCAGGAGTTCGCAACCATCCACAGTATTAATCTCATGTAACTTGACCGAGATGCCTTCGGAGGTGGTTGATATCATTGTGGCGCCCAACGTCTTCATCTCCTGGCGAAAGGTTTCTTGGCGGCTGGACATGCTAAGCGTTTCGGTGCTGCCCTATACTTGGCTGAGTGGGTTTCGTTCACGAATATGTCACCAGGGTTTGTGGTAGATATGTATTTTATATAGTATATTATATATATAGAGAGATAATTCTTATAACTGAAGACTGGAGGAACACCACATTGTAGCTGGGTAAACCTGGGATGTGTACTTTAATACTTTGCTGTTTTGTTTTTTGTGATGGGAACATGATATGTACAAACTAGAAACAAATGCACGTATCCAAGATTGGCTATGGTTGTAATTCCTGTTCATGCTGTCCTCCGTTACAAAATATCATGGATCGTAGATTGGCAGTCAAAATTCGGGACCGGGCAAGACCCAATTGTTTTAACAGCAAACCATTTTGAAGAGCTGGCATGTTGACAAGTATCCTGGCACCTTGGATCGATGACAGTCCATGCCTTTTTGCAGTGGTTTTCATGAACTCTATTGTTTTTTGGTTCGTTTCAGCGGGTGCAACCTCTAGAACACTTCTGTGATATGGACATGGGCCTGGGTCAATACCAAACAATTGGGACAACACGGGACAACAATTGATTGTTTGTGACATGTTGTGAGTATCGATAATTGTGTTTCTTCAATTCTTCATTAATTGAAAACAACATACAGAAAATCACCAGCCAAGATTGCCAATAATCAACCATCAATAATCTTGTCCCCACGTCTTTCCCATCTACCATTGTTGTATCTACTTGCTAACCCCAACAATGTAACATAAAAATCCTACTTATAAGAATATAGTGAATGATAAAAATCATGTCCATCTCAGATAATCTAAGATAGTGGGGAAAAAGAAACTAGATGTTTTCTATCTCTTTTGGTGGTTGCTATATGCTGCTATCGTGCTTTGTTGGGGTATTTCCACGTCGGATCCCAGCTCCCAGCTCCCCGGCGTGGAATCCGAGGCGTCCCCCGAGGGGCGAGCCGTTGCGCGAATGAGGGAGATTGACTTGGTGCAGAGAAATGGGTGCCGAAACGGAGAAATCCAGGGGGGGGATTCACTGTCACCATCGATATCCATCGCGGGATATAACTATATCTGTCCAATCCAGTGGTCACCATTGGGGACTTTAATGGGGATAGAACTATCCGGAAATGGTGAGGATGACCGGTTGTTCGGAGCTATTTGGATTAGATTAGTGTTATTTTCTGGGTAAAAGAACCAGTTGGACCGGAGCTACCAAGTGAGTTTCCCAAGCACATGATAGTCCTGGCAATCTGGCGTTTATGCTCTGATTAATTGTCCCATGGCTAGTTTGAATTGCCAGAGTTTATTCACAAATTGTGGATGTCGCCAATATGGCGAACATGGCGACAAACCGTGAGATTTGCGAGTGCAGGATTCTGACCACAATGTTGGTTCCGCACTTGGCTATAGGTGACCAGGTGACCAGGACATACTGTGATATATATGGAATAAAACTAGATGACAAATGATGAGACAATTTCAATTTCAATATCTCAATATCTAGTTCAGTGAACATAATAATGGCCCCAGAAATGGAACGGCTGGAAACGAAGAATTGATCGGAATTCTTCTTCTTCTTCATCATCATCATCATCATCATCACATGGAATGATGTGGGTAAAACAATGATAAACCGTCCCCGATGTCACCATGAATAGGTGTTATAAACCATTCCCACATGGGTGGTTTCATCATCATGTGAGCTTGAACCATTCCCTGTGTCAAACATGTTGGATCAGTTGGTGATCAACGGTGCCAGGTCCACTCAAGTCTTCACTTTCCCCAGCAGTGGGGCATGCCCAGCCGTTGCGAGGGAACCAGACCTCATCGTGGTTTAACCATCATTCAGTGGGGATAGTCGCCGATATATTCGAAAAAATACCGCCAATTTGGGGGGACCCCAAAATGAACAGATCCGGAAACCGTTTTTTTTTTGGGGGGGGCGTGGTATGTAATATTAGGAGGGTATTCCAAGTCAAAATTATGGAATTCTACGAAGGAATCCCAACAATGCATCTCATCCCCTACATTTTGCGGGGTTTCATAGTTGAATTTCAGCTCCTTGAGGTCTGACCAATCAACTGACATAGCTGAATTGTTCTTGATCCATGATTGTCATTGAGCAGTGCACACTAGGAGGCCACATCGCTGATGAAAACATTTGCAAGGAAGACCTGTCTGCGCATTGAGACTCCCATTTGACACTATCTGATATGTTGCAAAATATGATTGGTGGATCCCTTTCTGCAGCTTTAGGTTCAAATTTAAGATCCAGACATCCAAAAAGGATTGGGATGTCTACCATGGATGTGGTCATGGTGGCCGATGAAGCTTCGGCGGCTCCAGCGCTGCTGCCGTGGGTGGAGAAGTATCGCCCCTCATCACTGGACCAGCTCGTTGCACATGAGGACATCATTCGAATGATCGAGCGGATGATGAAGAAGCAGACCTTGCCGCACATGTTGCTGCACGGACCACCCGGTACAGGTGCGGTCTGGGGGGAGGTGGCCGGTTTGATATGAGCAACTGTAACTGCAGATGAGGGTAATGTGATGACGATGGTGAGGAATCCTCAAGAAGGCGCTAGTGTTTTGTGTCTAGTCAATAGTTCATGCTCTTGAGATCTCTTGGGTTTGTTGATGACAAAAAAAATATAGTCAATTGATGTCAATTCTTGATGTTGGCTGTGAGTAGGTACCACTATCATGGCTTGGTTTGTTGATTGTTACCCCAATTAGCACATCTTGGGTGCAGCCACCGCGTCCTGGTCTGCAATGGGGAAGACATCCGGAAAGCTTACTGAAATTCTAGGGACGATGGTTTAACAATGTTTAACATATAGATTGACATGGCCTATTATTGGTATGTTTTAAATGGTTCAATTTCAAGTGATTTAAACAAAAAAAACGCAAATTCCAATAACGTTTCCCTTAAACCATCTGGGTGACAGGGCCCCATGTCTTCAGGCAAGACCTCGACGATCATTGCGCTGGCCAAGACGATGTACAAACAGCGCTACAAATCCATGACCTTAGAGATGAATGCATCCGATGCGCGTGGCATTGATGTCCCTGTGCAACAATTCTGGTGGGTTTCCAGTTTTGTCAGGATGATGAGACACAAAAAGAAGAATGGAAAAACTATGAAAAACTGATGCTTTCAGCATGTCGAACACCCTGAACACCTTAACAACAGGAGTGTTGGGAAAAGAAGCGGAGAAACGGTTTGAGAGATATCAAGATTGACTCCCATACCTTGCCTTCGCTATTTGGGACCCTGGCCCTTTTTTTGGGGGTTGAAGCCACCAAGTGGAATAAGCTGCCGCTGGCAGGTTGTCCGTGAGCAAATCAAGACCTTCGTCAGTGTGAAGCAGCTCTTTGCTTCGGTAGAGGGTCAACCAAAGCTTGTGAATCTTGGTTGAGTTTATATGGATTTATGCAAGGTGATTGGCTGTTGTTATCTCGCCACACAAAATATATCTATCAACATGACTTGGTGAATCAATCCCTGTATTTTGTAGTAAATTATAATGATTTCCGGAATCCCTGTGTACCCAGGATTTTGGACGAGGCGGACAACATGACGAGTGCTGCCCAGTTTGCGCTGCGTCGGATGATTGAGCAGTACGCCTCCAATTGTCGATTTATTCTCATTTGCAACTACAGCAGCAGCTCGACCGGAAAACAGCAAAACAGCCATTCTGAATTGATCAATGAACCACTAAAAGTGGACTTTTATTTTTAACATGTTTTAATATGTTTTAATATATAGGGTGAAAAGTTGGAATATTGGATGTGATGGGGAACAAAATCATCAAACTAGAATCCTGGCAACACTTTTCGGCAACACTTTCTATTTTTGTTTGGGGGGGGGTGCTATAGACTCTGATCATTTGCTGTCTCAACAAATGAAATAATATGGGATACGGACTTCTCAATACTTGTCAAATATTGTTTGGCCGTCAAGGGTCAACCATTGAGTCAACCATGGTACCATGAACCAGGCAAAATCATTCCGGCCCTGCAGTCGCGGTGTACGAAGTTGCGCTTTGCTCCCTTGAGTGAAGAGCAGATCTTGGGGAGGCTTCATCACATCGCTGACTGCGAAAAGATTCATTTGAGCCAGGATGGCGCCAAAGCAATCGTGAAAGTTGGTGGTGGTGACATGAGAAACTGGCTTGCAGTCTCACATTTTTTATATTTTGTGTTTGGGTTGTCCGAAAATGGGGTCCCCCAAATCATTCAAGTCAGTAGATCATGAATTAGTATTGAAACCCATGGTGACACACCCGCTATACATATATATATAGGTTATATATATGTGATTATATAGATATATATATATATATATATGTATCCATCATATAGATTGGAGACAATTGGGTATCTTTGTTGGATGATGGTCCCAAATTGACTAATTGCATGAATGGTTGTAATGTTCTTTGGATAGTTTGCACACATTTACAGTACAGCGACCACAAAAATGATTGAACTGCAATTTCTCAATATGTTGTAGTATGTTTATGCTTTTCATGTGTTTATTTATTTGTCTTTATGGCTTAGCATTTGAAGAACCAGGAAAAGTCATCAACATCTTCCAGACTACGTCGATGGGTCACAAGGGCCATGTGGATGCCAAAGCGGTCTATGCTTCGACGGGGGTGCCATCTCCAGAGGAGATCACACACTTCCTGAAGACCTTGCTGAATGGATCAGTGCCTTGATTTTGCCAGACGTGTTTCTCCAGAAATGTCCAGAGATAGAAGATACCATGGGATGCCCAAAATGATGAAGCATCAACTGTGGGGGGTACACGATTTTCAGACCCAGATCTGCATGAAAACAACGCATCCATTGGTCTATTGAAGTCTATTGTGAAACTTGGGGGTTCTACTAAGTTGTAAGAAAGGGATCTGCCAACAATCCATCATTGGAATTGAATAGCTGCAAACAAACCAGTAGAGTCAACTTTGGATGGATCATTTGGTGCTTTATAGTTGCTTGCTCTGGACTCCAAACGGCGATTATACTAGAGCCAGAGAAACTAAACTTGCTATGATCTACATAGAATAAATATACTATACATAGATATACATAGTCACTATTACTATGATGTATTTCTATGATGTATATTTCTGTTTCTCGTTGTTTGTTAATCGATGGCAATGAAATGCATATCTATATATTCATGAAGATGGTTGCCATACGTCCCATCTACAGCCCTTCTTGACCATCTCATGAGGTGTCCTTTGCAGCCAGCCTCAAGTCGTTGAAGGCCATGCTCAATGCCAAGGGCTATGCATTGGACGATTTTTTGCAGCTGATGCACAAGGCAAAATGCGGGGAATCATTGGGGGGAAACATGGATGGAGGGCCAATGAAACACAATGAATGACTTAAATACCAACATGTGCCACCCAATGATTTTTGATGGACTGGGTGATATCGCTTGATATATTCTTGCAGTATGTCTGGGAGTCAGAAGCCTGCTGCGAAGCATTTACGTTTGTTTCCATACGTATGACTGAGCATCTCGACAGGAATGGTACATATTTCACGAAGTGAGTGGTTATATGCGAAATGGTAAAAAGCTGGATCCTATGTCCATATTTGGGGGAGGGTCATCAGTCTATTTCATAGTTTTTTGATGGTTTTGGTATACCCACTTCGTTTAGATGATTCCCACTATGGGACGGATGACCCACCCATGTAAGTGGATCATGGGACACATGCTCCATTCAGTACATCCCCCATGGGCTAAAACACTTGGTAAATGGAGGTAAGGAATGCTCACCTCCAAATCATGGTATCATAGGTTTTGGTGCATCCTCACTTGGTTTTATTGTTGCCAAACTGGTGTATTTTGGTCCCATCTTCGGCATGTACTACACGGTGAGGGATCATGACGGCAGTTGCCGTGCCCAAATTCACGGTTTCCATGTTTGCGGGTACCCTCAATTAAGCAAGTGTGACAATTGAAAATCCGCCAGTTTGATACAGGAATATCATCTATTGATGCGGTTGTTCTTGATTGCCAGGTTTGGTTCCTAGGTCAAACAATACATCCCAAACATAGAAAAATGCCTTCTTAGAGTCAGAGGACAGGGTACAAGGATGAGTCTCCACCCGTTGCTATAAACTACAGACAAAGTTGGAATGCAGTGCAATACCGATTGATTGGAGGTGACTTCACGGTGTTCGAATTCTTACATCGGTGTAAGCATGTTTGTTGCCAAACAAACATTTTCCAAATTGCAGAACTAATATGAACTAACCAAACTTGCAGTAAGTATAGTAATATATAGTCCCACACAAAAGCATATTACAACCAAACTACATCCTAATATGTTTGCCGTATTTTGGTGCCTCATTTTACCCACATCGCCAGGAGTTGATCCAGCAGGATCTGCCGGTGCGACAGCGGCTGCATTTGACGGTGCAGCTGGCAGATGTGGATTGGCGCTTGAAGCAGGGCTGTGGGGATTCCATTCAGCTGCCTGAAGTCGATTTCTGAAACCTGATTTTTCTTTCTTTTTTTTTTCGAAGAGATGTTTTTGATGTTCTGTAGTGTTTTCTCATCTGTTATGTTGATGTTGTTGATTATGTTCCCTTGTTTATTCCAGGTGGTTGATGTTGGAAGATCATGGTCCATCCTTTTTGTTGGCCATGTTTTTGCTTCATGCCATTTGGATATTGCCATCATTTGGGGAATCTACTGGGATTAGGATTGTCTTTCTAATGACCGATCAAGCTCAAGGTTGGGTGCCATCATTGGCATCTTCCAAGAAGCGAGGGCATTGGGAGGAGCGTGAGTCGCTCGAGCCGAGCCAATCCGGGGTCTGATTGGCGGTGAAAAGCCCTGCCCGCTGCAGCTGTTGGATCGACAGATACCATCTGGTTATGACTAACAGTTTGCCATGGAAAATCACCATGCCATTAATAGGTAAACCATCTATTTCTATGGGCCATCTATACCATGGCTATGTTAGTCATACCCAGAGGGTAGTAATGAGGTAAATCCAAGGTTGAATCTGACATCTCCTGACATATCCTGGCATCCCAAGGATATTCTGGTGGTTCTCAATTCAGGTGAGGTTCGAATCGATTGCATAATATGTTTGAAGAGAACTGAAACCATTAGTATTGAATTTGGAATAATCTGACTATGTTTGGACTTTCACTTGTTCAATTTGATGATATTTCGTTGCTCGAGGCCGCAAAATCTACATTTGCAGTGTGCGTGTACCTCGCGGGGGCCTCATCTAGGGATTGCACAGCATGGTGAATTGAGCCCTCTGCTTCAGTGGGAGTTATTACATGAAGTTTTGGCACAATCACATCGCCTGTCCACACACAGATCTATGTTGTCAAACTTCAATCATGCTTTTAAATTTTTGTTTCATACAAAAAATGGCCCATAACATCAAATCTCCTCCAATCATACATGGCTATGGGTCAAAACCCTATGCCCCTGGTGAACATCAAAATAGCTGGTAAATGGATGTTCATCCCCCTAAAAATGGTATTAATAGGTATTGATTCATAGCCACATGTTCATCATATTTCCCATTAGTTCCCATGAGTTCCCACTGGGGCAGGAGAAGAGATGAGGACTTTTCTGGAAGCATGCGAGGCCCGCTGCTCCTGCAGCAGGGTTGCAACATGTCTCCAACTGTTTATATCCAGAGACCCTCCAAAGAAATCGGACATCATTCAGCCAAAAAAACTCAACCACTGAGTAGCATCGGATTTTTGACTTAGCTCTTTTGAGATACTTTCAACGTTCATGTTACCCTCCGGTAAACTAACATAGCTATTCAAAAATCACAATTTTTCATGGGTACACCATCTATTTCTATGGGCCATCTATACCATAGCTATGTTAGTTTACCAGAGGGTACATGTTGCTTTTTATGGTGATTTCACTTGGCCAGTCAAAGGGATCCAACTGGCAGGATCCGGTGTACACCACCGGGGATCAAAGCCTGGCTGAAGCCATGTGGATGGGCAAGGTGGGAATCAACACCGTTTCGTAAGGCCCCGAAGTTGATGTGGAAACCACTGGAAACCCATGGGAACTCCTACAAATTCATCAACATTTTGGGAATTTGTGTGAGCCCCCCTAAAAAAAATAGCAAAAATTGGGGGCCGCATCGTACTATGTCAATCTATATCATCTATATCTCATGGGAAAATCATCTTCATGGTCCTCTTTTTGTTGGTTTCATGTGAAATTTGGGGGCAGTACCACATAGTACCAGCCATGACTTTCAATGTGTTTTTTTGTTTGTGAAAATCAGTGTCGAATCTAGAAGGCTTTGACCTATGCTAAGGTGGTTTCATGTGTGGTGAGGAATGGTCTCTCAACCTTGGGGTGAGGGAAAAACCGTGTAGAAAGGGAATGGTTTACTACTCAGCATGACCAACCTCACACATGTTTTTTTGTTTAAATACACCATTATAATGTTCACATCACATTACATTCATATTTGCTAGCATTTGTTGTCTTACCATGTCTTTCCCCAATTAAAATTGCCGAATTAAGAAGCAGTCACAGCTTTGTACATGGGACATGTGGGTTTAAAACACAACATGAAAGATTAAACTAGTAGATTTTTCAGGGACCAGCAGGTTGCTGTTGAAAGGTTAGTGAATATGGGGTACACAACGTCTCTATGCAAATCAGGTCAAGGTCGTATCGGTCGTATCCAGATTGAAACAGTGCAGTTCAAACAGACAGCTTCGCTTCAGAATCTCCCACTGGAAGACCCCAGTAGTGACCTTCGAAAATCCTCGCAGGTGCCATGTGTGAAGCCTGACGCCAAAGCTACTTGGATTGGTTGAAGTTGGATACGCCACACCCAGATGCTCTCTGAGTTCACAGAGAGTTTCTCAGCAATCCCCCAAAAGAGTGGAAATAGGGGTTTCCTAAAATTGTGGTACCCCCAAATGATCCATGTTAGATTGGGATCTTCCCTTATCAACAATCCAGCTATTGGGTACCCCATTTATGGAACCCCCCAAATAACTGATAACTATCTCTCGTCAGAATGGAGCAACTTGCGATTGGACACGCACCGCACGAAGTGAATGATCTTCATGGTTGAAGGAGGTCTTGACTCTAAGTCAATCACACCATGACATTTCGTAACTAGCAGCTTATCCAAGTATATGAAAGTCAACTGTTTGTTTAATGGTGTCAATCCCGGTTATATGAAAGCCTGAGTTGATGAATTATTGATGGTTCCCCTTACCCTTACGATTGAAATTATCAGCTTCTTTTTGGACATCCCTGTGAATCAACTTGCCTTTTACTAATCTCGTGTCGACACTTAACTGACTGGTTGATGCAGATTCTTTTTTTCAGAGCATGGGCAAAGGCTTAGCATCTCCAGAATTGAAAAGACAAAGTATGAAGTCATATTCCCATGATTTCCCATGTAAGTCAAATTCTCATTTCAGATCATTTGCAGATACCTTTCAACTTCAATTCATCCCCGAGCGCCGAGTCCAGGTTCAGCAGTGGCATTTGGCGCTAACCGCCAAGATCCAGGGTGTTATGGAGAAAGGCACGACACGGTTCTGGGACCGAGCGGTGAATCAGGGATGATGGGCGATGCTTAAGAGTTCATGGGTGATGACAGCCTGACAACTCATTTAGTTTGCTCGTATTTCAAAACTGGTATTGGTGTGACTCATGATTATTGATGATTATACTACTGATGATGCTACTGTGTTCTTGCTATGATTGATGATGGATTGATTGATGCCCATCATGTCTATGCTTCTTGATGATGAACATTATCCAGTAAATATCTCATATGTTTTTGATAGATGATGGGTCAATTGTTCAGAAGCATTTCACCCACACATCCCGCACCTTCAAACTATCTCTATTTATGGACGAGCCTCTCATTAAACATGGTGTTGCTATTTACATCCATGTCCTCTTGCCTTGTTTGATTATCACAAGTGCATTTCTATAATTAAAATAGGCTTTCGGGTCCGAAGATGTCCCAAGTATTGACTCTCGATGTCCAATTTTTTCAGCAATCCCCAGGATACACCAGAGATGGCCCCTTGAGTTTTGGCTGGTCAAATCATTGGATACATTGGATAGCCACCAAATCAGGCGGCTGTCTGAATGGCTGAGATCTTGTGTTTTTTACCAGGCCATTGTCCCATTCGGATCTGGAGTATTGCACTCATGAGCTGCAATTCTTGGTTCGGAATGCTGCCACTTCCCAGGTTCCAGCCATGCTCAGCAAGTAAGGGATGGTTCTTGTTGGTGCTTAATGATGCTTAATGTCCGATGCTGTTTGCTGAACATTTCCAGGAAGACCATGGAAACCCCTTGTTCTGATGAGACAAAGATGCAAAACATGCAGAGTTTCCTCCGGAGTTTCCCTTAGATCAACTCCAGGCCATGTTCAAAATTTAGGGCTGAGGGTACGGTACCGCACACTTTGGTCATGTGATTTTGCGGGTACCCAAGTTTGACCCGTAGCCATGCCCAAAAAGATAGAACAGTTAAATCATCCTACTAAAATACCAAACTAGTAAAGTGAACTACGCGTCTATCTGTTTGGAGGTTGCGATATTACAACGAATTTTCCCGTCGTGCCAGTGCCGGATTTGGGTGCCGAACTTCGAAAGCTGGTGACCGATGAGAAAGCCCAGCAGGCCACCTTTGGCCCGCCTGACCAACAGGGGGTTCAGGGGAATTAGTCAAATTAATACATATATACATACTTACATATTTATGAATATATCTTAACAATTCCAAAAAAAACAAAATATGGGTTCTTTACAAAAACCCGTTTTTCTCGAAAAGACTAGGTTTTCTTCACCGGACGTTCAATTTTTTGGGTCCTTGAAGCTCCTGGTTTATATATACATATATGCTTATACATACCAAGTTGGCAGTTCCACAGGTAATCAAGTTAGATCAGTTTTAGTTTCATAGCCATCTTAATCATGTTGATTTCGAGGCTAGTCACAAAAATGTTGGTTCAAGTCATCTGGAAGCATGCCAAAGCTATCTCAACAGCTACGAGGCCACGAGGTTTTTAACTGGTGAGTCTTAAACTAGGGTATCCCCCCAAAAAACAGTAATAGATATATACTATAGTTGTTCATCTCACCCTGAAGGGCCCCCATTTGGGATTGTTTGAACATAGGATACCTTACGTAAAATTTCATGGTTTGTCATGATTTCCGATTTCCCAAAATTGGATGGCTATGTGTGGGATTTTCCGCGCATTTTCAAGCAATCCCGAATCTCACATTGAGTTGGTTGGACCACTGTTAGACCCTCATTGAACCCCTTAAGCCTTAAGGCAAGGCCTGGGAAAAACTTGACATCCAACCGCACGGCTTCAGGTGGCGGTGCGTCGCTCAAAAGAACACAGCGAAGCGTGTGAACGGCAGATCATCGCTCAGCTTGGCACGGGACCTCAGGTAAATTTATTGGATGATTTTTCGTGGAATACATTACATATATTATTATATATTGCGTATGTGTATATATATATAGTACGATCCATATATACATATAACGTGATGTGTTTATATTATGTTGTATTATGTGTATATGTGTTCACGTGTACATACCGTTCTAGGAAATGGGAGATTAAATGCAGGAATCAACCAACCGTTTGTCCATTAAAACATAAACCCAGAAATCCAGTACCAAGTGGTACAGCAGATCTGGGAGATAGTACGAACTGTCTAAGTTAGGGACCCTTTGGTAATCAAACATGGCAATTGAAAATCCGACAGTTCATGGAGGTTTCATTGGGAAAAGTCTCGATGAATCCCGGATTTTCCATTGCCATGTTTGATTACCGCAGTAATTCAAAGGATAATCCCATTGATGAATACTTGGAGAAATCATCAGCTGCTGGGATGGGTACGTTTCGAGCTTTTGAAATCCAAACTTCTCCAATTTTCTGTTCCACTCTAGACACATCTATGAGTCTACGAATTGACTCTGATCGGCCTTACTGCCTCTCATGGACAAAGGCACTTGCGATCTCACGAGGTTTGCTGACTGCTCATAGCAGGATCAGGACCAAGACGCTGCTAGAGACATACTATGGCCACCAGAGATGAAAGATAGCTCTCAAACCACAGCAAGGGAAGATACAGAAGTTGTTTTCTGGTTTGTAAATTAGTCCCCATGTTCTTTCTTGAGACGCCCGGGGCCAAGACCCTTGGGGAGTTTTTTTCCAACCCAGGTTGTCCACCAAGTCAATGGAACTCCATACAGCAGGCAGCTTGGGAGGGGACGGGCTGGCCACTGATCATTGACTCATTGGTTGCATTAAGAATCATTAAGATATGTTTGTGGGAAAAGATAGAGGAATCTCTTCATGTTTAGATTTGGAGAGATTTATATAAGAGAAACAATATTGGAAATACCTGGAAATACATGTGTTTCCTGGGGAAAACTATCCATTTCCATGTCCAGAGTTTGCATCCCATCCATTGACCTGACCGGAGGGTGCTGTTTCTGTGGAGGATTTTTGGGTATTTCGCGCATGAAAGCTGGAGGGTTTCCTGTCATTTTGCGCTGAAAGATGATTGACTTCTTCTTGGTAGGCAACCTTCATGGATCCTTGTCGCTATGGAAGGACAATCGAACTAGGTAGTTTGATATTAGTTGACTGCTCCGAGTCTGGCGGACAGCCCCTGGAGTCGAGTCAGGTGCTTGCTCGTTCCGGAATGCTTGGATGAGACAAAAAAGACCTGGATGTTCCTCCGTCATGGGGGTCAGGCCCTATCCAAGCTGGGTTTGAAGATGGGGGAACCAGAACCGATGACCCACGTGATGAACTGGGCAAGTAGAAGTGACCTGGTGGTTGTACCATGGTCTTTTACTTATTCAAAATGGGAGGTTTTGCCCCAAGAGATGGCCAGTTTTAATATCTAAAACGATGATAAACCAGTGGATGGAATGTGTTTGTTCCCCGAATTTTCACAAAATCAAATAGAGACTTCGACGGAGCAAACATGATGCATGTTTCAACAGCTGGAAGGGTGCCAAGGATCCTGTTCGGAACGTCAACCTTTGGCCTTTGAAGTCACTTGTCATGTGGCCCAGGCTCAGAGCATGTCCTGTTTTTGGATGGCCTTGCGAGAAGCGTTTGATGATCAGGCCCTTTCAGAATACCATCCATGTTTGCGATGAAGGCTTCAGTGTTCACCGGGGAAGCCCAAGCCCAGACCCCCAAGCCTCCAAGCCCAAGCCCAAGCCCAAGCATCTCACCGCTGGTTGCAGCGGTTCCTTTCGTGTCCTCGAAGCCATGGAGCAAGCAAAGACCTGGCGTGTTGTGCGTGCGCAAGCGCTCGTTGAACTAGACAGCTACTTGGCCCCAAAACCGGTGGCTGCAAACCCACTGCAGGATGCATAGGCAGTGCAATGGGTTCTTGTTTTGCAAGGTGAGTGGATTCCTTTTTCCTGCAAGATGATTGGTGACAAAGCCCCTAATAGTTTGTTGTCGAAAGATTTGTTTAGGAACTTCATTCTATGGCAATACGCTCCACCGACTTGTTTTCGGGGTCGTTTCCTACAGGATGTTGCAGCTTGTCACTTTGAACAAGTCACTTCCGTGCGGTGAAAACAACAACCTCACAGTGGTCATGTTGTGAGACCACGTTCAAAGGATCTGGGCCGAAAGAAAATTATGACAGCAGCCCACTGACCCAGTGAGGTTTTCTTCGGCAAAGTGCCTGATGCCAAGTCTGCCGCGGGGTGTGAGGTAGAACTGCCACTGGCTGGGATGGTGTAAAGCCATGGCCACATGCTGGGTCTTTCATCCACAACCATAGCCAGAATTGTCAGAGTTACTGACCATATCCGTTGTCAGAGTGGGATAGAGTGTTCTTATGGAAGTCTTTATTAGGGTACTTCCCCCCCGCACCATTCACCTTTATAAGGGCATATAAGGTCTTTATCAAGCCACCCACGGGTACCCTTAGGTTTTCATATATTTACATAATGGGTCATGATTGAGATACCCTCAGATTTCTTTCTATTTCCCTAGATTTCTTCAATCTGGTTATAGATCTTTGGAACAAAAACACCTCCAGCTCCAGAGGTGGAGGGTCCTGCCACCTTGGTCCCCCAAAATGTCTAGAAACTGATGGGAACATCGTGGAGGTGTGCGTTTTGTCATGGGGGTACCCCCCATCCAGTGGACCATGGCACATTGGAAACCCATGGGGATCGTCCAAGGACCCGCAAGATGTGTCGGGACCTGAATGGATCGAGATTTCGGGGGGGATCCCCAGCCGTCACCATGGCTTTCCAAACGAAAACTATCGAATTTTGGATGATTTGGGGTATCCCCACTTTAGGAAACCTCCATTGTATCTAAACAATATGTAAACATCACATTCTGATTTAAGGCATCAATTCTAAACAACCGGGAATTCATTCTCGTGGAAAAAATCAGGAGTTTCCGCTTTCCAGTGATTTCAGGAGTTTCAGGTGTTCCATGTCATTTGACAGTGCGACACTGCCAAGTGGGGCCATCCCCAAACCCCGAGAATCTGAAAATGTTCGCTCTCCTTTTGGGATTTGCAGATATTTGTGGGAGTTTTGCGGGATTTTTGCGGGTGATTTCCAATGTTTTCAGTGGCAGCTTTCACTTTGCTCAACTCAACCCTCAGACCTTAAAAAACACCCTGGACATCCAATTGCCATTCCAAAAACAAGGAGTTTTTGGAGTTTCAGGTGTTTGACGTCAAAGTCCATCGTTTTCAGAGAAAAGCAGGTAAACATCGAGATTCAGGATTTGTTTCAGGATTTTGAATCTCCAGGAAAGATTATATAGTTGTTACTAGTTCTTGTCATGTTCTAAGGAAAAGAGAACGGAACATGTCACCATGATCCAGACAGAATCAAAACAATGTCAACACAATCATTGTAAAACACATTGTATCGCCCAGATAGGTGGAAATCCACCATGTTCATCCATGTTCACAGAGTTTCATTGGTCAACTTCCAATTTCTCTTGGTGAAAACAACCTTCGCCATTGGTAGCCATAAACTGGCCATAGATTGCTGGAAATCCGGCCATTTGTGTTGCTTCAAACACCATTTTGACCAAGTCATGCCGCCAAGACATAGGAGGTGGCCCCTGGACCGATTTCAACGGACGCCTGGGGGGCCCAGAATCTGGTGTCACTTATCTGCCTTTGACAACCCAGATACTTATCGGAATTGACACATAAATCCTCATAAATCTTCATAAATCCTCATAAATCCACTATTGAACATTGGGAATATCTTATTATTAGGATGTTTTACGTTTTTTTTGTGTGTCCCATGATGCAAATCCAAGATTTCCCTATCGTTGTTGAATTCCTGGATGCCAAGCCTCATCGAGGATTCCAAAAGTGTGGCACACCCAATGCAATGAACATCAATGAACCATTCCCCTGGAAACAAACCATTTAAGGTGTTTCTTTGCATCATTCATATAAGGGGTATATCCAATGATAGCCACCAATTGGTGTTGCACAAGATTTGGGGAGGTTAAACAATGATTGTTTCTGTTTTTTTTGAGTCATTAATAAACACCACTTGAAGTTAATTATGGAGTTTACAACGGTTTACCTAACGATTTTCTACCTAGTGATTTACACTAGAATCTTAAGACCACCTTGCTAACATTCTAATTTGCTCAGTTGTTTGGGTGTTGTTTTCGGGGTGGATGGTAGCCAGGCAGTGCCTGGATATGCGTCAACCCATATTGGAGGATAGGATGGGCATATTCAATCCATGTTCATAGGGATTTAGATTAAGCTATTATGTGTTGATTCCCATGATGGGGTGGATGACCATGAACCATAACAACCTCATGTACCATCTTGTGACCATGGCACACACACACATATATATATATATGTGTGTTCATACAAATAAAGTGAATGGAGCATCTTGTTATTTCGTTATATTTAATGTTATTCAGGAGGTACCCAAGATTGACTCATAGACTCATAGCCACATTATGAGTGTAGCGCCTCCTGGGGTGGCCTCGCGGGGTATCAGAAAAAGTACCAGGCAAAGCCCAAAGAACATGGAGAATCAAATGATAGTTCCCACAGTTACAACTTGGGGCCATGGTTGCGAGTATATTTGAAGTTCATTCCAACAAATGGGACGATGATCACGACTCCAAAAGTCGGTTTTTCGGAAGTTGAGACCCAGGGCCGTCAAAGTACTTTTTTTGGCCCACAAAAGGTGTGTGACTTTCAGGACCTTTGCAAGCCTCCAAAAAAAGGATTATGTAACAATTATGTATGTAATTCAGACATGGATTCACACAAGGCGCCCCCAAGTCCCAAAAGTAACGTATTGATTCACAAGTTTCACAATGATTCACAATGGTTGGTTTTATACCATATGTGGACCGTGGCACCAAGATAGATTAAAAAATCAAGGCCATAATTTACCACATGCCCTGGTTGTACCCATTAATCTGGATAATTTATCCCAAAAAATATACACACCATTGGAAAAAATCCCAGAATTGGTTGAAGGGAAGATCTACAAGGCCCCTGTATTTCATAGCGAAACCACAGTTTCCTCATCTTTCCTCTAGTCAATGGTAATTTCAGGATCCTAAAATGGAGGTACGTTAGTACCATATAGGGCTATATTATGCTATATTGAGGTTCCTGAAATGACCATTGATCTACCCTCTGGTAATTTAACATAGCTATGGAAAATCACCATTTTTAATGGGAAAACTCACTATAAATGGCCATTTTCAATAGCTATGTTAGTTTACCAGAGGGTAGATTTTCCCTTAGACCAACCCATTGAATTATCTCCCCAAACAGTCGCCAGTCGTCAGTTCTAATGGTCCAAGGGCGCCCAGACGCTACGATGGGACACCAACGTCCACGTGTTCGGACCTAGGCCTCGCTGGAAGATCATCGAACGACATGGTCACTGGATTGGAAACCATGGCTTTTACCATCAAATATAGAGCTTTCCTGTAATTTTTCCCATCATCCAATTCTATGAAATGGGAAGCTGTGGGATTTTCAGTGAACTAAACGTTTTTTGTTTTCCGTTGCCATGCTTCATGGCCAGAGGGTATCGCTGCCGCTTTCTGCTGAAACTTTGGCCCCAGGCCGTCCTGTGATTCCCTTAATTTGTCACCCGAAAACATGCTAAGCACGATAGTTATACCTTCGGGGATGTCCTTTCAGCAATGCGATCAACCTTGCTTTGGTTTTCTAATGCTTTCTGGGGTCTTTACTAGTCCTGATTGTATTGGTAGAGGCATTGGATTGTTGGACCAATTTTGAACCAATCATTCACGTTATATAATTATTTCACATTCATTGCCTTGTCCAAGTATCATAAAATTTCGTAGCACTGAGAATAAGAATGTTGCATCAGGAAACCTGTGTTGAGGGGCACACTTTCAAGCCAAATTGTTCATTGTCCTGGGAAGTACCTCCGGAGGCAAATATTTAGCCTACAACATGAGTTCTACCACTGCGGTCAGTGGGGAATGCCTGATTCGGTCTGGTGGCAGGTTGGATATTGACGGTGAAATCCTAAGGGATGGTTTTCTGGATATTTTAAGCAGGGCTTCACTGCAGTGTTTCATAGGGTCTCTCAGGGTTCAGGTTTTAGATGGATGAAGCAGTGGTGGTTCAGGTGCTAGCCATTGCTAGCCACTGATTTCTGAGGCATTTTGGATCAACGAGTCATGGGAACTGGATTGTTTGAGCTACTGGTTGTCTTGTACGCCATCCAGGACATGCCACAAAAACAACCAGTGTCTAATTGAAACAACAGGTGCAGTGTGAAACCATTAGCTGCGGCTGAATTGTGAACCGCTTTGCAGCTTAACTGGGACCAAAATAAGGATGCAATTACTGTAACCATGGGCGTAGCGGGGACAACCTAACCAAGCGATCAAGAGCCTAAAGGCTCAAAAAGAATTGCTTGTGAAACAAAGGGCAGAGTTTGGTTTGGCTGTAATTGTTTGAGGAAATTGCTGCTGATTGCTTGCAGGCTGCTTCCAATATTGAACATTCAGTTTTTGTTGGGTATGCGTGGCAATTTGTTACGTTCTTGTTGAATTTGATTATATAGGGTTTGTTCGGATTTGCATTTTGTTGGGGATTTGGTGGATTGTGTATCGTTTTTGTGTTTGTGTTGTTTGTGAGTGTGTGATCTTGTTATATAGGTTTTATGATGTGTTATAAGGGAACTCATGGTTTGCGCATTATACTGGGAGGCAGCCATGCTTTCAGCAATCAAAATCTATGGTGAGTGACGGGTGGGAATCTCGTGGCCGGTCTTTGATGCTACGGTTGGTTGTGGGAACTCCTGGAAAATCCGGCCGGGCCTTAAAAAAGGCGCTTCAAGTCATAACTCGTACCCCGGAGCGGCTGCATGATGTAATCCGAAATGATATAAGTATGATAAAATGTAAGTTCATTCATGTTTAAGATGTAGTATAGTTATGTATATAATTATATTTAATTATATGTATATAGTTTAATTTGATATAATGATAAGTTAATGATATCCATTACACATATTGGAGGAGCTGTCGAAGTTTTGGATGTTTTTTTTTGTATCCAAACGATAGATCTCAGGCCTGTTTTAGAACAGGGCTGGCTGGGCAAAGGCCCAATCCTTCGCAGGAAAAGCATCTCTCACAATGCATCCAAATGCAAGCGTGGGCTAAATCCCGAATTATTCTAGATGATTTGCCAATGATTTTTCTGAAGCTGTCTATCCAAAAAAATGGTGGAAACCCATCATTTATTGCCCGAAAACCATTATTTCCCCCGAAAATGGACTGTCCATCCAATGATTTTCCTGAAAACATCTTAAAAGCATCATTTCCCGCCAATCTCCCAGTTTTTCAGTTTCTGAGGTCAGGGGGAGCTGCCAGCAGCCAACAGGCTTGGCTTGTCACCCACCTCAACGCAAGGTGAACTTCCACCAGTCACGGTGCTGGAAGCTGGGCAGAGATCAGCTGTGTTCTGTATAATTGTGGGTAAAACATGGTAAAACAATCATAAATCACCCATTTGGGACTGGTTTATAGCACCTGTAAGTAGATTAAGTAGGACATCGGTATAAGATGGAGATAATCTTGGATTTGTTGAAGATGTTGAAGATGCTTTTGTTATTTTCCGTTTCCCGATGGGAAATCCGCTGCTTGGGGAATCTTTAGGGAGTTCCTTAAGAAATTCCAAGTAATTTGGATGGGATGTAATAATATATGTATAATTATGTATATACAACTATATATATAATTATATTTATATAATATAATACAGACATAACTGGGAACATGGTGGTTTAACCATCAACAAAAGGGATTTAGTGGGATGTGTTTAGCCAAATTTGTATATGATAAGCCGCAAAATGGCTATCTTAATGGGGACACATATAAACAACAATTAAATGCGGGGGGGTACCTTATTTCCAGACAAACACATTTGCTGGTGTATGTAAATATGCAGAGTAGATGATATATATATAATATTTATATATAGATATAATTATATATAAATACAGTGCCAGACAGATGTATATTATACGTTCTTCAGCAGTGTCTGCAGAGGTCCACCTTTGCCAAGGACAGTAGGCAAGTCTCTCAAGAACGCAGTCTTCGACAGGCGACCCTTACCCTGGACGATGCTCGGATGCAGCATACCCATAATCGATGGATTTTAAGGGGAATCTAGAGGAAAACATGGCTTTAACCTTCATTTTTTTCAAGGGTTCCTGTAGATTTTCCCACCAATTTTGGGACATAGCCTCATGAGATGGGCTAGAATTGGGAAACTCCCAGGTGACCATCATGCCATCTATATGCTTGGTTTATGGTTTTTGTAGATCTTGAGATGTTCTGGTTGACTCAGCAGCATGCCCAGCATGCCGGAAAGTTGACTCAACTATCAATTGTGGGGCCCGACTAGTGAGGTATTTTTATCGTATCAAGGATCCAGAATAGACCCTGATTAAAACCTTCAGGTCAATTTTGCTGCGTTGTACTGCTCTTAAATGTTGCAAGCGACTAGGGGTTTGCTCCTTGGAACCATTGGCTAACGGCCCAAAAGCCCAAAGGTACCAGGTTACCAGTTCCAGATCGAATAGGTAGGTAGCCTTGTTACCACACAGGGTCGTTTTGAACTTTTTGCTCCGGTTTTAGCAAGGCGCCGCCATCACGGCCATCACGGCCATGTTGTTCATGGCCACTGGGGATCTCCAGGGTGGTTCCAAGAACTGACTGGCTTGTTTATGCCAAGTTTATGCCGAGAAACATGGAACATCATAGGAACTCATCGTATTTCATCGTGTTTTATATGATGATATGATATTTTTATGATATGACATGACCCATGACGGATCCATGGTGCTGGTATATATGAAAAACATGGATCCCATCAATATACCCCAGTCATGTTAGCATATATACCAGCACCATGGATCCTATGGGTGATCGTGCCTAATGGAGATCCGTTGGGAATCTGAACTTCCTTGCGTCGCTGTGGCGTTCAAACGAATCCGTCGCATCCTGCGCCCAGGAAATCCCGGAGTTCAGGACTTTGGACCGAAGAATATGGAGGTCCCCAAAAAGGTCCCCCTTAAAAAGATAGGACAATCACCGGAATCACCTTCCAAATAGGGGATGAAACTGGGGATGTTTGGGGATAAGCTGTTTCATGGTTTTGGGGAAAATGAAGCTTCCAGCATCTGAAAATGTCGTTTGACCATGATTTGCGGGCAATGACTGGTAAGAATGTAAAATGACTGATAAGAAATGTAAATTAACAAAAACGAACCTTGATATGTCATGTAGATGCCAATGTTGGGTGTGGAATTTGTGGGATGTCATGGGGGTTGGTACGGGGAGTTCTTCTTGAAACAATTGCGAATGCGACACAAAGGACTGCAATCATTGATATCAAAACTGGTTGGTGGTTTGCAACATGTTTCATTTTCCATATTGGGAACAATAATCCCATGTGGCTAATATTTTTCAGATTGGTAGGTCAACCACCAACCAGAAGATGATGATGAAAGTATGTTGTGGCTTTGTCTGAAAATGGTGTGCCCCATTCCATCCATTGGCTAATCATCAGTTTCCCTATTCAGCCAGCTGGGAAACCTTTCCAGACAACCCGTATCAAATCTTGAATGTCAAAACTCGGCACTGCAGGAGCTATACCATGCCCGAGCTTTTCGCCATGGAGTAGCTTGGCAAGATGGGCTAGCCACGGCTATGCTTGGGATCTATTGGAAGGGGAAGTTAACCATTTGAGAAGGTGTCAAAACTTCAAAACAACTCGCACCAGTTATGTTGTACCTATTTGTACCTTATGTTTCTGGATTTGTCAGGTTTGTGAACATGAAAACTGGGGGGGTGCAACATTTGACTGGGTGAACATCCAGCCACACCAGCTATGGGATCGGCATGGGTCTGTCTGAAAATGGGGATGGGAATACCTCAAAACTGCAGCGAAACATGGGGAAAGTGATGATCATAATAGGGACATCATGGTAGTTCAAAGAGGTACAAAATAACATATGATTATGAACATCATATGGTAGTACAACATTATGGATTGTTCAATCAACGACATTTTGCACTACCATATGTTCAGACAAAGCCGCATGAACTGTTTCTAGTTACACACAGCTCCGTAACTACCAGCTAGTTTGATGAACTCGCCCCCTTGAAAGCTTGCAAGCAACCGGGGGAAATTCATACAGTATGTGGATGTTGCACAAAGCTATGAACAATGTATATTGTAAAATGATTATATATATATAATTATATATATAATTATATATATAATTATATATATATAATTATATATATATATAATTATATATATATATAATTATATATATATTATATTTATGATTATACATATATATATATATCGTACAGGTACAGCTTATAGTTTATAGTTTCAAATTATTACCATGGGCTGTTGTGTTCCAGCTGACTTTTTTTGTATACTCAGAAGCCAGCCAGAGTACTTAGGCCTGGCATCTACGTAAACACACGATTCTCAAATGGTAATCATGTTTCTTGTTTTTCAGTGAGCCCTACTATATAGTTTTGCTTAAAACAGGGTACTTCCCCAACAAAAAGTAGTAAATCATCATTTTCCGCATTAAACAGCCATTTCTTTGGGGGTGGAGTGGATCTTACTTCCAGCCACATTCAACTGTTTACCTGTTTACGAAGGTATCAACGCTCCAAGAACACCACAATGGCCTCCATGCCAGAGATCGAGATGCTTGGTGAAATGGGCTGAAAAGGTTATAGCCAGAGTCAGTCAGCACTTTGGCCATAGTCAGTACAAATCATACAAGGCCATTGTCAGTACTTCTCTTAACCGCTGGTTTGGCAGTCTGTATGTCAGTCATTTGTTAGTCAATGTGTCAGGCACATTGTCATTGTATGTCGTTCTATATGTCGCATTCAATAGTCTACATGTTGAGTAGCGGTTCAGCATGAATATATCATATATATATAGCATTAAATATATAGCAACAGGTTTGCTAGGGTTGCGATCGTTCAATGTAGAGAAAGTTTGAATAGATAAGTTGGTGGTCTGTGGTTTTGATGCTTTGAAAGCGAACTTGTCTCAGGAAGGTATCCGTGGTGATCTATGGTTTCAGATATTTGCTGTGGCATCCATGGCATCCCCAGATACAGATATCCAATACGGAGATCATCGCCGTGGGTGAGGTAACTGGCACCTTCAAAGTCCAGAAGTCTACAGGCTTTCAACAAAAGACTTTTTCAGGCTTTGAAAGCCGATTCAGAGGACCTACCAGGAAGAGACAATTTTATTGCAGTGTTTAGTATTTGCGAACACATTCATGCAAATTGCCACGTGGCGCATCAAAGCGCTACAACTTTGTTTCTCTTTGTGTGTCTATGCTGTTGCGCTGTTGCAAACCCTACTATATAGTGGAACAATGTGGAACATGTCTTGTTCCTGCCAAAGCTGAAGACTTTCGGTGAATCCGTGGGTCCAAGGATGGATCCTGATGACAGAGAAGAAGGAGAGACAGAGGCACTGATTCACCTAACAAAAATGGGCCACTTGAAATGAGGCTGACTTACGAAACATATCCAGGCATTGCCAGGCATTCTAAGAAAACACCCAAGGGAGATGTGCGTACAGTATGGCTATGTACTCGTAGTTTCCTGGCATTTATTCTCCCCACAAGTCAGACCTTCAGGATCATTGTTTGTTCTTACAAGGATATGTCTGAATTGGCTCACTTCATACGTCTGAAAAAATTGGTGAAACTTGATGCTGAGCCGGCATGTCAATAAGCTCGAAGCAAGTGCAACTACTCCCTTTTAGTCACCTTGGTATCATGAGGGACAATCCAGGTGGGTTGCCGTGACACGGCTCTGAAAAAGGTTGTTTCCCTGGCACCCAAATAACATCAACTATCATCAAATAATCATGTGCAGCTATTCTTGTATGGCCGGCCCGTATTTTCCGATGGCTGCTGCATGCTGCTGCCTCCCATTTTATTGGTCAAAAATTGGAGTCACCGGGCTTCCAGGTTCATTATTCATGCATCTTGCAAAGTGTATTTAGAGTCAAAGATCTGGTAGCTGGTCAGTACACCAATTTGCTACAGCTACAGTGACAATTTCTTGCGGAGTTTCAATAGATTCATGTAGGTCATGTACTTTACCTTACCTGAAAGAAGTAGAACCAAGGGTCGGCGGAAGTGGGGAACCCCCTATTATTCCGACAGCCAGCTTTAGCCAATTTATTTGGCAATGGGTAGATACTAGCAAAGACCTGGATATATCTGGATCCATTGGCATCATTCAGACATAAGAAGAGGATGTGTGGGTTGGCACGGAAGATGTTTCTAATGCTCCCATTCAAATCCTATTAAGTCTCGAGTCCAGGGTGTCAAGTTGAACTTCTACACGGATGATGCTTGTTTCGCCATTTAATGTTCAGCCTCTGATTTCTGCAACAATGGGCCCCAAGTACCTATGTATAAATGATTAAATGGGCGTGCTCTATAACACTTAGCTCCTGGTACCGGGTCCCTCGCTAGAAACTCATTTATATTTTGGTGGGTTTATTGAGGGGGGCGGCATTCTTATGGGCAGGTCGACAACAAGTGGAACAGCTTCACGCTCTGACGAGTCACGTTGGCGGCCTTGGAATTCCCCCACAAAATTGGTTTAAAATGGTGTGGGATGTCAGGGGCACCCGAATTGTGGTTGCCGATGATGTCGACTGCTCAGCATGGTAATTTCCTTGCAAACTTTTCAGCAGCCGATATGTTTCCGAGCTTTATGAAGCGGAAGGCCAAATCGAAACCCGTCAAAGTCTGGATCGATTGTGGCAAGCACACGACTGCCGTGTGCTAAAAAGGGCCGACCACTGAGCCTTGTTGCTGACATCAAGCTACAATGACTGAGCTTTTGTTGTTGAGGTTAGGGAGGATGACCCAAAACGTGAAGTATCTTGAAGTCAGGGGCTTTGAAATTGAACATCCCTCCTTCACACTAAAAGATCCTGAATCCAGGTTGAAACTACCAGTGTCAGTCCTGTTGTTGGCCATATCGACTCTATCCCGATCCTTTCTCATTCTTTGCGGTCGTACCTTGTTTATTTTTGGGGTTTGTTTTTTCTTGTTTGCATCCCCACAATTCCCTGTTGGTGTTGCACTGGAGCGTTCAGTCAGTAAACCCCAATGCTACTGCAGTTATGCTTTTGGTACAAGTTAAATGGAATATATCAGAATACAACTGGCCATGCTTCAAAACTCTGCTCGCCAGCCGCAGAGACTGACGTTGACTGAACGAAAGATGCGATGTTCTGAATGTCTGACATCATTTCATCCGGATGAAATACAATGCATATGCGTACATATATGTGCACATACAAAGGCATATATATATACAATATTATCTATATATAGATATAATGATTTTTATATATCGGTATATAATATATACATATATGTATAATATATGTATAGTATATATATATATATTTGTATAATATATGTATAATATATATATAATATTTATATATATATATATATATGTAAAATATGTATATATATATATAAAGGAATATATATATAGTGTAATATATATATATATAGAATAACTATGTATATAATAAATATGCATAATATATATATATATATGTATAATATATATATATATGTATAATGTCTATATGTATAATATATGTGTATGTTGTATAATGATTCATTCACATACAACATAATGTGTATATATATATGTACACATGTACATATGTAATCATGAAATTATATTTCTATATAATATATATATATATTATATCCATATATATATATACGTGATAGGTATAGATTATGTACATGATAGGGGAAACACACATGGTTTCCAGTTTCGACTTTCCTTAAATATCCTTAAATCAATCGATTGATCCAGCCATGTTCCCTGATGTTCCTAGACTTCAAGAAATCCTTATTTTGTGTGGCAAGCACGTGATTGGAATTGAGTTCGTTTGCCGTTTGTAGCTTGTGGATTTGTTGGTTCATAGCAGGCAATCAACAGCACCAAAAATCATCACGAACAGCAGTACAAAAAGACAATGTTCAACCAACAATAAGATTGAATTGTTCCAAACCTAATGATCTCAGAGTCCAGAGCTTTCTTAAACCAGGCATTCAGAAACAAACAAATCCGACTTGTCAATGTCCTTGGATCATGGAAAGATGGTGGTTGTCTGGATCCTGGTGTCATGACATGTAGCTGTGTAGTGTAGACCCTGGTTGGGTTGTGTGAGCGGTACCATCGACCAAGGTGTTGTCCTCATTTGTGCCCTTGAAATGGACAATCCTTTGCTGGTTTACTCTCCAATCTTATGGGCGTTCATCTTGGTCACAATTTCAGACGAATGCGGACATGTTGGTCAAATTTGCATGTAATACATGGCTAACACGCCCTTACTAGTGGTTGTTGGTGGTTAGTAAGCCATTAATCAGCCCCTGATTATTGATGGGGGCCTTGTGGGTGGTGGAATCTCTATTCTCCATGAGACCTACAAGTTTGCCGCATAGTACCTCTGATGGCACATGGCCAAACAAGGGAGATGATGATTGTAGCCAGCATTTCTTTGATGCTCCTGAGGTTTTCCTCCTTAGGCGTACTTTGTTTGTAAGAAGCTCAGCCTCACTTTTGCAAGCTGGAGGAATTCGCAGAGATCTTTTGGGGTCTTGACTATATTTCATGAAGGTAAAAAAAATCACCTTTTGTGGTAAAACAATACATTAACGACTTACAAGCTTCCGAATTGGATGATGTTTACAGAAGAAAAACTAGAAATATCAAGGAACTCTGGCAGCTGTGGCATCATATCATGACATATTAATATATATATATATATATGGGTGTGTCTGAAAATACGTAGGTATAATTCCCATGAAATTACTGTCTCGATTTTCAATAAAAGACATATCTCTTTTACTGGTTGTTGTATTTTTTGAATATATATATATATATGTATAATTGTATATGATTATGTATAGTTATATGTAATTATATATATATGTACATATATATATTTAAGATTATATAACTATACATATATGTATGCATATATATATATGTATATATGTATATATGTATATATGTATATATGTATATATGTATATATGTATATATGTATATATGTATGTAATGTAATGTAATGTAATGTAATGTAATGTAATATATGTATGTAATATATGTATGTAATGTATGTATGTATGTATGTTTGTTTGGTTTGTTTTGTATTGTATTGTATTGTATTGTATTGTATATTATTTATTGTTTTATTTATTGTATTGTATTGTATTGTATTATTGTAATGTGTAGTGTATTATAATGTTTAATGTTGTTGTGTATTGTATATTATGTATTTAATGTGTATTGTAATTGTGTAATGTTGTGTATAATTGTGTATGTATGTATGTATGTGTATAATGTATGTATGTATGTATGTATGTATGTATGTAGTTGTGTATATTATGTATGTATGTATGTATGTATGTATGTATGTATGTATGTATGTATGTATGTATGTATGTATGTATGTATGTATGTATGTATGTATGTATGTATGTATGTATGTATGTATGTATGTATGTATGTATGTATGTATGTATGTTATTTATATGTTATGTTATATGTTATGTTATATGTTATGTTATATGTTATGTTATATGTTATGTTATATGTTATGTTATATGTTATGTTATATGTTATGTTATATGTTATGTTATATGTTATGTTATGTTATGTTATGTTATGTTTTATGTTATGTTATGTTATGTTATATGTTATGTTATGTTATGTTATGTGATGTGATGTGATGTTATGTTAGTATGTATGTATGTATGTATGTATGTATGTATGTATGTATGTATGTATGTATGTATGTATGTATGTATGTAATTATAGAGAGATTTGTTTTGTTCTGAGAACAGTGGTTGATCGTGATTTGTTCCACAAGCTGCCACCGGCCATGGGCATTCTCCTGAGCCTGGGTGCACAGGGGGCAACCAGCTGACGTGAAATGGCACATCAGTATTGCCTGGGAGGACTGGAGGGTGTCAAGAAATGCGCAGATGCACGAGACTTCTGTGGTGTTTCATAAGCAACAAACATGGGATTATGATTGGATTATGGGGATATAATGAGAATCTTATGGGGATCATATGATCATATATGATCTACGCGTTTAGGCCGCTAAGTCACTAAGTCACCAAGTGACAACCAAATTAAGAAACCGTGGGTCACGTTGGTCTGGAGAAGATTCGTTGTAGCTACAATGTTCTGTCTACATCTCCGGTATATGATCTTTCACTTCCCTTCTTGGGATGCCTGGAGGATCTTTCCAAGTTCCCATATAGTTGGGAGTGTTTCTGCCCAGATTTTATTAGGTGATACATTGATGATGTGATTACCCGGTTTACAACTTGCTTTTCCAAGGCGTTGGTTCTCCCAATAATAAACTATTCCCGATTTTATCACGCGTTTTTTAAATGTGTTTTATAAACCAAAGGTTTGTTAGTGGCTTTGCCACCTGATATGTTTATTCTGAAGGTTGGACACGTCTCCCGAAAGCCACCGTGACGACGTGAAGGACGAAGATTGCAACCGGGTCTGTAGCTCTAATGGCCTTTCTTGTACCGAGGCGCGAAAATGCCAGGTTTTCAAAGACGTTCCAGCCATGGATGACGTTTTTTTATTGTTGTTTCAGAAGCTCAATAGCTTAATCATTTAGCTAAGAACATTTTTGAATTGTGCCTGCAGCATTTTTTCTGGTGGTAATTGACAATGGACACTCCCTTTTTTTGCTATAGTAATCCCAAAAAGATAGAAGCGTGATTTATCCTTACTCTAGCAGGGTCTAAATTTACTTCTGGAAACCCAATATGGATCGATTGGCAAGGGATCGCTCTGCGGAAATCCCATCCCCATCATTTCATTTATCAAAGTAGACACATATTGATATCAAATTGATATCAGTTATATATCAATTATGGATATGTTATATCAATTAATATATAGATATTAATATATATAGACACATTGATATTTCATTTATCAGCTATGTATCAATTACAGATAACGGAATCCCCTTGAAAAGAACCATCGATTCCGTTGAACTCGCCATCATCTCACATCATCTCACCGTGGCAGGCCTGCTGGCCGTTCACCGCCAAAGGCTTGGAGAACGCCCTGCAAGGCTCGGGCTTACAGGGCACCTGCTTCGGCCGCCCGGCTGCAGGGCCTTCGGGGGGGGGGGTGGCGTTGGATGTCGGTTGAATCAGCCAAAAATGGGGATATCATGAGATTTGTCACCAACTTCAGAAAGACAATATCTGGTTGGTGGTAATATTTTTCAGAGGGTTGAAACCACAACCAGATATGTTGGGATATTTTGGGTGTGTTATAGCATCGTATAGCAATTTGAATGATTTGATTTTGGGGTACCCTGTTTCTGGGCTGGAATCTGATGCCCAGCTTCAGATGCTGATGATGGCTGATAGGTAAATCCATCTTGATGAGAGACACGGATCCACGTCTTGTGTAAAAGGTCTGTTCAGATAACCCTCTGATATCCTTTGATAATGTAACTAATGTAACATAGCCACTGAAAATCGCCAGTTTTTTTTAACTGTAAACCACCGAACTACATGGGCAATGTTCATCCAATCCTCGAATCTGAGGTTTTGATGCTGGCAATCCCAATCCATGGCATCCCGCCAAGGACTTCCCCCCAGGGCTGCCACCTGTTGAGGTCCATAATCACAAAGTGAAATCTTGAAAGCACCAGAAATACTGGCTTGATAATGCTTGATGTACATGTATGATGACAGTAGGACATAGGCCCTGTATGGCCCTGTTATACCAATCGGGGGATTACTTCCGAACTTTCCAATCAAGCAACCATGGTACAGGACCATAGTTTACTGCTGCTGGTGTATTTGCAAAAGGATGTGTAGAGTCATGTCAAATCAAATCATCATGGTATATGATATAATGAATATTGGTTGTGTTATTACATTATGTGAAAACGCCAAATAACGAAATCCAACATCAAAGCACGGTGTTACGTATTGTGGCTGTGTGGAAATACCTTGACGTACTTTGACAACAATACATAGTTTATTACACATAGATATGTCCATATCATTTGATTGATGTGTAGTCACTTGTTCCTATTAGCAGAGGAAACACTGTTGAGTTTTGGACCAAGGTAGCAGGTAGCAGGTGTAAGAGTTGCAAACGCTTTAGGATGTTGGGAGCAACTCTGACTTCCTTCCAAATAGCCTTCCAGACGCAACCCTCTAGATTTCTAACTCAGTTGGTCTCATAACTAGGCTGAGGTTTTCATGGCAGATATATCTATAGTTGGAGGCGGCCTGGATGGCACCCTGACCCCCTGCCGCAGGATGCAGAGAATACGATGTGCCACTGGTTTGCAGGGCACACTGCCTCACAATCGCCTAGATGCCCGCAGCATCCCCAGAAACGCCACCAGATCACATGGGATCACCAGGGTACCTGGTAGCACCAGGGCTTTCACCTGTTGTGTTGTTTTTGGGGCGAACGGGTGCCATCTTGCCAGTCAAGCGAGTTGAGTTGTTCGCTCAAAGTCCAAGTCGTTCTGCTATGTTATGATGATGATTTTTGAACATTTTTGAACTATAGCATAGAGATACCCATTACATCCCATTAATGATAGTTTGTTAATGTATAATTCGTACAGAGATACACATAGACATACACATTTGTACATTCACGCATCACTATTTAGATAATCATGCTCATGCTGAAGTAGGTGGAAACTAAACATGTATAAACATGTATAAACATGTATACCACGTTCCCATTGAGCGAGGATTTCTTAACTTTCCATCTCCAGGATGACTCCATGTTGGCGGTTGTTCCTACATGTCTTGAACGGCCCCATGTTCGGCCAAGGATTGACGGAGTATCTCCAGGAATCCTAACCAAGCCAAACCAGCAGTTTGCTATTGGCTACATTATACAATGGTTATATAATGTTATATACCTATATATATATATATCTATATCTGTTATATACCCATAATATATATATATAACTATCTATATCACCAGTATCTCCAGGATGACCACATTATATATAGACATCCTCATTGTTGGTGATATAATGTGATATAATTATATACCCATTTATTAGGCCAGTATATCCCACTCCGGGGGGGAGTGGCATCCTACTTGGTAAATGGGTTATAAGCCCAAATACTGTATATATGGAATATCCCACTTATGAGATTACATGGGTTATATAGTTATATATGGGTTATAAACAACTTACTAAGTGGGATGCACATCTCACTATACCATCATTTTTGTTGATTGAAGCTTGGCGAAACTCCCGCATTTAGTTCGATGATTTTCTCAGCTATACACCTCCGTTTGGTTGAGGATTTGCCAGCCGTGTTCGATGACACCAAAGGGTACTGTAGAGCCTTTAAACAACCACAAATAGACATCAATCATCGTTAATGACCATTGATCACCACTAGTCACCATCAATCACCATTAATAACCATTATTAGCCTTATTAACCCTTATTAACCATTATTATATAACCATTATATATAAGCCATTATAAACCATAATCAACTGTTTTTAAACCGTTTAAACGCGGGTTTCACCAGGCACAAACCGTCCACTCCGGCGCAACTTCTGGCGCAGTCCAAAGTGACGCGCAGGCGCGAGATATTTTTTTGAAAGGGATGCCACGTTAAGGGACCCAGACCCTCAAAGTACCCATAGAATAATAATAATAATAATATATATGCAATATATCTAGCAATCTAGCTGGCTAGCTATCTATCTATCTATCCATCCATCTATCAATTATCTATCTATCTATCTATCTATCTAGCTAGCTATCTATCTATCTATCTATCTATCTAGCTAGCTATCTCTCTATGTGTTATATGTTCATTTTGTCATGGTTAGATATGTGATTATAATTATGATATTAGTTGCTGTATTGCATAATATTGCATATAAACATGTACATCATGTTACTTGATACTTTATTATGTCATGTAAGCATTTATATTTCATGTGTTTACAGTAGTATTCATTTATAGATATACCATGACAAAAGAGTGCATGATTTCTATTTAACCCAAAGTTGATTCTCTAGACCTATTTTCATACCGAGAGGGTCAAGGTTGCAGCATGAGTTTTTCCGTTTGAGGCTGTGCCCCTGCGTTGCTGTGAATGCGTCTTCCTCATCCGGGCCAAGCCGCCATGTCCCAAACTCCATAGCTCCAGCATAGATGCTGTGCTTGTTCTGCAAGCTGTGGTTGTGGGCTTTTCCTACAGGGGTACCCCCAAAAGGATGGTTTATTTCATGGAAAATCCCAATCTATAAGTGGATGATAACTGGGGGTACCTCTATGACTTAGGAAACCATCATATGAATTATATGTAACGCAACGAAACGCAGCAGCTGCCAGGTTCAACTGTGGTCTTGGTGACCAGCAGGGCAGCCAAGGTAAAACATGGTAAAACAGTGAATCGTCCCGAAGCGCCCTAAGATTCAATGGAAACTGAGACATACAAGGGATAAACTATCCATCTTTAACTGGTATTCTGATTAGCATATTTATATATATACACATATTTATACAGATTTGTACATCAATATGCATATACACTTGTAATATATATAGTTTCACATCCGTACATGTACACATATGCATATTATCATATTGACATGTATTTACATAGAGAAGGAGGGAGTGACTCAGTGCTTAATCCATGTAGATGGGATGAGCGCGGGGAGGTGCTGACTACGTCATAACTGGGTACCCCTTACAAAGTGGGGTTACTCATAAAACGTGTTAAAAAGTGGTTGCCATACATAGATGTGTTTTCTAAACAAATGGTGCCCCCCCAGTTGCAAGTTGGCTTACTAATACCAATCAGCTATCTTAGCAGCTATCTCTATATATGTTTATATCATATATCCCTTGTAAACCCGAGTTATTGTAGTTATAAACCAACTTAGCTAACAGTTTGCGAACTGGAAAAACACCATGTTGCAGAACAGTAAATCTACTATAAAGCAACCATCCAGCACCATAGCTATTTTAGTTTACCATAGACTATTCCCCAGTTAATGGGGTTTCCATAAATGCAGGTACCCCAATAGCTGGATGGTTTATTTCATGGAAAATCCCAATCTATAAGTGGATGATAACTGGGGGTACCCCTATGACTTAGGAAACCTGTTGCCATCCTTTGAGGCCAGTGGATCCTGTGGTGCCTGTGGTGACTGACCCACAGGTGCGACGTCGTGAGTTTTTTCATGGGTGGTTTAGTGCTGATTGAGGCCTGATTGGGTGCCTATCAAAAGTTGGTTTAGAGTCTAATTACAGTTGATTTAGGGATTATTTAGGGTTAGTTTAGGGTTGACTTGTGGTTTACTAGGTGTTGTTTCAAATCTATTGAGGGTTCCGTTTATTTAGGTTTATCTTGAAACTTATTTAAGGTTGGCTTGGGTTTCGTTTAGGTTTATTTAAAAGTTTGTGTTGGGTCTATTTGGGGTTTGTTTAGGGTTAGTTTAGGGTTGCTTTAGGGATGGTTTAGGGTGCGGATAAGACTTACTTGAGCTTGGTTTAGGGTTTATTTAGGGTCGGTTTAAGGGTTATTTGGTGTTGTTTTTTACGGTTGGTTTAATGAAGGTTTAGTCAAGAGTATTTTAAGGCACTAGAGTCACAAACGGACGGAAGGACCAAGGGACCAGAGGAGATGGGCCAGAAATGGTGGGCAAAACCACTCCGAACTCCCAGTGTTGTTGTTGGACACAATCCTCAGATTATGACCCTCAAAACATGGATGCCCTGGTACCCCAAAGATTAGTCCGCCGTCCAAAATTGTGTTCGTCAACATCCCAACATCAACTCTTCGATTGTTCACACAGTACAGGTATCTCAGTTCAACCGTTCCTTCCCCAAATGCAAGAACCAACAAAATGCTGGCTCAACATGATTGACCTCCAAAAGAATGGACTGTCTGATCCTTTAGAACATCTGCTTGGGGCAATTTGTATCTCAAATTATCAGATTCCTCAGACATCATGCCATATTTTTTGGGGAAGTATCAAAATCTACTGTGAATAGAACTATCAGCAGCTATCCTCAAACAAGAACATGATATGTATATACAAATAATCCCATCCCCTCAAACAAGTCCCCCCTAGGCCCTAGACAAGCTGGTTTCGTATCAAATCGATTCATTTTGGAGTCAGAGATTGGGTGGTCTTGAATATTCATGTTGGCTATGTATATCCCAATTGAATTGATGGTTAAACCAGTTGATAAATCACCATGTCTGATGGTAAAGTTCTGCGACGGGATCACAGCATTTCCCCAATTTGCATAGCCGCCTGAGGCGCTAACAACCTCCACCACAGTGCTGAACTCGGAAGCAGAGGATGCAGGCACCTTCTGGGGTGCCCAATTATGTTATGTTTTTAATGCGATAATATGTATAACAACATATATATATATTATGTATGTAGATATTAGTATTAGTATTGCTACTATTATTACTATTAATTATTGTTACTTTTATTGTGATAGGTTTTATTCCCCACCTGCCAGGTGAGGGTTGTTAGATTTTATGTCAGTTGCCTGGTCCTCCTCGTCCTCCTCGTCCTCCTCCTTCTCCTCCTCCTCCTCTCGTTGTCCTCCTCGTCCTCCTGCTCAACTGCGACTCGCGATCCACAGTGTTCGCTGCCGGACCTCAACCACGACCATCCACGCCCAGTGTTCCCTGCCGGACCTGAACCACGACCATCCACGCCCAGTGTTCCCTGCCGGACCTCAACCGCGAGGATCCATGCCAAGTGTTCCCTGCCGGGCCTCAACCACGACCATCCACGCCCAGTGTTCCCTGCCGGACCTCAACCGCGAGTATCCACGCCAAGTGTTCCCTGCCGGACCTCATGTAGGAAGATAAAATGTCATATAGAGTGCCAGAAGATTTGCCAGGTAGAATGCCAGAAAATATGCCAGAAGATATGCCAGATAGATATGCCAGAAGATATTCCAGAAGATATGCCAGATAGAATGCCAGATAGAATGCCAGATAGAATGCCAGATAGAATGCCAGAAGATATGTCAGAATATATGCCAGAAGATATGCCAGATAGAATGCCAGATAATATGCCAGAAGATGTGCCAGATAGAATGCCAGAAGATTTGTCAGATAGAATGCCAGAAAATATGCCAGAAGATATGCCAGATAGATATGTCAGAAGATATGCCAGAAGATATGCCAGAAGATATGTCAGAATATATGCCAGAAGATATGTCAGATAGAATGCCAGAAGATATATCAGAATATATGCCAGAAGATATGCCAGATAGAATGCCAGAAGATATGTCAGATAGAGTGCCAGAAGATATGCCAGATAGAATGCCAGAAGATTTGCCAGATAGAATGCCAGAAGATATGCCAGAAGATATGCCAGATCATATGCCAGAAGATATGCCAGATAGAATGCCAGAAGATTTGCCAGTAAGAAAATGTATAAATGTCATGGTGGGGATCACACGAAGTAAAGTAATTGTTTTTTGATTATATGTACTATAGACACATATGTACCTGGAACCCCGAACAAGCGTTTCTTATGTTGCTACCGTGGGGAAGCAGGTCCATTGCTGTACCATTCTGCACTCTAACCTGCCATTTGTTTGGTTTGATGCCGATACATCTTTGGCGGTCGTGAGACATGTCACCAGATACAGGGTGGATTCAGGGTTCCTTTGTTTCTGTTTGTTCTCCCGAGTTGAGTTGTTTATACAGAAAAATCCTGATAATATATATATATGCATCTAACGATATACGTACATATATTATATATTTATGTATATATACATATGTTTAACTATGTATCTATAAGACCATATATTTATGCATATACCATATGATTGTATCTATGCATAATATAAATACACGAATGCATAGACGTATCTTCATGTACATATGTATATATATAGAGAGAGAGAGAGATACATTGTTGCTGAGTGATCCATCCCCCATGTTGGTACACACCCACACCTCCCGCCAGTGAGCTTGGGAGGTGATGAAAATCCACCTCTCGCCGTGCCAGAGGCGCTAGGATGTGTTCTTTTTGGATGGTTGAAGAGTTTGATTACCCATTCTGGTTGGTGGTTTGGAACATGAATTTTATTTGTCCATATATTGGGAATAATAATCCCAGCTGACTAATATTTTTCAGAGGGGTAGGTCAACCACCAACCAGCATTATTTTTGGTCAATCCACTAAGTTGTTATCATGTATTTATGGATTGAAGCAATTTGGGAAGAGTTTGATGGGTTTTGTCTATGGGGTGTTTATTTGGGGTTCTGTCTAAAAATTTATTGGATACACCAGTTTATGGCTATTTATATAGCGGAGAACATGATAATATATGATAATCAATCAGTGGTTTTAACCCCATTTTCAGACCAATTGGTGTTCCATTCCTGTCCTTTTTCTCTTTGTTCTAAATGATTTTTCTTTTGAAGACCCGGAAGCCTGAATCTATGCTCGCATTGGCACGAAAAATGCACAACTGGAAATCTTGGAATCTAACTCCAAGCAATATTCCATGCTTGCAGCTAGATGACTTGGTTGTCCATGTTCGCAAAAAAAACATTGAAAGCCAATCTCACGTTACCCACGAGATTGATTATATACATTATACGTCCTAGGCACTGATGATAGGAAAAGGAAACCTAGCAATGCGAATTCCCCATCAAGATATCAATTCAGTATGACTGATTTTCTCCATTGGAAATATTGAAGAATTGGCAGGAAATCCGCAGGATACCCAGAATACCGGGCCACAGCTTCCAGGTTCTACAGCCGCCTATGGTGATCTGCCAGGACTGGTGTGGTCGTCAATAATGGCGCCATAACCAATATGACGCCATAAATGTGGCAAAAAATGTTACCTCCCCTAAATGAAGGGATGTTTTTTTTAATGTTTTATGGCGCAAAATATAACACACGTCATTTACACATGTGGTTTGTCTGAACATTGGGAAAACACATGAAAAAACAAGTCCACTGGTCAATCAGGATCAAAAGCAATGCAGTTTGGGCAGGTTAATCTTGACCCATTCTGGAATGGCTTGTATACCCTGAATCCATTTCTGGCTTAAACCTCATTATTTCACCATTATTGATGACTTTCTCAATAGCACTGTTTGGTACATTGGGTGTACAACCACCCTTGTTGTTGGTTAAGAATCACCATGTGCGGCCATTGACAGTGAATATTATTCATTGAACAAATGAGCATTTTGGTGGTGAATTCATGCCAGGAATCCAGGATTTTACCAGGTGTTGCTCTTGAAATTCCTAGTTGTTTTCACCATTTTTACTAGTTAACCCACGGAAAATCGCCCATTCATGGATGCTTCATCTCACCCTTTTGCTGAGCCTTCATGCCGAGATTGCCGAGGAGCTTTGCGTCTCCGGCTTTGGTGCAGAAGTGCGGGAGCCCGCACTGATGACACAAGGCAGGTGTATAGATTTTGCCAAGGAATATATACCAATGTGTGTACATATCTGTGATGTATATATGTGATATATGTACATGTATATCAATATTTCATGGAGTATACAGGAACCACGCTATATATATATGATATAATATATAAAACATATAATATATATATATATAATAATATATATATATATATGTAATATCTCCGTGTTTTGTGCATGTAACTGCATGTCAATCTATCCACGAAAAGGAGGATGATGCTTAAACTGCTTAGATTTAGCCTATATAGTGAACACGGAAATAGCTGGTAGGTGGCAAGCTTACCATTTCAATGGGTGTGATTTCAACCCATCAGAAGTGCGCTTCTTGGTTTATCTCCCAAAAGATGGTTGAAAATAGCTATTGACCGATCCCCCAAAATTGCAGTTTCAACTTGTACTGTGAAGTTTTTCTGTATTGAGGGTTTGGGCATGTTTGGGCCGAAATTTGCAAAGCATTCCTTGAGCTCTTGATTGGAACTGCAGAGATTCGTTGGAGCTAAGGATGAGAAGCTCAATGGCAAGTACGTTCGCTGGGTTGCCCAACGAAGTTCGGCCCGGTTCTCTTTGAGAACATTGAGAGGGAGTTATGGTTATGGATGGTTCTGGCTTTGCCTGAAAATAGAAGAGCCTCTAAAATTAAATCCAGTGATTTACCATTGCTTTCCCCATTGAAATGCCATGAGCATGGGAAGTCTCCTCCATTTTCAGAGGGAACCTCCTCACGAAGTCATGAGCCATGGCTGCCCCAGCCTTAAAGGTGTATAATTATGGTAAAAGGCAACACAATAAACCCTGAAGCAGGGGTCCATGCATTGTAGACATACAGGCAACTTGGGTGTAGTGTGTGTATGTATGTATGTATGTATGTATGTAATGTAATGTAATGTAATGCAATGCAATGCAATGCAATGTAATGTAATGTATGTATGTATGCATGTATGTATGTATGTAATGTATATATGTATGTATGTATGTATGTAATGTATGTATGTATGCATGTGCGTACGCATACATACATACATACATACATACATACACACACACATACATACATGCATACATACATACATACATACACATAATTTATTTATATATATATATATACATATGTATGTATGAATTATAGCAACCTGGCAGCGACCTCGTCATGGTTGGTCAGGGAAACCGCCCCGAACTGACAAGAATGTTCTGGCTCAAGCCGTGATCCCCGGCTGTTGGCGCCTTTTTTTTGTGTGTCAGCCATGCCAAGTGTAGAGGCGACCCATCCGAGGGCGCGCTGGCCCCTAAAATGCCCTAAAATGTCATGATCCATTTATGTAGAGCGATTGTGGCCATGAATTGGTAAAGATGTGCTACAATTCTGGGCCTATTTACAGACACACACACACACAGATATATATATATATATGTATATACATATACATATATGGTAAACGATGTCAATTTATTTTTGGAAAACATCCGTAGATGGCTCCAGAATGGATCTGGATGCTGATTTAACCAATTTAAATGGAGCTATAAAGCCAACCATAACAGGCACAGAAATAAGGAAAGTGATGACAACCCACTGTGATGTGGAGGTACCCTATTCTCAGGCAAGTCTGATGATTAGTCTTTAGTAATTAAACATAAATTAGATCACATCCATGCTACATATCAAGCTGGAAAAAAACTTTTTCCAAACCCAATTGGTAGCTTTTGATGGTGATTCACTTGGTTTTCCGTATATGCTTTGTGTCCATAAATTCCATGAGCCTCATACCCCATACCTCCTCCCTCAGCATCCCTCATCATCCCATATCATTCCTGACTCATTTTATGGCTGCCACGTCTCCATCCTCATGGGGATGGGTCAATACATGTGTATATATATGTATATATATGATACATAAATAACCCAAATAATATCCTAATGGTACATATCCCATGTGCTATCATAATACATTATAATTATAATACATAAGTATAACTCCATAATACCACCGTTTGAGGGATTCACATCCACAACACTACCAGCTACGTTTTCGGGTGCACAGAAGGGAGCCGCTCCAGGAGACCATGCCTTTGAAGGTCAGCGGATGGGGGTCCGGGAAAAGTGCCATCAAAATGAGCCATTCGAAATAGCCTGGTTGATGGGTTATTATGATATGTTTGGGAGAAACATGCGATTAATCGTCTGGGGATATAGTTGGAGATATCGTTGAAGACTGACAGTTGATTGGTTCAATGATTCGGGACATACTACCAAATTTATTGGGTATCATGATAGCCCAAAATACGGCAATCTATCAACCAACTAGTAACTCGCATCGAGATGGGAAGCTACCCTTGGTCCCAAAAACTATAGGTTTCAAAGGGTTGGCCCCCTTTTGATTGGTCACAACCAGCAACAAACATGGTTGCCACAAAGGCTCGGATCCATGTGAGAATTATCTGACCGAAGTGACTTGTAGCGAACTCAAATGTCCCTCCAAGCCCCATAAATGAGGTATTATATCAGAGATTCATCAATTTGATTCCACCAAATCAGGTCCATGGTTCACATGTAGCACAAAGGAAGGCTATTTAAACACTTTGATCGTATATTATATATCAATCAATATATATATATATATATATATATAATTATATATATATATATGAATCAAAAACTGTCCGGAACCATGATATCATATGACATCATAGATGGTCAAAACCGTTGCCCCCTTGCCAGGCTGGAGAATCTAAAAAAAAAGCCTAGAATTTGTGGGTGATTAGTGGGTCCATTGGCAGCCCCAATGAACTTGACTGCCATAGGGGGAATGAGCTGAAGATCCATGGTACCAGTACCAGCCCCACCGTTTTAAGGCCATGAGCCAAGAGGAGTTGCAGCAGAGCGAGGAGAGATGTCCGACCTGCACCTCCAAAGGGGGCTCCAGGGTCACTGTGAAGTCGTCACTTCTTCAGTTGATGTCACTTTTGCATCTGTTTATTAGTCGGATGAATTTTCACTGAGTGCCAGCGTACACGGAAAAAAAAAAACAGACGCATGAACGATCCCGACGAATTGTCAACTTGGACCCAGGGTTGACACACAGTGAGGATCAGTACTAGGGACCAAGTACTGACTGAGCAAGCATCAAACCTCCACGTGGTGCTCCCTGGAAACCTGTTCGCTAACTTGGGTGGTCCATTCACTCGACGAACGGAGGTCTCTGGATTTTTGTCTTTAAACTCCGTCTTAACACCTTACCCCTACACTGCGCGCATACACCCCGGACACACAGTGTTCCTACCCACTCCGCTCACCGTTTTCTACATATCCGGTCCTCATACCTTACCCGATAATCAACCTGTACAAATGCCTTCTTTTTTGGGTATGGGGCGAACAGGGCCAACCCCACTCCCCTATTAGGGGGCGCTTGTGCAACACGCACAAGGGGGAGATGCAAAACGGGCGGGGTCCGAAAACGAGTAGCCGGGGCGTTGGAACTATGTCAACTTGGGGACTCGTTGGCTTACGTTCTTCCCTTGCTCTCTGACACCGTCCGGAGATGGCGGGTGGGCACCGACATCTCACCTATACGTGGCGGGTATACCACATCAATCTCTCTAACATCGCCCCATTAGACTTGTTTTCCCACATGGTTACATCTTCTTACACAACAACGTTTCATATTTTTCCTTTTTCCTTGGGCGTTTTGGCCCAAACCTCCCTTTTTTTTTACTGTTTCTATGCTGCACCCCTCAAGTCGTGATCCATGGTCTACTGTTTGATTGAATTTGTCGAACATATCAGGTTGCTTCTAGCTGTCGTGGATATTTCTGTCCAACACACCCTCATTCATCTGGCCCCTTCGCCACTCCACACTTCAGCTCCCTAACATGACTCTCCGCCACCATCAACCTTCCGCTGTCAGATCCGTTCTCCGTCGGGTTTCACGCATAAAACTAAAACAAGAACAAAAACGTAAACGCATCAGTCAGGGTAAATGGATACGTCGTGCTCAATTTAAACGACAATCCAAACGTTTAGTTGTGATGGGCACATGGAACACACGTCAACTCGGCGCCACCACAGGCTACATTGACCAAGACCTTAAATTAAATGCTCTCATGGACATTTGGGACCTTCGAAACTGGGAACTAGTTGCCCTAACGGACACCAAACTGGGCACGTCCAACACCCTGGGCACCCACAACCGGACCCGACCCAATTGGACCATTCTTAGCCGCGGTCGCGTAGCACTGGCCCTCAACGAACGCTGGTCCGAAGCATGGCAGCATAGCAACCTCCCCATCCACACAGACGGAAACGGCCAACAATGCCGGATGATGCTTGTCCACATACCATGCTTTCAACGGCTAGGACTCGCTATTATCATCACCTACGCCCCCAGCAGCAACGCCTCACCTGAAGATCATACCACTTATTACACCAACTTGGAAGCCCTCATCGCCAAAGTACGCCCGCGATTTACCCTCCTTATCGCGGGGGATTTCAACGCAGAAGTTGGTACCCGATCCCCTGAAACAGGAAACGCCCTCGGCCCACATGGCCCCAGTCATCGTACCAACCGAGGCCTTCACCTGTGCCAATTCTGCAATGAACATGGCCTAGCCGTCGCCAACACATGGACGCCACAACGCACCAAGGCCACCTGGTGGCACCCCCGCTTTGGCACTTCACACTTGATTGACTACTTTCTCATTTCACACACACACATAGGCAACACACATTGGGTACTCACTATCCCCCCTGACGTTGCCAGGACAGCGCACCTAGAAGAATGGACGCCCTACACGGATCACAACCCAGTGGAGATGACCATCAAATTGGCCCCGCCAAAAGGCATCTTTGGACATCGTAAACTACCCCCCCGCCCCGCAACGTACAAGGGCCGTGGTAAATCTCAACAGGCAATCGCGCTACGTATGCAATATCATCATGCCATCACCAACAAACTCCAAACCAACACCCCCTGCCAAACATGGGATGAAATCGCATCCTTGCTTACAACAACGTCCGCAGAGGTCTTCGGATTCACTGAAGCTCAGGGGGGTAAACCCTGGTTCGCGGGACGCCAAACTGAGATCAAGCGTCTCAACTCACAAGTCTCCACTGCCAAACACAACCTCATCGTTTGCACCCAAGTTGCACGTGACCAGCCACACAACCCCGAAGCACAACACCAACTACACATCGCCAAACAGTCACTCCATACCGCCAAACGCGTAAAACGACGACTCTTCACACAATGGGAACGTGATTATTGGCACACAATCGGACAACAAGCTGAAGATGCCGAAACACGCGGCGATACCTATGCCCTTTACTCCCTCTTCTCTAAACTTAAGGTCCGCAAGGCCAATAGCACCCGCAGTTCCCTACGCACTGTCAGCCGTAACCCTTTTGCAGAAGCTGAATCATGGAAGGATCATTTTAGTAAAATACAAAACGGTGCAGTCCCCGTGGCCGACCGCGTCTGGGACAGCATACCCACCAACCCCATCCCCGCACAATGGCTGAGTGACACCCCCACGACACACGAACTGACGCGCGCGCTCGCTAAAATGAAAATCGGAAAGGCGCCCGGAGATGACGGTGTCACTGTCGAGATGCTTAAATGGGCACCCCAACAAGTCCTTGACAACCTCTTCACATTCACCCAACACCTTTGGGACACCACTTGTAGAGCCCCGCCCGACACTGCCACAGCACACTGGCCAGACTCCTGGATGCAAGCCACCGTAATTCCCCTCTGGAAACAAAAACACCCCAAAAGCAACAAAAATAATTGGAGAGGAGTCACTCTCCTCTCAATCGGTGTAAAATTAATTTCCCGAATTGTCGCCAGTCGTATACAACAATTCTCTGAATCCTTCATGGACGAGGAACAACAAGGCTTCCGCCGAAATCGGGGGGTCGACGATGTACTGCAAGTGAGTCGGCGTATCGCCGAAGAAATCTGCAGCTCGCGCGGCACTGACAACGTGAAACTAACCCTGTACGATATCGAGAAAGCGTACCCCCGCATAAATCGTGAAGCGCTATGGTCCCTTCTACAAAAGCGAGGAGCCCCCTCACCCTTCCTGCAGGTCTGTAAGGCCCTACACAATCACACACAGTTCCATATAAAGCTGGACGGCGTACTGTCTCATAACTACGAGGCGGACCGTGGCCTCAAAGAGGGCTGTCCGTCCTCTCCTCCACTTTTCAACCTTTACCATCAAGCAGTTCTACACGACTTTCGCGCACGACGCAAACGATCCGCCACAGCAGCCGGACTTACCCCCGGTATACAATGGAAAATTTTCGTTGATGGCAAATTTACCCGACGCCGCAGAGCATACCAAGCCCAGACAAACAGCAAAGTTCACATCTTCGGAGATCTCGAATTTGCCGATGACACCGCCACCATTGCAACCGAAGCCGAATTCCCCGCCGCCGACCGCTTACTCGAACAAACTTTCACCGATTGGGGCGAGAAACTCAACCGCACAAAAACCGAAACTCTTCTCCTCAAACCAGGCACCCCTCCTGAACAACGCCGGGACCCCCCCCAGGCCCACACCTCCGTCCGTCATGTAGGAGGCATCTTGTCCGACACCGGCGCTCAATGGCGAGACACTCTACATCGATGCATGCAGGCCCGACGTCGAGCTAAGGAAATCGCAAAGGCATGGTCCACGAGCACACACCGGGGACGAGGGGACACCAGCCGCGTTAAACTCCTGGCCCGTTTGCGCGTAATGCGTAGCGTAATCCAGCCTACTCTCACCTCCTTCGGCCGCACCCGCCCCTGGACGAGGGCTCAAATTGGGGCCCTGCAGACCGCGCAAAACTACGCCCTACAACGCGTGTTCGGACTCGACAGACTGGCCCTACACGAACTTCACATCACAAACGAACAGCTCCACAATGCCGCACTCTGGCCCCCCATCCGCACCGTGCTGATGAGGCAAACCCTCCGTTGGCTCGGCCACGTTTGCCGCATGCAAATTCACCGACTCCCTAAACTGGCCCTTTTTGGAACTTGGATCCAAAACACCTCGAGTCCTATTCGCTCTCATAACCATCTCATCTGGATCCACACCACACTCACTGAGGCGGACATACACCCTATGGACTTCTTTCGCTTAGCACAAAACACGGACGTCACCAAATGGGAACAGCTAATCAAACGCGCATTCCCCCAGCCTCGCCTTACCCCCGCTGCCGCCCGCACGCTCAACCACTGGCGCAGCGGCCGCCCCCTCCCAGACCACAGTCACCTACGCTTTCGTCAAACCCGGAATACGTGGCATACCCTGGCGAGCAGAGTGCCCGCAAATGCCGTGCCTCGAGCAATTCCCGACGCTACAGGCACTTCAACACCACTACCGACTCACCCACGCCATCACGGATCCCGCCCTCACCACCTTCTCCAGTTACCAATGCAGCGAATGCCGCAAAACCTTCACCACACCCCATGCACGCCTCAATCATGAATCCAGAATACTATACGCTATCCCAAATGCAGACGACACGGACTTATTCGGTTGGAGACCCTACACTCCCCCCCTCATCGACCCACTTCCCCAAGCATGGAAACTCTACACGGATGGCTCTTTCAACCCCCACGTCCCGCAAAACGCTGGCTGGGGAGTGGCCGTCTACCGTGGCGACGACCCCGCCGACGCCCATTGCCTCTGCGAACTGTACGCCCCTGTCTGCCTCGACAGAGAGGATCAACGCTTTCTAGGAGCCGAGCAGGCTAGCAACAACACAGGGGAACTCAGCGCTATCGCTGAGGCCCTACTGTGGCTTAGGGATGAATGCCCGGGCCCAGCTGGTGTCCCTGCAGAAATAGTCTACGATTCAAAATACGCCGCGGACCTCACTCTCGGAGTCACCGAACCCCACGCCAATCAGGAACTTGCTCAACAATGTCACTTCCTCTACCGTCAAATCAGCCGGTCCCGCCCACTCTCGCTTAAATGGGTCAAAGGGCATTCAAACACACCGGGCAACGACAAAGCAGATGACCTGGCCAACATGGGACGCAGATTCCTCATCACTACACACTCCCGCCGCTGGGCCGCCCCGAAACAGAACGCGCTGACCAAAGTAAACGCAGAAACGTGTCGTAAGTGCGGCAGAATCTTCCGGGATGCGCGTAAATACGCCAAACATGAAACATTTTGCACCGCCCCCCCCAACCCCAGCAGGAACAAGACCTCAACCACCACCCATGCCGCATTTGCAATGAACCATGCCCCACTCGCAAACTCAGAAACATTCATGAACTCACGTGCAACGGAACCCCCGAAGCCAACCTCAGTTGTAAATTTTGTCGCAAAACCTTCGAGAGCACCACATCCCGTATTTTTCATCAAGGGGGTTGCGGTCACAAACAAACAGCCGCTTCTCCATCCAAGGTCAAATGGACCTGTCCCCGGTGCAATTGGAAGCTGATCAAGCATATGAGGCAAGGCCCCAGTAAAATTGAAGATGCGCGCAACAGACACACACAACAATGCCGAGGATCAGACCTTCTGAATCGCACATGCACTAAATGCAACAAGGTCTGGGACAACATGACCGCCCGCTTAACCCACCAATCCCAATGTAAAACTGATGAGGAACAACGAACTTGTCGATGCTGCAACGAGCTTTGGGAGACCAAGGAACGTCGGTCGCATCAGTCACGAGAAAGTTCAGAAACGCCGAGGTACCTTTTGAGTATAGTGTTGTGTCTTTCAGCTTTCCGACCCACCGTCCACCTCCGTTTTTGTCTTGCCGCCCTTCCCGACTCTACCCCCCGCCTTTGCACACATGCACGCACCGACACACACACACACAGACACTGATGGATACAACATGGGGGAGGTGTTCTCTGGCACCTAACGTCCTTTGGCGCCCCCGGAGCCGCCCTCCAACGGCTGCGCAATGCGTGAGTGCACCTTTACACACATGTCACACTTGGGCGAGCGTGCACAAACGCAACTTTTCCAGACGTACGCGCGCGTACCCACACTGGCAGGCACAATGCACAACAACGGGGGGAGGTGTTCTCTGGCACCTTATGTCCTTTGGCGCCCCCACGACCGCTCTCTGGCGGTAGCACGGCGTGCAGATGCTGGATACACACGTGCATTCGTACATTTTCGGCCCTCACTGTAGGCTCTTATCGTGCAACCCCCCCTCTCCCTTACTTTCCTTTTTTCCCCTTTTTTTTTCTTTTTCCACCTTTGTTTTCGCACATGTGCACGCGTGCACCCACAGACATGCACAATGCGCAACAACGGGGGAGGTGTTCTCTGGCACCTAACGTCCTCTGGCGCCCCCAAGACCGCTCTCTGGCGGTAGCACGGCGTGCAGATGCTGGAAAGTATACACGGGCATATGCATACACGCGGCCCTCTTTTTGAGCTTCTCATCGTGCACCCCCCCTTCCGTTCCCTTATCCACCTTAATCTTACACTCGAACATAGATCTAACTACTAAAGTTGATCCCCCATGCTCGCAGACTGGCTCAAAAACCCAAAACTAAAAACAAAGGAAAAAAAAAAGTATGCCTCCCAGCCAAGAAATCATCCGCCTTACCAAGGATGTACACCACCTCGCCCAAGGGCTCAGGGTGATGTTATGGAATTTCGCGTTCCTAACACCAATTTTTAACAGACTCAAGGCCGCTCACGAGCTGAAAAATGTGGTCAAGGAGATGATCCCTCCCCTCCTGGCCTTTTTCGCAGAGGTGATGGGGACTGACTGGAATGCCCCACGCATGACAGCAGGTACCCGCGAAATCTTTGAACGACTGGAACGCGAATGTAGGGATGCCGGTGTGAGTGCGTGCATCAGCCAGTGGATCATGGGGCAAACACCCATGGCCCTTGACTTTTTGGAATTTCTGACCCAACGAAACATGGTAGGGATTTTCCAAAAAGGAGAGAACAACTACTTACTGATATTCCGAAACGTCGAGGGCTCGTTAAAACTGGCATACTATCTAACGACGATAATCGGAGAAAAGCTTCGCACGATGGAAGTGCAACAACGCATCAGCTACGACAACAAGAAGCCACCGGTCCTACAGACACAAAAGGGAAAAGGAAAAGGTAAGGCACAGGCAAGTAACCAGGGCAAAGGCAAAGGCCATCAAGGCCGAGGCAAAGGAGGAAAGGGCAAACACCGTAGTCGTAGCCCACGCAACCTGGGACCGGTGGGAGCACCCCCCAATCCCCCAGCACCCGCCCATCCCCCCCCGCGGAAACAGGGACACCCCCCACCCAGAGGGGGCCCCTGAGAGCTAAACGGTAATTTCTGGGACATAAGGGACCCACGTGCTATCTCTTTGAAATTTGCCTCTGGTTGTCTTCCCTGTTTCTGTTCAAACAGCATGTTTTCGAGGGCACTTAACATATATAGTTGACACATGGTTTAACCCAGTTAGTTCCATGTTATGCCACTGTTTTGATTTCTTCTTTTTCAAAGAGATAGCTGTAGCACCACGGCGGGGGAGCCTCGGCCCGGGGGGTCAGCAGACAGGTTTGTTTACCACTGGTTTGAATTATATTTTGTGACTACTCCGGTTATTTTCGGGTCGTGTCTCACCCACGGAGCCGAGGCCCCCAAAGGACCCACCTTAAGAAATACGGTTTTTAACGGATTTCGTCTTAAGACGATAGGAGAAGGGAAAAAAAACAAAAAGAAAAAAGGACCCACGTAGGTCTCACTACCGTTGTCCTTTTGGAACGATACACACTTTCAAATGCAGCTGTAGACCAATCCGTTTCACCAGTTGGATGGGAGGCATACAGGGATTTCCACCATTTGTCCACACAACACATTCTCAAGACAGCGCAACCACAAATCATGTGACAACGAGTTCGGATCACGACTTCTTCACTTTCCTTTCTTTTTTTCGGCGACATGTACCATGGGGAAACAAGTGGCTCGGTGCCACGGATGGCGGCGCTGGGAGCTCGATGATGATGATGAAGGGGGCTCCACCCTGGAAATCAAACGGTCCCAGGGGTTCGAAAAACCGAGATTTCAGGAATCCAAGTAAGTTGCCAAAAACAGGGCTAGTCCCATTTGATAAGCAGCTAAGACTATGAATGAATCTCATAATGTCAAAACATGCCTTATACCCAAGTGATCAACATCCATTGCACATCAGCTGCGGCCGAATGTACTCCGACAGCGTCAAATCTTGCTGAATCTTAAGATCTTTTAAGTGCGGCATGTGTGCATACGGTACATGTACCATGTACATGGAACAAATACACACACACATACATGTATAATATAGGCGACAAAATGCATCCATCCATCCATCCATCCATCCATCCATCCATCCATCCATGGTCTGATGGCCCAGGAGCCTTCGCAGTATCCAGCGACTTCCCGGCTGTTCACGCACATGTCCAAGGTTTGCGCTCTGAACAGGGAGTATACCACCAAAATGAAGTCATATTTCAAGGTATCTAGATCAAATGTTAATGTATTTGGGTCCGTGATAAGCCCACTAGGTAGGCCCCTTACCCGCCACAGCCAAAATAACTACCGTCTACTACCATATTGACACTTGCAGCTGCCACCAGGGATAAGAGGGATGATGGGCAACGGGTGGCATCACCGTCAGAAATAAGAAACATTTTACATAATAACCTGTGTGATTGACCTAAGTCTTCTTCATAGTCATCATCGTCGTTATCACCACTATCACCCTGCTCATCACAGGCAAGCAGGTCTTCATCTTCATGATCAGACTAGAGCTACAGAAACTATACCCCATATACACGTCAATGCGCCCAAGGACTGCAGCGAACCAAAATCGATGTACCAGGCATTTCTGTGCATTTCTGTTATTTAAAAAAAAAACGATGCACCTGGGGTATCAGCACATCAAGATCGATGCACCAGGTCCTACCCTCAAAAACCAAGATTTTCAATGCACCAAATCCAGTTTGGTGCATTGATTTTTATGTTGAGCCAGCAACGTAAAATCAATGCACTAAGATGTTTTTGTGCGATTTCCGAGCGGCTAGTGCATCCAAAAAATCAACGCACCTGGTGCCAGAAAATCTCGAAAGTCCAAAAAATCAATGCACCAGATCCAGTTTTGGTACATCGATTTTGGTCTCCCGATGTCCCTAGGTGCAGTGATTTTGGTATGGGATAATCCCTATGTGCATCGATTTTGGGTTGCTGATACCCCTGGTGCATCGATTTTGGCTCGTCGGAGTCCTAGGGTGTATTGACATAATTGGAGTGTTGGTCCACCATAATATGGGGTGTTGTCTCTGTGGGTTAAGACTGAGCACGAAGATGAAGACTTACTTGCACATGATGTTTATGTTTATGTTGAAGGAGGCTTAGATTAGGTCAATCATGAACCTGAAAAGATGATGACAATGATGATGGTGATCACGGAGATGGTGACGGTGATGCCGCCCGTTGCCCATCATTCTCTCGTATCCTTGTTGACAGCTTCAAGCGCCAATATTATTGTAGTAGACGGCAGCAGTTGTGGCTCTGGTATGCTCTGGCGGGTAGGGGCCCTATCCAGTGGGCTTATCACGGACCCAAATACATTCAAATTTGATTCAGATACCTTGAATTTAACTTAATGGTCGTTGTAATAATGGAAATTGGAGGTTTATGGCCTTGGGTTTACATCATTATATAGGGGGTTCATAAATACAATAAAGACGATATTTCATTATTATATTGGAGGTATTTCATTGAAGGACACAATTTAAGTTTACCATATTGGGGGTTTCATCAAATGGGATTGTTATCCTTCAAAATTGCAATTTTAGATAGGGAAATCTGATGATTAACCAATGGAGGTGCCCGATTTTCAGATAAACCCACATATGATGAAGGGAGAAAAGGTGGGAAAATAATTGCTGAACGTTTGATTTCAGAACGTGTCTGACCAAATTCAATGGACTTTCCAGGTGCTTTTGTGCAAAGATTTGCACCCAGTATCATGATACATGCACACCTTTGCGTCATGCAATTCATGCCTGATTGTTTGGTTGCGTCCCTCTTTATCAAATCATTGGTGGTGTACAGTAATTTGTTGGCGCTTTTAAACCTTGGTGCCTTCAAATCGTTTTGATTTGCCCCTCCTGCCTGGGATATTTGTAGGTGCTAGCAAGGGAAGATTCAGCAGTCAGGCTTTGTCCATTGCTGCTGTTTGCGGCGTCATACTGGTGATTGCTTGCGTCTTCCGAGTGGACAAGGTGTGCCAGGGACCCGTGGTGGCAAGATACACTGTGCAGGTGTGTGTGTGTGTGCTGGTAAACGTATGAATATCATTGTTTAGTTTAGTTCTACTGAATTTCTTGGAGCGACTGGAGATCAGAAGATGTACAATAGACTATAAACTGATGAGATGAAACTTCTAAGGCTTTGAAACTTGTTATCAGGGCTGTTTTCCTACCTAGCTACCTAATGTATATGGCGCAAAGAGATAGACTCAGATAGACATGTCACTTGAATCCAGCGTGGCAATGGAACATTGCCCATTTATAGATGCTTTGCCCACTAAAGCCTCCATTAATGTGGCATGTCCCATTGCCATGGTTGATTACCGAAGGGTAGCAATATTGGGAGTTCCTGTATCAGAATTTACATGGGACCGGTGAGATGGAACGGGCTGAGTAATGTCCTTTGTTTATCCTTTAAAAAAAGGGCTCTTGTCGAGGCTATTTCAGCACCCTAGGAATTTTCAACTACAGACATTTTTTCAGTCTAGAGATGTCTAGAGCCTAGAGTTTGCTGAGTAGCACATAAAAACACATCGAAAAAATGACCCATGGTGCCATGGGCTGCAATGCCTTGGTCGAGACTCGAATACTGTACCTATCTGTACCTAGTCTGAATGGAAAAAACAAAAGAAATACCATGTTATCATGTTATGCTTATTGATGATCCAATATGGCTATGATATGTCATAATTTTGTTGAGTTTCTTTGAAATGTGTTTTTGTTTGTAGACATGCCTGAACTAACATAACTAAACATGATCCCACACACTGTCTCACACTTGGGCAAATTCATTTGCTGCATTTGGTTGGTGGCTAGCATTTCATATGGAAGAGTGTGCCACATGTTATTTTCCGGGTCGTAGTTCCAAGCTACATGGGATTGGGTTTTCCTTGTTTTGCAGGAACGTCTATGCGGGTTACACTCTCAACCACAGAGTGGATGGTTGTTTTTCAGGGTAAACCGTACCATCTTTGTCGATTCAGGAGCATGCTTGTTGATTAACATAATCTGACCTCATCGAAGTAGAGGTACAAGTAGTACCCAAAGGTTATATATTCTATGATATTCTAATGGGTTACATTGAGTAACATGAATTGGGCACTACATGAATTTCTGCCAACATGATGGGACTCTCTTCAATTATGCGAAGTGTGACTTGCGGCAGGTGCCACGCAGCCAAGCCTCCGAGAGTATGGAGAAGCAACCATGGCTCAATGGGTTTCTTCAGTGCTGAGACCAGCTGCATTTTCTATGGGGATTCATGACCAAACCGCAATATCAATGGATTGGTCGAATTACCCTCTGGAAATGACTAACATAGCCATGGTATAGATGGCCCTAATCGAAATAGATGGTTTACCTATTAAACATGGGTGGATCTTTCCATGGCTATGTTAAATAACCAGATGTTCACGCTTTTTTCTTTTAACAGGCAGCCGGGAAGCCATTACTTTTAGCCTTTATATGGGGCTACTGCAGCCTGCATGTTTTTTCCTTCCATTCCATTGTGGGATGATCCAGTAACTGCCCGCCTAAGTGCGGTGTCATTTCTGTTTTGACTTATGTGATTTGATGTGTGAGGTGTGTTTGTGTTAGATCATATAGTCAAGTTCTCCTGAATGAATATGTAAATATCAATGTTATGTAGTTTTATAATGAAGGTGTGTGCGTGTGTTGTGTCTTTGTGAATTTGAGGATGATTACATATAATAATATCATATATTACATACTACGCCATCAGTTGTCATTTGGTCAACTTCAACAGTTCTGTTGCTTTGAGACGAAAGTACACGCGTGTTTTTTGTATCCAATCCTGAACATGGTGCCACGGTCACTTTCTCTACGGCCAACGCATTCAGTGACACTTCACATACCAAGATTTCCTGGATTTCCAGAGAAATGTTCAAGCAAGACTCACCAATTGGGGATTGACCAACACCTATTGACCTAATATTATACATTAGATCATTAGTATACAGTATTAATTACACACGATTTAACATTATTATATATACATGACTATAATATGATACATTACTATACATTATGATATATTATACAGGATTATGCAACATGATACATTATACATATACATACATATATATACATATATATATATATACACACATATATATATATACATATATATATATATGGTGGCCTATTATACATGTATCACACATCATGAACATTCGCATCGTCGTTTTTTCGTGGCTTCAGGTGGGATCAAAAGGATGCCAGTGGCCAGTGCGGCCTCATGGAGAAAAACATGGACTATGCCACCTGGCAGCGGGCACCGAAACGTGACCCTTCGTTGGGGGCCAACCCTTGGGGGCCCGGGAAAACATGGAGATGTTAGTGATTTAAGCAAGGAACATAGGATATCTGCACCACTTTGGATGACTTAAACCCTGTAAAGAATGGGATAAAGCACCTATCAACGGTGCAGGATTTCGCAACCATCCACAGTATGAGGATATCATGTTTGTTTTGTTATATCGGCAGTTCAATTTGGATTTAATGGGGATAAACACCAGCAATACTGGTGGGATATTTGGATGTGTCTGTTTCAGCGGAGGATTGACCCCATCAAATGGCCATGAAACATGGGATTTTATATGATTTTATTGGGATGTTGATGGATTTTGCGGGTTTTCCCCCAAAGTTTCAGAGAACCAAGGGGATGTGTAGGCCATGTATCCCTGGGATGTCCCAAGATGTGCCGAAGTGTAGCCACAGCCAGGGCCCCAAGAGTTGCTTATGGGGATTGACCATTTGAAATTGTGTGTTATACCCTTTGGTAATCAAACGTGGCAATGGAAAAAACGGGAAAATCACCAGTATATAATATATAAATGGTGGATTTTCCATTCTTGTGTTTGAGTACCGGGGTACCCTCCATAGTATCAATAACCATGTTGTTCCTGCCATAAAGGGCTCTGTGATTCTTGAGTCTCAGCCAAGGTTGAATATTCTGGCTGGGGGAAAAATCTGGACCACATCCCAGACCCTGACATGTGCTGTGCGTTCTGCCAGGCCAAAACTTAGAGTCACGGACCGACAGTTGATGGAAAAGGTGTCACTGAAGTCATTGGTTCTTATGCATGTATGCGGCTCGTTCAAATTGGTACGTCCTCTAAACTCTGGGACACCTGGGAGGTACCTGAGTCTTTGGTTTGGTACATGTTGCTATTGTAAGTCTCCTTGCTCTCGCCAGGCAGAGCCCAAATGCAAATCCTTTGCGTGGGTCGAGGATGCAGGTTTGGACGGATGTCCCAGTCAATGCTGGTTGAAAGGCCGGATGGCTGGAGGAAGATGCGGAACCGAGGTTTTTCGATTCGAATGGCCATTTTTGCGGTATTCCACAGTTGCGGACACATCATGACCAATCCATGCGGGAGATTGATCCTTTTGTCGCGGTTGATATGCTGAACATTGCTGAACTCAGAGCTGGGGACGGCTCAGGTGGCGAACCTTCAGATAAGAAACCAAAGGATGGAGTTGTGGACTTAGTACACTTGCAGGCCTTGCAGGATGTGGCAGGCTCACGAACCATGCCCCAAAATATCCAAAATGGAGATCCGTTAGATCATTGGATGAGTTGTAAAGGCATCTATTGGTGAAACGTGGATAGGTACAGTCTACTGTGCTAATTGATATGAATCAAAGATATAAATCAAAGGCCTACCTGTGTTGATATGTCGATTTTTGTAGGCCTTTGTATCGGTTGGCTGGATTAAACCAGCAGGACAAGTATCATTTCCCTGTGGGGTTGCGATGAAACCAGATGCTGGAAAGACTTTCAAGCAATCGGGGCTGAAATGAGTCCCATCTGGCCTGTCTGGCATGAAGGTAAAGCATAGGCAAAGCCATTACTTCCAAAACATGGAAGGTACACAAGAGCAGAGAGGGCGAATGAACTTGTGCAATTTATTATTTGTAGCTCATAGATGTGTACAGATATCGCAGTATTTCTGTGCAAGTTTTTTTTTGTGTATTGTTATGTGGTAAGAAAAGGTTCAACATGATTTGTTCGTTCTCAAGAACTCATCTCCCCAGTTTTTGGATCATCCCAGCTGCATGGTTGGGTAAATCCCTTGATAAGTTGATGGTGAAATCCCAAATCTTCATGGTGAAGCTAACACTTTCGCCAGTTGAACTACAGTACCGGAATTGATGGTTCAATTACCGCAGATATGTATATATATATATCACGTATGATGGTTAGATCGTGTTACATCAAGTGACATCCATATTAACTCCATTGTTAACGATTCAACTCCATATTAACTCCGCTAAAATTATTAACTCTACATTAGCTCCATTGATATGATTAACTCCATATTGACTCCATTATATACCATTTAATTTTATTAACCATTATTCCCGATTATTAACCCCAAAAAAAATGGAAGCTTGGCGATTGAGGTTATCTCTGGACTTCCACCTCCACGACAAGCCTTCCACATCGCTCCCCAAGAAGCTTCTCCGGCAACTCGACGCGTTTTTTTAACCCAGAAAAATGGCAACTGGGTCTGTCTGAAAACGGCGTATACCTCCCAAAAGGTACTTTTCATAGGAAAACTGCTGATTGACCAATGGAATTTAGAGGTACAATATTTTCAGACAAACCCAGCTATATAACACCATTTGAATGGGCGGCATTTGGGAAAATCATGTGTAAACCTTCGAAATCATCTAAACTAAACCAATGGCTTTAAATGGTGATTCCCCAGCAAGAATGGATAAACACAAATTATGTTGGGATACATCAGGTGTTGTATATGATGATAAGATGGGGGTGTATGATAACATGGGGGTACAATGGGATTTCACCCACAAGATATGAAAATGATTGAAAATGGCGGATTAACGGGAGAAATTATGACCAACGGAAGTACCGGTACCCTGGTTTTGGACAAGCCTGAGTGGGAAAGTCACAACAACAGTAGCAGTTGGCAGATGTCCCATGAATGGGGAATTTGGACATCAGCCTCAAACGGTTGTTCGCATCGTGATTGCATGAGCCAGGGTGTTGGTCAAGCCTGAGCCATAATCACTCTTATTGCACCAACCACAATAGAAATACTATTGTAGCCAATCAATGTGGGGATGTTCACCCAAGATGACTGTGAAATAATATCGTAGAACCCTGAGAATTGATTGGATGGTTCAAAACAACCATATGGGTACAGCATGTCTGCAGGTGTAGTCACAAATCCCATGGTTCATCATTGATTTTTGCGATTAAAGTTGCCATGATTAAATTGGGAGTATAAGCCAGTCTAGACAAACCCAGATGTTAGCGCGCATAATGGGGAGAAAAAATATATGCTTGGTCCATCAGCGCACAGAGGACAACCAGTATAATGTGCCGTGCAAGTCCCTGCAGGCAGCATAAACGAATACATACAAACATATTTATTATGTATAATGATATATGATATATATATATATATGTGCATATAAATATAGACACATGTGTATGCAGTGTATATGTATATTGAATATATATGATTAAATTATATATGCATGTATTCCAATGTACAGTACCATGAAATCAAGGTGATTCAATCCCATTGAGATCCATTGAGTGCAGGGTTTCAGATGAGCACAGGATCAGTTTCCTGTGCGGCGCGCTGGGATGTTCTGCTTCTCCCTGATGTTGCCCTTCGGCTACGAAGTTGAGCTTTTGGCCTGGCAATATGCACACCAGGCAGGATGTGCTGTAGCCGTCGGCAGACATGGTGGCTATGTTTAGGATGTTTCAACCCCCCGATGACATTTCAGTTTCTAGTGCTGAGCATGCCACATTGTGGCTACACCTTCTCGACTTGACCCCTTTGCAGCTTTCTTGTCGGGGCGTATACATCTTGGTAAATTATGAGCATCCCCCTTGTCAGGACCCAAAAATGATGAATGGTACGGAGAAATGTGCCAGATCGATGAATCTGAAGAGCAAGAATAGGAATCACGACTGATTTGCACCCCAATTGGTTGGGCCTTGCTCCCCAAGATTTGCTGTGACGATCGAGTCATTCAGGTATCCAAGCATTGGGTGACCCAGGTTGATCAATGATCCATTCCTTAAGTGGTGTTAACGACCAAAAGTGTGTTCTTTTGGCCAATGATATCCAGTGATGTACAGATATGTACAGTACTAATCGTAGCTAGAATCCTAGGATTCCACCATTCCACCCGAACGGGACTCCGGGACAGGTGAGTATCTTCGATTGTGAAAAATTTGCTGCCAGCAGACCCAGCGGAGTTGTCTCAGAGACTGTCAGAAACTGTGGAACGTCATATCTCAAGGTGGTAGGTGGTAGGTCTAAATGGCTGCAAGGTTTTAATCCGTGGCTGCACCCAAAAACAGTGAAAGTCATTGCCACGTATTTGGTCCCCTTCAACCATGATTTTGGCTGGTTTTGTGGCCTTGATTCGAGGGCTTTGAACCATATTATCCATATTGTACTGCGCGAATGTTGGTAGACTGCACTGCGTTGGGGTCAGTGAACCACGAAGACCCCCTAAGATCCCTTGGAGATGCAACAAGGTGCTCCATGCATCATAAAATGCCGTCCACCAGCAAAATTGCAGGATGTCAGTCTTATCCCATAAAAGGGGATGGTCGTTCCCTTATTGACAAAACTAATAGGGATTGATAACAGATATGATATAATTTATATAATATACTCATCATGTTCCCCTTATGGGATGGATGCCCAGGAGCATCTATGTCTTTTTGCACTTTGTCGGAGTCCTGTCCACTTTCCACCGTGCCTTTGTTGAGGTCTACACCAACAGGTCTATGGAAGTTGGAAGTGGAACAGGCGCATCCGTTCAGCCAATGTCCATCAGATGTAAGTACAGCAACTAGTGGAGAGAGGATACGCACTGTATTCGCAAAATGATGCAAAAAAAATAACTTTTGTACAGTCGCGAAACTCAGTCGCGGGCTTCCTGCACTCCGGTGGACATCTCGAATATGAAGGAAATGGACATCTCATAAACGGCACGTTACTGTTATTCCGATGGCCGTAAAAACCATGCGTGAGCGTCGCAGCGTGGAAAATGGATGCTAATACACATTTGAAGAAGATGATGACTTTGGTCTAAGTCAGTGTACCAACTTATTGTTGAATTGATGTAAATTGATCATATGTTGGCTGGAAACATTTTCAAAAATGCACACCTTCCCAATCCCATGTTCTTGACTAAATAGAAGTTTGTTGTTATTTTCTTGCTTAATTAAATAATAGCTGTGTGACCATTGTCTCATGGTCATTAGCCCATGTTCTATAAATCCATGTATTTAATCCTTGTGTTCATCCATGTATTAATCATTCTTAATCCAATGTGTACATCAATCCATGTATTAACAATCAACTCATGTTATTTTACTTCCTTCAAAAATCAGTCATCATTGATCACCAATCACATGTATATATATATGATTATATATGTACAACAAATAATAAGATATTGACCCTCATGTAGTGATCATCCAATCCCTTCCCCCAATATTAAACATCCAAAAGTACATGGTTTAGCAGGGGCTGAACTCAAATATTTTGGGACCATTTAGGTTTAGTATTAGGGGGATGGGACTATCTTCATGATCATATATATATATACACATTATATATATACAAATACACACCTTATTTACTTATTCAATAATTTATTTAGTTGGTTAGTTAGTTAGTTAGTTACTTAGTTATTCATATATTGATATTGATAATATATTGACCCTCATGTATTGATCATCTATCTTAGCCATTTTATATCTTACTCATTCATCACCAGGGCTGATCTCGGCCGGTCCAGAGGACTCTTCACCCATGTGGTGGACAGCGACCTTCACTGCCAGGTGGGTGGCGATTCGCAATCCGCATCTCGGCGCCGCGTTTCGGTGTCTGATAGATCTGATAGTAGCGTGGGCTATAGCATGGTAGAGCTATGTAGTGGCCATTTACCATCTGGTTTTTAACATAGCCATGGTATAGATGGCCCATAGAAATAGATGGTTCACCTATTAAAAATGGGTGGATTTTCCATGGCGAACTGTTAAATAACCAGATGGGAAACATATGTGGATGATACTGATTTGATCCATTGGAAGCCAGGGGTAGCCTATTTTTCAGACAAAGCCAGCACGCATGGGATGCGTAGTGGTTTTTAGTGGCATTTACTGGTATATTTACTGGGATAGATTCCCCCGTTCATATCAAACACCACCTCGACATCATGGTGGATGTAGGGGATGAAATGACTTATTTGGTATCGAATCATAGAATGGTGGTGTTTAATATCGGGGGAATGGGATTAGTGAAAGATATCTTTTCATGGTCAACACTTAGATTGTGACTACCCATTTCGGGGGGATGAACATCAATCCATTACAGCAATAGTAGGGGTTTATATATGCCCATTGTAAGGGAATTTCCAATAATGGTGGGATGATCATAGCACATATATATATATACACCATATTTTGACCATGGCACATATGTGTCCCAAGTCCCAAGAAAAGAATAGAAATGTGAATCCCTAGTAGTTTGATTGACTATTCTATCTGTTCTATGTCAGGACACCTCATTGTATATGGAGAAGGTATACTAACAAACTAAAAATGAAGTGATTGTGCAATGTATCTATGAGTGGCCATGGTTTTCTGCAAAGAATGATGCATTTAAGTGGAACCAATGGGGAAATTCACCAGAAAAACAACACAATTGGGATTTATATAGCCACAAAACCACGGAAAGACATGGAGACATGTCCCCATCACTTGAGTTGTAACCATTGGGGATGGGTCAAGTCTATTTGTGTCTGCTTAAGAGGAAGGGATATCGCTACCGACATATGGTTTTTGTTGCGGAAGATCTCAATCTTTATTTGCCAAAACGACGTGTATCATGCTATCATACAGGTCAAGTTTTGTCAATTTCTGGGGTGCACAGTGACTTGACCCCTGGCTATATGATTCGTCTCCAGCTCATGCGGAACATCAGAAACATCAGAAACATATGAAGGTTTCCTCAAATGGGGTTACCTCATTACCCCAAATTATCCAAACTTGGACCATTTAGAATTGAACCCATGGTTTCGGGGATTAATTACCCATTTTTAGAAACCCCATATCACAGCCTTTTCTTGTTATATTCCTGGGCTCTGCATTTTTGGGGTCGATATGTGGAGACTTTTCATGACCTTTCGGATTTCTTCCATTGAGTTTGACCTATCACGGCGGTTCTCCGCAATTCCCATATGTTTGTTCAATATTTTTGGGGATAATGGGACTCTTTTCTCAGCAATCGCTGCGGAACCACTAGAAGTTACCCTCGGGTAATCAAACGTGGCCGTGAGTGGAAAATCTCCCATGTGCAATGTGTATATTATATTTATTAGGTTGACCTTCCCAGCAGCAAACCTTCATTAGCAGGTTTCCTAAAAAGGGGTGCACTGTACCCCCAAATCATCGTCATTAGACCATGACTTGGTATTGAAACCATGGTGACTTGGGGATCCCCGATTTCGGGGATTTCCCAGGCACTGAACAGCTGGATCTTCATCGCAGTCTGGAAGAAGGCCCTGAGCTGTGGCCAAATCTGGAACCATAATATTTCAAAATCCCCAGGTTCCCCATGAGTCCTGGCAATTGTTAGGTGGTATTCCCCATCTGACCCAAAGTGATGAAACATTAAAAAAAAACATGATGACAATGTGGTCTTTTTTCGCAGCTTCACTACGGTGGTGTTACTTTCTGAAGCTTGTCAGAAGTTCATCCCGCCGAGATGGTCAAACCTTAGAAAGTGATAGCTGCTACTGGACATTGGATCATGTGCCAATTAAAATATTAGTAGATTGACCTCGCAGTTGGATCCATTTGGGGATACTATTCTTATCTATTCTTAGATATTTTTGACCATCCATTAAAAAAACAATGATGATGTTGGGTGCTTTTGGGCATGGTTTAATGTTTATTGTTCAGAACATTAACGTTTAACATTGACATTCACATTCACATTAACATTAAGTATAGGTTATGATCCCTCGTCCAGGTCCTGTCAGATGGATATTGGAGGGAATATCCCTGGACTGTGAAGGTGGACCCTGATGCTGCCACTTGGCTGCCGATGGATCGACAATCAGCGAGATCGATTCACTTACAAGGATTAACGTGATTTTCAACCCCAAATCCCCACTGGCGGGGACAAAGGTTGCGACTCAAATCTTTGACTCAAGAATGAATCTTGAACACCTTTGTTCTTGCGGGTGCCGAACATTCGGAGAAAGGACGGGAATCCAAGGCCCAAATTCCTTGGGAAGACCTAAGGTGTTCCTGCCTTTGCGCGCTCGGCCTATTTTGATGCAGCCACCTGTTTGCAGTTCCCTTGAGCCAGGACATCATGGCTGGGAAAGGCCCGAACTAAATGGGCCGGCATACATGGGGAAAATCAATGAAAATCATCGTTATGTAATTGGGGCGTTTTCCCATGATTGATTACCAGAGGGTAGTTAAGTTAGGAACCAGGTACTATTTCATGGCCATCCATCATAGGTCTTTATGGCTGGAAGTAGATGAGATTGGTTGGAACATGTTGGAACCCATCAGCCTGCATTGGACCTCAGAAGCATTGGGATTTTAGGCCTCAAAAAAAAATCAGATTGAAAGCCCATTGGCAAAAATTTTGGTGAGGTGTGTATCCAACTCCTCCACTGATTTGTGGTAAGTTGTATTGTTCCGTCTTCTCAAACAGTACCATACAACCCATTTCCAACCCTCATTGTCAATCGGAACGGGATGCTGGCAGCCAAAATTTGGCTGGTGGGTTGGTGATTTCATTTTTTTCATGATGATGTATTGAGCAGTTGAGCAGTTCTCTTCCTTACTACCGCACGGATGTTACTGCATGGCTCAGCGATGCTGATCTCCAGAAGCGCCGAGGTATTATGGCGAGCCATACATCAACAATTGTCAGTTGTTCGGCTGCATCTCAGAATTGGACGGGAGAAATTACAGGAAACTACCCTATGACACTAGGAATTTCAGCCCATGGTTTCCGGTAAACCGATTCTCCCTTAAACCAATCCATAGGCGTTTCAGTCACTGTTGAGTCTCCCCTCGGCGTATGCCATTGGGCCACCGTTATGGTTCTAAGTGTGCACTAACTAGACGCGATTGTAACTAACTATTTGAACCAATGGCTTTGTAGGGAATTACAGAATAGCCTCATGTCTGAGAAGGAAAAGCGTGAACAATTGGTGAGAAACATAGTAAACCATCCCCAAAATCACCATACATGAAGTAAATGGCTGCTATAAACCATTCCCAAACCCATAGGATCCATGTATGCTATATATGGTAACATTTACCATCAATATACCCCCAATGTTAGCATATATACCATACATGGATCCTATGGGAAATGATAGGTTTATGATTGGGTTGATTGCATTATCAATAAATCTTGATCAACGTTTCTGCGGGAATAGGTAAATCAGCACAAACTTCCAAACCCGACTGCTCGGATACGAATGACAGGAACCATTTGTCCCTGGCCCTGGAAGTTTAGATCCAGCAAATGTGCATCAAATGCCTGTCGAACCTACCTTCTCAAAAGGAATGATTCCTAGTTTCACCCTTTGAACGAGTCAGTTCATGGTTTTTTCAATGTCCAAAAAATGCATCTTACCCATCTTACCGGTCAATTCACAGGTTGCTGTGGTTAAACTCACCATGGTCCGAATGGGTAAATCAACCATGGTCCGATGCCAGTTATGGAATGCATGGCCCCGTGGAGTTCTTTGGGCAACCCGCCTCCTGGCAGTTCCATGGGGAAAATGGTGACCCTGGGACCCTGGGAATTGAAATCTTCTCAGGGGAAAATGATGGGAAAATGATGGGAAAATGATGGGAAAATAAATGATCTATAAATTGGATTAAATTGAATTAACTTGGGAATTCTCCATTGCCCATGTTTGATGACCGGAGGATAGTTGATGTTTTCCATCCTAGTTACAATGGTGTTTCAACCACCAAGCAGTTTTCAGTGTTCGATGTCCATCCTACCTGGATGATTGTTCGCTTGAGTTAAAGCCATCACACAAAAAAAATGATGTATGGGGCTACACTATGCAGAGGTTGATCTGGATTTTTTGTATCAAACAAGTCCACCATAGAATTTGGAAACTGTGCAAAGGGCAGCGGCTATGTTTGAAATGGATCGCGATCAACACCCTTGTGAAAACCAGTGTTGCTTCTCAATCCTATAGGAACAGTCATGCTTGGAATGATCTGTACATCCCAAAATATGAGCCTAGTCCTGCGCTGTTTGGGTTTTGACCCATTAAGATGAGTTGACATTCCAACATATTCCCGCATTTTTTTTGAGGTAAAAAAACAAAACCATTCGCCACAAATTTCTGGGAACATTTGCTGCCGTTCCAGGCCATGGCAGCGCTGAACGGTGAATATGAAGCCAGCTACGATGGCAAGGCGCCCAAAGCCTGCGTGGAGGAGTTGCACTTCGGTCTCTGGGGAGAGGACCCGGCGGCCCAAAGGTCTCGCCCCGGAAGTGTGTCGTCATGAGTCCTGGAAATCCACGGAAGACATGGGGGTTGCCATAGGGGTACTCCACAAATCCATTTACATAGGATGTTTCCATTGTAAACCATCCATTTTGGGGTACCCTTAATTTATGGAAACTTCACCTCAAATGGGAACATCATCTATAGGTGATTTTCCATGGAATTTCCATCAAACCATGTTTGATTGCCAGAGGATAAGAGGTGAGGAATGGTAATGGCAGTGAACATGGAGATATCCTGAAATTTCGGAGGGTCACCAATTTCATGGGGTTTCCCAGTGCGATGAACAATTGCTCAAACCTGATGACGCGTAGACTCAGTGGCTTCCTGAAAAACAAAATAGACGATCATATGTCGATTCGTTTGATGGATACACGGAGTTGCCAATTCTGCTTCAATCCTTTATGCCTTGTCAGAGCATTTGTTTGGTACAGGAGTTGTTTTTTTTTAGTTTCAAGCCTGACTGCAGCATCAGAATTTGTCCATCGGATGGATCGAACATTTGGTACAAGTGGACCATCAACTGTGTCGATGTTCATCAAACCGGCCATTTTTGGCATCTCACCCGCAGACTAATTGTGGAGAATCACGACTTTGGGGAGCAAAATGAGGCAATTGACTTCAGGGCTAATTACCCTCTGGTAATCCAACATTTTGCTATGGAGAATCAGCATTTTCTTCGATGATTTTTTCCATCCACAGCCTCCATGTATCAGATCTTGAGCCAAAGATTGGCGCTTTTCCAGCTTCAGGACATGTTCATGGATCAGTGCTTGCGCAAAGTCCTGCAAGTCACCAATGGTTGCTGGGCTCGCTGGTTCATTTCACAGCCCACCATCTAACTTGAGTTGTCTGGTGGCTTAAAGATGGTTAAAGTGTAACGTCCTGTTGAGCATGAACCATCCAAAGTTTGGGAAGACACGCGACTATGTTTTGTTTGTTGAAACCCAATGTGTTGTTGGGGAGTTCCCCATTTTTTCTCATGCGGGCCAGTCAAATCCTGATATGTGTTTTAAACATCTTCAAACTATGTAATCTGTTAATAAAAACATAAAAACACACATATGTATATATGTATATACACAGGTATGCATACAACATTTAATATGTACTGATAATACATGATAATATGATAGTATTTATGATATAATGCATATATTTACACAGTATACATTGAGGTGAGCCGCCCGCTTTGGCACCTGAACTGATGCGACTCGGGACGAGACGAAAGGGCTTGGTTTTCTTGAAAACTGCTGGGAGATCCCAGTAGTTCAACATGGTTCACACCATCGGGATTATATATATATCATACCATATATATAAATCCATGTGTATATTATATATAGTATACAAACAATATTTTAGGTACCCCCTTAGTATTGGATCCCCACACTTTATGGATTCAATACTAAACCAGGAGGTCTAATGTTGTTTTTCTAATATTGCGGGGGATGAGACTAGTTGGAATATCCCGCACGCTGACTGTTTGGTGATATCCAATGGTTATTTGAAGAAAGAACCAAGCGGCAAAGAATATAAGTTCACCAAAATTGAACTTGCGAATATTTTTACTCACCATGATCAGAATCCCCGTAGAAGGCCTGCTTTGTTATTGGATCACACAATTCAGCATGGTTTGTTGCTTGGGGGTTGATCAGGCTCATTGCACAGTCGAGTTTGCAAGGTGTTCACTTGGCATGACTTCACTGCCTTCTGAGTATGAAGCCTCTCCAACATGCAGATAGTTGTGGAAACTATATAATCTATAATAATCATACGTATATATATATATAACTATATATATATGATTATATATACACAGCCATTTTCTTGGGTTTTCCAATGCAGCCCATATGCACAGGAAATCTGGATCATGTGCAGAAAGTTGTCCGCGTACCACCGATTGGGCGTTTCTTCCGTGGTTTCTAGTCACCATCCATCCAACAAGCATTGGTTGAGTGAGACTGGTAGACGTTTACAGATGGGAGGGATAGAAATAACTGCTCTTCACTTTCTCAGTCATGTTGGTTTGAAAGGCACAGGCAAAGTGTTCAACCTCCATGTTTGGCACCATTTCCTTTGTCTAGCATGAAATCGCGAAACAAATTCGCCAATCAAATGGTTGTTCCATTAGAGAAAAACATGACCTTCCAGTAATCAAAACATGGTTTGTTGGAAATTTCACCATTCTTCTTTCTATGTATTTTTCCAGCTATCAACCTTCATGTACAGATTGATTTTCCATGATTTTCCCATATGTTCCCATGTTTGTTTTTCCCATTATAAAACCATATAAAACCCCTACAGTATGTATAGGGGATTTCCCATCCATTGCCATGTTTGATTCCCGATTCGGGTAACCTTCCCTGGCGCACTTGACCCCAGGTGCGAAGCACATTGTGACTGCCCAGAGTGGATTTGGTACGCAACGAACGATGGGATTTGGGGGGTCCCTATGGGGGTATAGCTCAAGAAGTCACACACACACAAAAAAAAAAGTTGGAATTGGGAAAATCATTCAACATTCGAAATGAAGTCAGTCATCATCAGGTAATCCAACTGATAAATCTGACAAAACATCGGTCAGAGTTGAAATGACCCCATAGAGAATCATAGAGATACGCTGCAGAGATGATTCATCATTTTTCAACGTTTTTCACTCATTATCTCATTATTGTCATGTTTGCTAAGCTTTGTGAATTGATGCGCAGTTCGATTTAATGTACAGTACCGGAGTTAGGCAAGCAAATCCACATGCCTATATAATGGCCTTCACCCATTGGTTAATCATCATTATCCCTATTTCAAGCACCATTTTGGTGGGTATACCACATTTTCAGACCCAAATGCCGCGAAGGGAGGTTTCCTAAAATAGAGCTACCCCCAAATCATCCATGTTCATCCATTTATAGATGGAATTTCCATTTCAAACCATCCAGCTTATTGGGGTAGGTGTGTTGTGACTTCCATTGAAATGAGCTCAACTGAGTATGTCGCTATATTATATAATATTATATATACACATCTGTCTACGTATATCGCAAACATCAGAAACACTTTTTGAGCTAGGTCCGTGGTTCTGACTCCCATTGAAATGGTATCAAATGATATCAAATATGTATGTCATTGTATGTATATATATATATGTATACATATATATATATAATTATATTATATATATATATTCTATTTATGTGTGTCCCACGTATTTGGCGCACATCAGAAACACTGACCAACCCACCCAGAGCAGCTTGCGCAGCGAGCATCGGGCTCTCAGGGATATCCCATCGTCGCTCGTTTTTAGGGAGGGTTGAATGGGAAACACTTCGATACACTCTGGTAACTAACATAGCTATGGAAAATCACCATGTTTTAATGGGAAAACTCACTATAAATGGCCATTTTCAATAGCTATGTTAAATTACCAGAGGGTAAATGGAGAATGTTCTTGAGTGCTTGAGCCATCTTTGACTACCAGAGGGCAGGGGGTGATCATCCAATCTGGGGGTGCTCAATTTGAAACACATCCCACAGCAAAGACAAAGGGCAGCCGACAGACACCTTCCAGGTGCAGCGGCGACCAAGTGTCCTTTCATCCCTTCAAGTCCATTGACAGCCTCCTGCTTGCAAGTGTAGTGAAGCAAGTCTTTCAGGTAATTACCAAAGTTGGACAACCAGAAAGCAAGCACAGATTGTGTTCTCTTTGCAGATCAAGTGGTTTGGCATACTTTGAAAGGTTTATATAATCTACTTCGGAAGGCTTCAAATTGATATTGTCCCTGCATCTTCGAATTGATAATTGTTGTTGTCCTGCTCTTTGGTTTGTTGACATTCCTTTGGGGTCCCTTTAAAAGGTGTACTGTGCCCAGCTGTTTTCACTCCACGCGATTGCCTTTCTTCATCACTCAGGTTACAAAAACTGTATGGCCAATGTGTTTGCAACAGGCTTGGATCCAACCCACGGGCATGGATCCAAAAACCCATGAGTCTCGCTTGTCTCAAAATGGGGGAAAACCCAAACTCGAATTTTAGGGAGGAAGAATAAAGCATAAAGGTTTTGGGGTGCCCAATTTTGAGATATGCCCTGATAGTTGTCAGTTGTTTTTTTTGGGGGGTTGTCATCACATGTGTGGAATGCCCCGCTTTGACCCAATACAAACATGCAACATACTGTAACAGGATAATACATGAGAAATTCGATACTGGGCTCTTCTGTATGGATGAAAAAAGGAACAACTGACAATTTTGCTTCGTGTTTCTTCTTTTTTTCTTTATCGGATGTTCCATGTCTTTAAATGTGCCTTCCACATTGTAGTGTATTCTTGTATTATTGTGTCATATTGTTTCTATACTTACTCGTGACCTTCTTATCATTATTGCTTGTTAAGTCTCAATATTCGTAAGGGATGGGCATCCATGTCTTCTGTAAGTCAGTGCTATTACACAGGAATCCAGGGGGAGCGGCATGGGGAACGTAGTGGGTTTAGATGATCTTGCAATATCTTGGGCAAAATAATAATAATAATAAGATCGTAAACCTGATTGTATACATATATACAGTCTATAGATAGATAGATAGATAGATATTATGTGCAAATGGGCGAGATATTATTTTGCACAACACACAAATGGAGAAGTGCCACCCGCAAATTTGTTCCAGGCAACATCAGGAAGAAGTGACAAAGTTTGCAGTTGCACTCCTATCAGGACAGGTTCCAGTCAGTATGGATAGGTCCTGACAGCCATCTGCTGCACCTGCCCAGTGTGTTTCCAGCTTGTGTCATGTTACGTTGCTGGATGCTGCGTTTCTATTTTCACGCCCACTTTGCGTTGTGCAACTAAACTGGAAGTGCAACTTGAATCTTGATTTACCCTCTGGTAATTTAACATAACTATGGAAAATCACCATTTTTAATGGGAAAATCCACTATAAATTGCCATTTTCAATAGCTACGTTAAATTACCAGAGGGTATTGATGGTTTCCAGCAAATACCACAGAGACGTCCACCTATCCCAGGACCATCATAGCCACGGCGATGAGCCGACCCAAAAAACCGGCAACACGTTACGTGTTGCCGCAAGAGCGCCGTCCCGAAAGGGGCCCGGCGCAATTCATGGACCAACCAAAACTGCTGGAGATGTGTTGCTAACGAACTTTGGTGTTCGACACACGTTTCATCACGTTTCTACATGTTCTCATGTAGGTTCCTTGGTGGGGACTTTGCCATCAACAGCATTTGGTTGGTACTCTCGACTAGATCGTTGAGCTGATATGCCTTAGAACTTTGCAGAAAACCCATGGAACTCTTGCAGCTCTAGCATGGTTGCAGTAGTGTTTGAAAACACCATGCTTTTCTGTAAAGTCTTCCTTAAATAAACTCGATGATCCTTTTGGATTCGCAGTGAGTCAGGTTTTTTTTTCGAATGAAATCAGCCCTTTCCACATGTCACCAGAGATTTCGATAAAAGGGTTGTAACTTGTAAGTACCCTGGCTCCTGTTTAATGGTGCTTTAATGGTGCTTTAATGGTGGTTTAATGGTGATTAATGGTGATTTAATGGTTTTAAATGGTACTTCAGACATGTCTGTCGGAGACCCCAAATGACAGTTTCTTCTTGGTTTATCATCTGATTGACCTGGTACGGGCTGATCCAACAACCACTCTGTGAGGGGACACTGCATAAGATCAAGATATAGTTAGAGAGCCCAGATGATACTATGAGACCATCGATGCAAGTCTGCAAAATAAAGCAAAGGTGGTATTGCCATATGTCTAGACTTGAAGATTCAATTTACAGGATTCCCCACTAAAACGGAATGATTTGCTTTCAATTTTGGGGTCCGTTCTTCTCAAGTCCAGTAGATGTTTGTAAGCCAGCTGTTTTCTTTCATTTGCATGGTCATCTGACAAAATTCACCAACACATTTGGATGCATCTATCATATCCATGTGAATACAATATGGGTATGGGTCATTGGAGAACCCCCCTATATTTGATGTGGGGTACCATGGCTTCCTGTAGATTTCCCTTCAACCAATCCAGTGAATGGGTCAAGAATTTTGGTCAGGTTTCCCCCCAGCAAAGAAGTGATGTTCATCAAACCTGACCAAAATTCAGCGAGTCTACTGCAAAAAAAAAGTAGCTATAGTTCCAGACCCAATATTATCAAGCTAAAAGAACGACGATTTCTCGAAATTTGAACTTGAGGAAATTCAGGGACACCAATTTCTAACCCATATCAAACTCAGTTTTAGATTTATATATATAACATCTGATAATTCAATGTAGCTGTGGGAAGTCACCCTTTTCAATAAGTAAATCATCACAAATCATCTATAAATGGGCCATGTTCATCCATTTTCCATAGCTATCTTAAAGAACCAGAGGGTAAATGGGGAAATTGGGGTTTTCTAGAATGGGGGTACCCAAAAATTTGTTTGCTTATGGAAAATCCCAGCAAAATGGATGATAACTGGGGGTACCCATGGGCACCCCCATGACTTAGGAAAGCTCCTTAAATGGATCTTCGTGAGGCCTCAGCGGCTCGGACGGATCCCTGAGATTTTGGCTAAAACTCGGAGGATTGCCCACGGGTGCAGTCCTGAACTTAGCGCCATGCTGGGTGTTTTGCCATGAAGATCATGGAGTGATGAACTGGGGGAAATATATGGGAATATATATTCAGAACTAGAGAGAGTGAAAGATATACACATTTATATACAGTATATATATATAATTATATATCATGTTCGATGATATCCTAGATTCGCCATACAAGAACCTATAGCTCGTTCGCCTTAGACCCTTAGACCACAAAAACGCCGGTTACAGTTAGTTAGGATTGGGCAGGTTCCATAGGAGGGAGTTGACTGCACAAGATGTTATTGATTTTGAACCCCGAAACCCACCGACTATAAGACTGTGGTTGTTTTATGTTGATTATATTCTTGTTTTTCTATGTATTTCCATTCATCCCCAAGAAGTGGGATGTTTTGATTCCCACTTCGCTGGTATCTTTGACCCAGGGCTTGACCAGAACTTTGCCCCTTATTCTGTAGTAGAAACTTAAGCTCGCACTTTATGCAGAAGGCCCGAAAAATCTATGATGCAAAGATGGTATACTTACTGTATATTATATATCACATGGATTTACATACTAGTAGCATCATAGAGGAATATCACTAAATACGTCACCTGGAGGTTGGGGTTATAACTTCATGGCTGCCATCGATAGAAGCATGGGACTTTACCCATCAGCAATGCCTGGTGCCCATGACGCCGAGGATTGCCGCTTGGTGCGTGGTGCACTGGACGGTGTTTGGCGCTACTATGAAGTAACCTCCAAGGCGCCGGTGGAAATCGCCGCGGCTGCGAACGATGGATTTGTCTGAAACATGAAGGGACTAATAAACGGTGGGTTCCAACAATATAGGGGATCCCCAAAACAACATGTTTTATAGTAATCCCTTCCTCCTAATACTAAACCCCCCCCCCAAATACAAAACACGGCAGGTAGTTTTTAGTATTAGGGGGGTATTTATTATTAGGGAACCAAATCGAAGTCATGCTAATTAATTAATTACATTTCCTTATATAACGCAATTAAAATATTGCCAAAAATGGCAGTTCGAAGCTTACCCCTAATACTAAATTAAAACCCTTAATACTAAAAACTATTTTTTCCGATCTCCAAATCAATTAAATTTCCTTATATAACGCAATTAAAATATTGCCAAAAATGGCAGTTCGAAGCTTACCCCTAATACTAAATTAAAACCCTTAATACTAAAAACTATTTTTTCCGATCTCAAATCAATTAAATTTCTTTATATAACGCAATTAAAATATTGCCAAAAATGGCAGTTCGAAGCTTACCCCTAATACTAAATTAAAACCCTTAATACTAAAAACTATTTTTTCCGATCTCAAAATCAATTAAATTTCCTTATATAACGCAATTAAAATATTGCCAAAAATGGCAGTTCGAAGCTTACCCCTAATACTAAATTAAAACCCTTAATACTAAAAACTATTTTTTCCGATCTCAAAATCAATTAAATTTCCTTATATAGCGCAATTAAAATATTACCAAAAATGGCAGTTAGAAGCTTACCCCTAATTGCTAGAGTAGCTAGGCAGCTTGGAGTGAGGGATTGGGACTAGGCCCCCCTAATACTAAACACCCCGGGGTGAACTAGTTTTTAGTATTAGGGGGGAGAACCCACAAATGGTAGGTTGATTTTTAAATTGTTTTTTAAAGGGGATCAATTAAAAGTCAAATTGGCCAAACTGAAATTTTCGGAAATTGGAGATGGATGCCTGTTTTTAGTATTAGGGGGACGTTTAGTATTAGGAGGAAGGGATTACTAAGTGGTTTATTTTTGGGTGATTTGGGGGTGCCTCCTTTTTAGGAAACCTCCATGTATTCCAGTAATATGATGATTCGTCCTGTGGATTCAGGGCACTCCGGGCACATTTTTTTCAGACAAAGCCAGGTCAGACCTCAACATGAAGGTGATGCGATGTGATGTTGATATTCCAAATTCACATAAATTCACCAATTTGGACATAATCAGCTTTGCAGGATGGTGTCTTTTCATCCTGAATTGGGATGAGTTGACAACTCAATTGACAGCTTCATTTTGGGATGAATGTTTTCAGCCGCCCGAGGATGATCGTGCTGGCACATCATGGAAAAAGAAGAAACAAACCGGGATAGCCTTGTGGAATCTTGTGGAGCTAGGGAAGTGAATTTGAGGTCAACAAAAACACGCCTCAGACTTGCTTGGCTGGTTCATGTTTTTCTTCGAATTCTCTCCCAACTATGGATGATCTGCCTTGGTCAACCTGTTCCGGATGGAACTTGAACAGCCAGCTCCATTTGGGGTCTGAAAACAGGAAGATCCTGGAATATCATAAGTTTCCTCACTTGTTTTGTGGAGGGGGGGTATGGTGTACCCCAGTTTCAGACACGCCCGTGTTGTTCTCTGGCGACTACAAACAAAGTTCATACCGTTCTCACAGCAGTGGTTGTTGGCATGGCAGGGCAACACTTCCATTGGCGAAGGCACCTTGCGAACACCACTGGATGATATTCCCAAGGACTGAAAGCATCACCTCCAAATGTTTGTCCTATGTCTGAAACATTGAATCAGAAGAAAAATCAGTGAAATGCTTGGATGTAATCATCAGGAATAGGTAAAGACATCAGGAATCGGGATAACATTGATGGCCATTGTGCACCAAATATAATGTGTGTGTTGGCTTAGGGTTGTTGTTTTTTTTGGAAATGTTTACAAAGTGGAGTTTGACCCACAGATAAGTGAGTTTAAGTAGACTCTTCAAAGCAGTTTTGAATAATGGTCGAGTTGATGAGATTCGACAGCCTATCGTCTCTGTCTAAGAATTCTGAAGGCAATGATCTGTTTTATGATATGGCCAGGGGAGGTGCACCCTCACGGTTGTACTCGTATTCCGGATGCAGTGAAAATGGTGCAGGACGACTATGTACTGACCCCCACTGGTGGATTTCAGGCAGGGTGATCTGATGCGCTGCAAGGCTACCGTGCAAGGAACAAATGGACTCCAAAATCATTGGCCTAAGATCGCCATTGTCAAGCTGGAGTGGCGAAGATACCCTGGTTTGCTGTCAATAAATACAATAAATGTCATAGTAATTATGTCATAGTCATATCATTAGTTTACGCAGTAGCAATACATCAAAGCCATCTCGCCAATCATTCAGCCCCTCATGTATGGGTCCAAAAATGAAGAGATCCATTGGAAAACCAGGGTTCTGAGGGTGGTGTTTGTGATTGAAATGGGTGAAATACGTGTCGCTTGTTATTTCTGCCAGGATAGAGAACGGCGAACATTTATAGTTGAGTTCCACCAGATACATGTTATTATTGTATACATTCAGTAAGCTGAATCAATATCCACATGGCTTTGGTCATTGAAATGGCTTCCAGCGGAATTCTGGTGACTCTAGCATGTCCACGATGAAGAATGACAGTGACCATAGATCCCTGGAGGAAACCAACCTGACAATCGAGAATCCCGAAATATCACAGATGTTACTTATATCATATAATATACTATATAATATACTATATAATATATATATATTACTATACTATATATATATATATATTACTAATAATTTAAGGGCTGCCGCCCCTGCCGCCGACCCCGGAAAGGAATTACCTTTTCTGAAGTATGAGAGATGTTAGGGCAATTTGTTGGGTTTTCTGAGTCCCATGACATGATAACCTTCCAAGCCCTTGTACATGGGCGAGACTAATGGAGATTTATTCTTTGATGTTGGGGTCATGGTATTGACTTGCATGGCCGAAGGGTTGAGTGATTTGGTGTTGCAGCCCTTGAATTCTTCAGGGATCCGGTGTCGAAGGAACAATCTGAAAAAAGACAGAACGGAGGACTCCTGTGAAGGATAGGTAGTTCTCCTGCAATGGATCTTATTAGTGTCATGTAGCACTTTGTTCGCAATGTCCAAGCTGTTGTTCAGAAGTTGGGTATTGCAGAAAAGATGTAGAACTGGTAGACATTCCATTTCGTGCTGCAATGGGGCGGAAGCGGGGGCGGAAGCGGAAGAGTAGCCGAGGATGTCACAACAAAAGCCGAAGTGCCACAGCAACAGAAAAGTAATAGCCCAATGCAACAGTTGTATGCATACCAGTGTCCATATTGCCAGCGGCAAGTGACCAGCCATGTTGCAACAGGTCAAGTTGAAGCACCGGGACAACACTGTGGGACACGTTTTCGCGTGCACGATGGAGAAGTGAGTCGCCGCTTTTTCCATAGTTGCCCTACATGCAAACAAAAAGTGCCAAGCAGTAAGCCCCTAGGACAAATAAGGGTATCGCATAAAAAACCAAATGGGAAAAAATGCCCCACAGAATCATGGCAAGTAAAAAAGCCTTAAGCTCTTACAAGGTCTTACACCACTCGAAAGACTGAAACGCCATCTACTTTCGCACCGAACGCGCTGCAAAAGCGACCGGGAAAAGTGCCTAACGTTGCTTCTGAAACCCTAGAAAAAAAAGATCTTTTGCCTGCCTTTGTGATAACCGTCCTGTCGCGTCCTGTCGCTTTGACGTCACCTGCAACAACTCGACTCATGGCCACCACTCGAAATGCTGAAACGCCACTTAATTTCGTGCCCAAAATGCCTAACGTTGCTTCTGAAACCCTAGAAAAAAAAATTGCCTGCCTTTGTGATGATCGTCCCTTTGTGATAACCGTCCTGTCGCGTCCTGTCGCTTTGACGTCAGCTGCAACAGCGCGACTCATGGACACCACTCGAAACCCTGAAACGCCACCTAATTTCGTGCCCAAAACGCTCCAAAAGTGACCGGGAAAAGTGCCTAACGTTGTTTCTGAAACCCTAGAAAAACAGAACTTTTGCCTGCCTTTGTGATAACCGTCTTGTCGCGTCCTGTCGCTTTGACGTCAGCTAGCTGCAACAGCTCGACTCATGGACACCACTCGAAACGCTGAAACGCCATCTTATTTCGTGCCCACAACGCTCCAAAAGTGACCGGGAAAAGTGTCAACGTTACTTCTGAAACCCTAGACGTCAGCTAGCTGCAACAGCTCGACTTATGGCCACCACTCGAAACGCTGAAACGCCACCTAATTTCGTGCCCAAAACGCGCCAAAATCGAGCCCAAAAAGTGCCTAACGTCCCTTCTGAAACCCTAGAGAAACAAGAGTTTTGGACAAGGTTTTATAGTTTTCGACCAATGCCCAAAACGCTCCAAAAGTGACCGGGAAAAGTGCCTAACGTTGCTTCTGAAACCCTAGAAAAAAAGATCTTTTGCCTGCCTTTGTGATAACCGTCCTGTCGCGTCCTGTTGCTTTGACGTCAGCTGCAACAGCTCGACTCATGGCCACCACTCGAAACGCTGAAACGCCACCTAATTTCGTGCCCAAAACGCTCCAAAATCGAGCCTAAAAAGTACCTAACGTCCCTTCTAAAACCCTAGAAAAACAATAGTTTTGGACAAGGTTTTATACTTTTCGACCACTTTTTATATCACTGTTTGTACAATAAGACATAGAACCCTCCTGTTGCTCCTGTTGCTGCTGCTGCTCTTCCTCCCGAGGCTGAAAACGCACCCTCGATGACGGGGAAACGCAGTGGCCCTGAAGGACGGAACAGCGCCAAAATCGAGCCCAAAAAGTGCGGAACGTCCCTTCTGAAACAGGGAACCATAGGAAAAAAATATCTTTTGCCTGCCTTTGTGATAACCGTCCTGTCGCGTCCTGTCGCTTGGACGTCAGCTGCAACAGTTCGACTCATGGCCAGCACTCGAAACGCTGAAACGCCACCTAATGTCGTGCCCAAAACGCGCCAAAATCGAGCCCAAAAAGTGCCTAACGTCCCTTCTGAAACCCGAGAAAAACAATATAGTTTTGGACAAAGTTTCATAAAAACAACATAGTTTTGGACAAGGTTTTATATAGTTTTCGACCAATTTTTATACCACTGTTTGTACAATGAGACATAGAACCCCCCTCCTGTTGCTCCTGTTGCTGCTGCTGCTCATGGCCACCACTCGAAACGCTGAAACGCCACCTAATTTCGTGCCCAAAACGCTCCAAAATCGAGCCCAAAAAGTGCCTAACGTCCCTTCTGAAACCCTAGAAAAAAAAGAACTTTTGCCTGCCTTTGTGATAACCGTCTTGTCGCGTCCTGTCGCTTTCAGCTCGACTCATGGCCACCACTCGAAACGCTGAAACGCCACCTAATTTCGTGCCCAAAACGCGCCAAAATCGAGCCCAAAAACTGCCTAACGTCCCTTCTGAAACCCTAGAAAAACAATATAGTTTTGGACAAGGTTTTATAGTTTTCGACCAATGTTTATACCACTGTTTGTGCAATGAGACATAGAACCCCCCTCCTGTTGCTCCTGTTGCTGCTGCTGCTCATGGCCACCACTCGAAACGCTGAAACGCCACCTAATTTCGTGCCCAAAACGCTCCAAAATCGAGCCCAAAAAGTGCCTAACGTCCCTTCTGAAACCCTAGAAAAAAAAGAACTTTTGCCTGCCTTTGTGATAACCGTCTTGTCGCGTCCTGTCGCTTTCAGCTCGACTCATGGCCACCACTCGAAACGCTGAAACGCCACCTAATTTCGTGCCCAAAACGCGCCAAAATCGAGCCCAAAAACTGCCTAACGTCCCTTCTGAAACCCTAGAAAAACAATATAGTTTTTACCACTGTTTGTGCAATGAGACATAGAACCCTCCTGTTGCTCCTGTTGCTGCTGCTGCTGCTCATGGCCACCACTCGAAACGCTGAAACGCCACCTAATTTCGTGCCCAAAACGCTCCAAAATCGAGCCCAAAAAGTGCCTAACGTCCCTTCTGAAACCATAGAAAAAAAAGAACTTTTGCCTGCCTTTGTGATAACCGTCTTGTCGCGTCCTGTCGCTTTCAGCTCAACTCATGGCCACCACTCGAAACGCTGAAACGCCACCTAATTTCGTGCCCAAAACGCGCCAAAATCGAGCCCAAAAACTGCCTAACGTCCCTTCTGAAACCCTAGAAAAACAATATAGTTTTGGACAAGGTTTTATAGTTTTCGACCAATGTTTATACCACTGTTTGTGCAATGAGACATAGAACCCCCCTCCTGTTGCTCCTGTTGCTGCTGCTGCTCATGGCCACCACTCGAAACGCTGAAACGCCACCTAATTTCGTGCCCAAAACGCGCCAAAATCGAGCCCAAAAAGTGCCTAACGTCCCTTCTGAAGCCCTAGAAAAAAAAGAACTTTTGCCTGCCTTTGTGATAACCGTCTTGTCGCGTCCTGTCGCTTTCAGCTCGACTCATGGCCACCACTCGAAACGCTGAAACGCCACAATTTCGTGCCCAAAACGCGCCAAAATCGAGCCCAAAAACTGCCTAACGTCCCTTCTGAAAGCATAGAAAAACAATATAGTTTTGGACAAGGTTTTATAGTTTTCGACCAATGTTTATACCACGTGTCCTGTCGCTTTCAGCTCGACTCATGGCCGCCACTCGAAACGCTGAAACGCCACCTAATTTCGTGCCCAAAACGCGCCAAAATCGAGCCCAAAAACTGCCTAACGTCCCTTCTGAAACCCTAGAAAAACAATATAGTTTTGGACAAGGTTTTATAGTTTTCGACCAATGTTTATACCACTGTTTGTGCAATGAGACATAGAACCCCCCTCCTGTTGCTCCTGTTGCTGCTGCTGCTCATGGCCACCACTCGAAACGCTGAAACGCCACCTAATTTCGTGCCCAAAACGCTCCAAAATCGAGCCCAAAAAGTGCCTAACGTCCCTTCTGAAACCCTAGAAAAAAAGAACTTTTGCCTGCCTTTGTGATAACCGTCTTGTCGCGTCCTGTCGCTTTCAGCTCGACTCATGGCCACCACTCGAAACGCTGAAACGCCACCTAATTTCGTGCCCAAAACGCGCCAAAATCGAGCCCAAAAACTGCCTAACGTCCCTTCTGAAAGCCTAGAAAAACAATATAGTTTTGGACACGGTTTTATAGTTTTCGACCAATGTTTATACCACTGTTTGTGCAATGAGACATAGAACCCCCCTCCTGTTGCTCCTGTTGCTGCTGCTGCTCATGGCCACCACTCGAAACGCTGAAACGCCACCTAATTTCGTGCCCAAAACGCTCCAAAATCGAGCCCAAAAAGTGCCTAACGTCCCTTCTGAAATCCCAGAAAAAAAAAGAACTTTTGCCTGCCTTTGTGATGATAACCGTCTTGTCAAACACCTTCTATTTCCTCCTGCTGCTGCTGCTGCTCCTGCTCCTGTGACTCCTTCTGTTCAAAAGGCACCTGCCGGATGGGAAAACACCATGGCAGTAGTAGTAGTAGTAGTAGTAGTAGTAGTAATAGTAATAGTAGTAGTAGTAGGAGTAGTAGTAGTAGTAGTCCGAAACAAGAGTCAAAAGTATTATTCCCTGGCACGCTCCCCCTTGCGTCTGCCGGCCACCACCCGAAACGCTGAAACGCCACCTAATTTCGTGCCCAAAACGCTCCAAAATCGAGCCCAAAAAGTGCCTAACGTCCCTTCTGAAACCGTACCCCTAGAAAAAAAAGAACTTTTGCCTGCCTTTGTGATGACCGTCTTGTCGCGTCCTGTCGCTTTCAGCTCGACTCATGGCCACCACTCGAAACGCTGAAACGCCACCTAATTTCGTGCCCAAAACGCGCCAAAATCGAGCCCAAAAACTGCCTAACGTCCCTTCTGAAAGCCTAGAAAAACAATATAGTTTTGGACAAGGTTTTATAGTTTTCGACCAATGTTTATACCACTGTTTGTGCAATGCGACATAGAACCCCCCTCCTGTTGCTCCTGTTGCTGCTGCTGCTCATGGCCACCACTCGAAACGCTGAAACGCCACCTAATTTCGTGCCCAAAACGCTCCAAAATCGAGCCCAAAAAGTGCCTAACGTCCCTTCTGAAATCCTAGAAAAAAAAGAACTTTTGCCTGCCTTTGTGATGATAACCGTCTTGTCAAACACCTTCTATTTCCTCCTGCTGCTGCTGCTGCTCCTGCTCCTGTGACTCCTTCTGTTCAAAAGGCACCTGCCGGATGGGAAAACACCATGGCAGTAGTAGTAGTAGTAGTAGTAGTAGTAGCTTCCTCCCGAGGCTGAAAACGCACCCTCGATGACGGGGAAACGCAGTGTCCCTGAAGGACGGAACAGCGCCAAAATCGAGCCCAAAAAGTGCGGAACGTCCCTTCTGAAACAGGGAACCATAGGAAAAAAATATCTTTTGCGTGCCTTTGTGATAACCGTCCTGTCGCGTCCTGTCGCTTTGACGTCAGCTGCAACAGTTCGACTCATGGCCAGCACTCGAAACGCTGAAACGCCACCTAATGTCGTGCCCAAAACGCGCCAAAATCGAGCCCAAAAGGTGCCTAACGTCCCTTCTGAAACCCGAGAAAAACAATATAGTTTTGGACAAAGTTTCATAAAAACAACATAGTTTTGGACAAGGTTTTATATAGTTTTCGACCAATTTTTATACCACTGTTTGTACAATGAGACATAGAACCCCCCTCCTGTTGCTCCTGTTGCTGCTGCTGCTCATGGCCACCACTCGAAACGCTGAAACGCCACCTACTTTCGTGCCCAAAACGCTCCAAAATCGAGCCCAAAAAGTGCCTAACGTCCCTTCTGAAACCCTAGAAAAAAAAGAACTTTTGCCTGCCTTTGTGATAACCGTCTTGTCGCGTCCTGTCGCTTTCAGCTCGACTCATGGCCACCACTCGAAACGCTGAAACGCCACCTAATTTCGTGCCCAAAACGCGCCAAAATCGAGCCCAAAAACTGCCTAACGTCCCTTCTGAAACCCTAGAAAAACAATATAGTTTTTACCACTGTTTGTGCAATGAGACATAGAACCCCCCTCCTATTGCTCCTGTTGCTGCTGCTGCTCATGGCCACCACTCGAAACGCTGAAACGCCACCTAATTTCGTGCCCAAAACGCTCCAAAATCGAGCCCAAAAAGTGCCTAACGTCCCTTCTGAAATCCTAGAAAAATAACCTTTTTCGAGAGGCAGGAGAACAATGTCGAAAAAAAGTATCCTAGAATCCTAGAAAAACAGCGTTTTTCGAGAGATCGAGAGATTCTGTTGCCAGCCGCAACTGGCAGTAAAACAGCTTCGAAAAAAGCTGAAATCGTAGAAAAGAAACCTTTTTGACGAGATTCTGTTGCTTGCAGCTGCTGGCAGGACTGCTGACAGTAGAATAACTTCGAAAAAAAGCAGCTGCCGGCAGGAAAACACCATGGCTCTGAAGAACGAGCGAGTGCCAAAACCACGTGAAAAAACTCCCTAACGTGTCGAAATCCTAGAAAAACAACCTTTTTCAAGACTGCTGGCAGTAGAACAGCTTCGAAAAAAAGCAGCTACTGGCAATAAAACAGCTTCGAAAAAAGCTGAAATCCTAGAAAAGAAACCTTTTTGACGAGATTCTGTTGCCTGCAGCTGCTGGCAGTACTGCTGACAGTAGAACAACTTCGAAAAAAAGCAGCTGCCGGCAGGAAAACACCATGGCTCTGAAGAACGAGCGAGTGCCAAAACCATGTGAAAAAACTCCCTAACGTGTCGTCTGAAATCCTAGAAAAACAACCTTTTTCAAGACTGCTGGCAGTAGAACAGCTTCGAAAAAAAACAGCTGCCGGCAGGCAGGAGAACAGCTTCGAAAAAAAGTAGCTGCCGGCATGAAAACACCATAGCTCTGAAGGACGAGCGAGTGCCAAAACCACGTTTAAAAACTCCCTAACGTGTCGTCTGAAATCCTAGAAAAACAACGTTTTTCGAGACTGCTGGCAGTAGAACAGCTTCTTCGAGAGATTCGGTTGCCTGCGGCTGCTTGCAATCAAACAGCTTCGACAAAATCACCTTATATATATATATTACTATATAATATGATATATATATATATAAAAATATAGTATATAACATGTGTTATAGGAACACCATCTATAAATGGCTCTTTGTAGATGGCTCATGTAAATCCCAAATTTTGAGGGCTTTTTGAAATGGCCTGAACCCAACCGTTGTGCTTTTTGTGTTCGATGTGTCAAACAAAAAACCGCCGTGGATTCCATGTTTTTTTTGCAGGTGGAATATCAGTGCTGTCCTCAACAGTTGGCGACTGAGAGCCCTCAGCTGGCTGTGGATGTGGATCCACAAAAGCAGGTGGCGCTCGGGGAACCCCGGGGAAGTGCCGAAACTTAAAGGGGGGATTCATCTCCGGTCATCAAACGCAGGGATGGAAATCCTCTATAAATGGAGGTTTAAATGGAAACATCAATAATATTTATCATCTAGAAATCGGCAATTGTTCATTGCCACATCTGATTACCGGAGGGTTGCCTTCAGCAACTGAAGAGTGTGCTTTGAAGTGGCCCATTCAAATGATTCAATGATTTAACTACTAAAAGGGTGATTTTCCATAACTATATTCTTGAATGACCAGAGGATCGCTGGAAACTTGAAGTTCGGTGACCTTGAGCCCATAGAAATGGGCTTTGGTACCTGGACATAGGGGATGTACCCAACGTTCAAACAAACCCAAACGGTGATGAAATCATCAAAATTGTCTGATGAATTTTGTCCAACTATGGACTAATGGCGACTAATGGGAGAAATGGGGTAACGGCAATGAATATTAGTATGAGCCATGCAGTGAATATGAACCATTGATTTGGCAATCATGGTTTTGGAACTGAGAATCTTGGCCAAGAGATGGGGATGTAGCTACTATCTACTGTAGTACCCAGAAATTAGATGGTTTTGGTTATTTGGTGGTATAGCCCGCAGATGCACAGATTTCGTTTTGAAAATTATCTTGCCCTTTGTCCCAAGTTGTCGTGATCAGTGACATGAAGTGACTCTCTGTTTCGTTGTCCAATAGACGGCCTCAACATATGTTTCAACCAGATATGAATAGGCTTACAGGGTAGTGACCTTTGAAGGTATAAAAAAAGATATACCTGTGAAGGTATGTAATTAATATTATATTGTACAACTAGAAGTTAATTCAGGTGCCAAGGCTAGGACCCCTTAGACCACTAGTCTTGTTGTCCACCAAGTCGCCCAGTTTGGTTCTGATCCCCCTTGGACCAACTGGAAATCTCCGAACTATTGCCATGTTTGATTCCCGGAGGGTAGCTATCAGTAGTGCCCATCGTCAGTACCATCGTTAATACGTTTCCTGACCATTCCTGACCAAGATTTCCGGTTTGTAGCGAAGGAGCGGCTAAGTATAGTTGGATCATGACCAACTATTCTAAATACATATAATATATATATATCCATTGGTAAGATCTAGTAAGCATCACATTTCCAAGAATCTCATCTGGTTGTAACCCATATTTGGGTGGTGCATCACATCCCAGGAATGGTAGGTGGCTAAGAGCCCGAGTTGTAAATGTAAGATATCCCCAGCTACTGTGGATGGTGGCGTTTTCCTGCACCCGTTGATAGGTGGTAAACATCCCATGATCTATTTCGGAATTCTACCATCATCATTTTGGAACATTTTGGTGCAGGATATTGGTGCAGGATTTCGCAACCATCCGACCATCCACAGTTACGTACGGGAGACCACTGAAACTCTGGCCCATCTCCAGCAAGGAGGAGAGTACCAACACAGCGCCCGGCAGCCCAAAAATGTGGGCGACGTTCTCGTCGGTGTGCCAGAGAGATATTGTTACCCTCTCGTTATTTGACGTAGCCATGGTATAGATGGCCCATAGACATAGATGGTTTACCGAACTTAATAATAGCATGGTGATTTTCCATGGCGAACTGTTAGTCATAACCAGATGGTAAACACATCGGGATTGTCCCACTTGGAACTGGGCAACTGGCCACTCCACTTACTTTCCAGTTACATGGCAGCCTCTGGAAATCGTTGATTTTCCCATTGAAACATCGATTTGCTTCGGGGATTTCCCATTGGGTAAGTGGGATGATTCTCTTGTGAGTACCCCCTGGTAAACAAACACAGTTCGCAAAGTGGAAAAGGACCATGTTTGAAAAAGGGTAAATCAGTTTATCAAACTAAATGGGCCATCACTATCATCATGTCTCACTCAATGGGCCATGGCTTCCATAGCTTCCATCCCAGGATGATTGCTGTGGCCCTCAGCGGAGCCGTGGTGTTGCCCGGCGTCGACAGGAGTTCATGGAGATTTGATTGGGATTTAATTGGGATGACGTGGGAATAGAATGGGTATAATACATATATATATATATATTTCAATCAACGGGGACTTGGGGTTGCAGTTGGGGTTAACTCTGATGAATGGATGTACTTGTGGTAGCAATAGTAACCCCATACATTTGGGATATAAGCCCGATCACGTTGTATCAGCTGCAACTGGACACCCAAGTACCAAGCTGAAGGCTTACTTTTTTGACCAAGCCTTGCAACTGCTGGCCTTCTATTCAGGTTGTTCATCTCAATCGTTTGAACCTCAGTGAAGCGTGGGAGCGGGCAAATGAATGGCATGATGTATCCTGTTAAACATATGTAGAAGATATATTATATGTGAAGATAAGATTTCTTGTTTAGATTTTGTCGGCTCGTTTTGTTTGTTGTTTGTTTAAAGGATCATGGGTCAGGCTGGACCCGCAACTTAAATGATTGGAGGTAAATGCTGATCCCATCTATGGGAGGAGTTAAGATTTTGACCAACAACCATCAGAGTCTTACACATATTGCCCGGATGAGCATCCAATCATCCAGTTGTGGTTCGCCCATTGTCCATGTTGACCTCTGAGTGTCTTAGCTGCAGTGAGTGGACGATTTGGCAATAAGTCGAACCCAAGACATGCTCTTCAAGATTCGACTGAAACTATCAATGAACAAGGAGTTCCACGACAACAACCAGAGGGAAAGGATCAGCAATTCTGAGGTTGTGATCTGTGTGATCCAGCGGCGCATACCTCAGTGGCTTCCAGTTCGTATGAAACCAGGAGTGCAATTGGGAAAAAAAACATAAATCTTTATATACTGAACCATCCCATCAAAATTGGGATTTAACCCACAAACATGGTAGGGGATACAATACGATATAATTAATGGGATATAATGTAAAATATAGTCTAGTTTAATCCCATTGCCCGTTCATATTATTACACACAGCCCATTGTATGGTCCCAAAGATGTGATTTCATCCCCTACTAAACCATGCTTTAGGGGGTGGTTAATATGCATGGTCCACGTCCAGAGAATCACCAAGGAATTTGTTGTGTTTCTTGACCCTCTGCTGGGGTAGAAAAAAATGCCATAGCTGTTGCAGGAGCTGTTCGGGTGTTGTTGAAGATGTGTGTGTGTGTGCAATAACGGGAAGTTGAGGAGCGCAGTTGCCGAAAACAGCTTTAGGATTTCCTGAATGTTGAATACTCGCTTTGAAATGCTGGTTTTGTATTGTATTTATTCATTTTGGATCCCTTATTGCCAATACTTAACATTTTTGTATTTGGAGTATGATCTTCCTTGAAGAAAAACCATGACCAGATTACTGTTTACATTGAAGCCTCTTGAACGTGGTTTGTAGTGGAACATGGACGCACTTATTCACTGGCTGCTGCAGGTGGAAACCAGGAATTCTCCGCTCACGAAAATATGAGGCTGCAGCTGTGGGCTCCGTTGTTGATGGGCCTAGGGTGGTCTGGCCAGAGTTCAGAAGGAAAAGGGAAGATTTTGGACATCCAATTGACAGACGTTTGGACATAGTTGGACACTGCCGTGAGATTGCCTAATGTATTGATGGCAGGCAATATATATATATATATAATTATATATATATATACGACGTACATATATAGATATATACTGTAATTATATATATATATATTTACGTACATTATATATATACATACATACATACATACATACATTACATTAAATGATATTACGTTACATTGCATTACATACATACATATGTCTATAATTACATATGACATAAGATTATTAGCTTTATGATGGATGTATAAATATATATATATACCGAGATTGTGAGAGGTGCCCAGCAGTCACTAGCAGCTTGCATCTCAGGCTTTTCCAGAGAAGATGACCACTCCACAACAGCAACATGTGGAGAAGATGAAACCAAGCCCAGGCTGGACTTGGTACCATCTTTCGGAAAGTGAAATTATGATGACTTGAATAGTATTGTGGGTTGGGACACACACCATGGATTGTCTCTGTATTTGGCGAACTGGGTCAAAAACCCTAACCCCAAGCTGGAAGATACCCTCTGGTAAACTAACATAGCTATGGAAAATCACCATTTTCAATGGGAAAATCCACTATAAGTCACCATGTTCAATAGCTATGTTAAATTACCAGAGGGTAGATCTTCAGCTGATCCGACAAGACCTTGTTGCTTGGACACATGGGACACGATGAATCCTGTAACCGCGCTTAAACCTCATCGGTTGCGTGGGCATATCATGGCCATCTCACGATGACCTCATTGGAAATACAGGTTGGTACCGACTGGTAAGGGAACCGACCCAAGATGAGTTTATTTTTAATGTGACAATTATGGTTGTTTGCTCATTTACAATCCCTGTTTATGTGGTATCTACATCCCCGATTTAGATAATGAGATGTTCACAAGACTGGACAAGGTCCGCATAAAATTGTATAAAGTCCAACTGTTGTGTAGAGATATCCCTTCTATATGTTGGTTTTCATCCCTGTCTTTCCGGCTTCCACCATCGTTGAAGGGTTGGGTAACTGGGTTTCTTGCCAACGAGGCAAGGTGATGTTGGGCAACAGGGCCAGCGAGATAACATCGTCGAAGGCGCCGTGCCATCTTGATTCCTGACCGTCAGGCAATTAATGTATGTGAGCAGTGGCTGCTAAACTCTGTTGATGGATGATTAGAGGCGGTTTTACTATCCAAGATCAATTTGGGATTGTCACAATCCATGAACTGAGAAATCCGTTCTTAACCCAGTATACACATGAGAGATGGTTTTGAACACTGCTCATGTGTAGATGAAATGGGTCCCATTTAAATCGCAAATGGGATACACCTCATTTTTGGACAGACCAATGTAATATGGCAATAAGAATGATTTTGAGCGACGAATCAGAACCCCAAATTCTATAAACATGCGAAATTCATGGAAAAGGTGTTTTTTCCTCGGGCGGGGTGGGGTGTTACTACATGGGGATGGGTCAATACCTATTATTACCATATTTGGGGGAATAGCCATCTATTCACCAGCTATTTTAGAATACCTAGGGTACCAGGGTTTTGACCCATAACCACATTACCATACATTGCCAATCCCCTTGAGGCGGCAACGTGGAATAGCTCCTGGAGTGCCAAAGCTTCCGCTGGCGTGGGATCCCAGCGTGCGGTGTGGCTGGAGGGGTTTTACCAATGGCTGCTGGCTTCAAAGCCAAAAAGGGAACTGTAGCTAGCCACAGTAAAAACCAATTATTTGGGTGGTTACTGCATGTTACTGCTCTTCAGATGAGTTTGTTTTTCCCATCCTGCTTTGGAAGATCATGAACCAGTGTTTTGGAGGGAGTTTATCCACTGGATCATTGGAAGGATTGTGAGCTCCTGCCGCGGTGAAAGAAGAATCATAGATGACATTGCTGAGGAGAGTAGAGAATCTACTGCATCTTTAAAAATCTCAATATGGGATCCAAAATGAACCATCGTCAATTATCAGCCATTTGGAATCCGTTACTGTATACATCATCCCAAGTAGGAACATCGAGTGGGATTCCGTGCTCAAGAGAGATGAGTTCCCTCCATTTTTTCCGATGGAAAGACTGACTGAAGATACAGGACTCAACGCATTTGTCACCAGCGGATTTGAAAGAACATTGATACAGAAGAATTATGAAGAATTGTTGTTCTAGGTGTCCATCCAATTTTTTCAGCCTCCTGTAAAGTCTCCCTGAAAATCGCTGGTAACTTCAAATTTCAATGCTCCAGTGATGATTCAGTTGGACCATCATCCATAAAACTGGTGGTTTCAGATTGGTGAAACAGTTGCCCTGGTTAATTGGGAGGGTCCATAATTGGAGGTACATGGAGGTACCAGAACATGGCTGGTTTATAATGGGAAATCCCATCTATAAATGGATGATAACTGGGGGTACCCCCATTTCAGGAAACCACCAATTTGGCTTTGAAATGGTTTGTAATTAATCTAGTAGCTTGGGAATCCCCTGTTTTTGTTTGACCCCTCTCCACGTTTTTTTTAAGGTGTTTTGATGCCTGTTTTTGGAGGTACAAATCCTGCTTGGTTGATTAGTGAACAATGCGTTGTCAGCCCGGAGATGCAACAACCAGAAGGTACATCATATACTCATTTCTGAATCGCATGGTTAGAAAAGTACATTGTATATTCATTGTATATCATTGTATGATGCAAACCAACAATACAATGTACATCATGTATTACCCAGAATCATGGCGATAGGTAATACATGGTGTAAAATGCATGACAATTCAAGGCGCCTCCAATACTCGTTTTCCTCTACATTTAATTAGCAGATTTACTAGTCAGCGTCAGTGCATACCACCAGTCATTGCTCAGGTTCGCCCAGGATATCCTCAAATAATCCCCTGATTGGCCTGATTTGCCCATTCAGAGACATCATCGGGAGGAAGCATTAAGATCCACTGTAGGTCCAAAAAATGTATATGCTACGATATTCGTTGATATTCTATGATACGTATATATATACTATAGACATAGATATATGTAAGAAATATAATTATATACGCTTCTATGATTATTTAATATGTCCTGCCACGCATGGGTACATTTTTTGTTTGTGATCTTCCGAAGTCCCGGAACCAGGAGAGGCCCAGCAATCAGCTGCAGGGGTGCCCAGCACTGCCATCATATTGGGGTTTCCTGGGTCATGGGGGTACCCCAAAAACGCTGAATGGTTTAATTCATAGAAACTCCGATCTATAAATGGATGATAACTGGGGGTACCCCTATGACTTAGGAAAGCTGCATATTTCTACGTGTGTGTAACCATCAAAAATTGTGGTAATTTGCCTGGAGCAATAGCCCGCTGACCTGCCTTAGTTTGATCGATTTGTCTTTGGAACATCTACAGGAAACTAAAACTCCGGGATTTGTGGGGAGAGTTTGCTAGGTTATTTTTTGGTCATGTTTGGTCATTCTTTGAGAATAAAACACCCACCTAAAGTAACCATGTCCAGGAACCTGAGATCTGGGGAACCTTGCTATGACGTCGCTGGTCGATGGCGTTTCTTTTAGTACAGTTATATAATATATATATATACTGGATCCTTACCCAAAAACGCTAGATGTTTGGCATCATGGTAATTATATGTAATCATCGACGTTTCTGGTCAAGTCTTCTTATATCTGGGTTGGAATTGATCCTGTTGTTTTTCTTTTCTGACAATTTTGCATGTTACCCGAAAATTACGACGGTGGATGGCTTGTGGGGGTTTGACAAACGGGTTTTGGAGGTAATAATGTATATAAGTCCTATCATTATCTATCATCTATGATCCATGAAGTATCAGGATCATTCATGTGAAGTCACATTTGCAACCAACCAGTTGATGGTTACATAAGTTACATCCCAATAGTTATCACAATATATAGTCATTCCAATAATATTTAATTGATTTGTATCATTTATTGGTACGATATATATATAGTGTTATCCCATTAGTATCCATAATATATATATATATATATATCGATAAGTATATATATATATCTCATTATCTATTAGTATAATATCCATTATCTATATATATAGTATATATACATATATATATACATACATCATTATCCATTAGTATCACATCCTTGGATAATTTAAGTCCCTTCAAGATGCAAACCCCGATGAATAATGCCATCGATCATCGCCGAGGTCGCTGGTGCGACACTCCTTCCTTCAGCCAAGAATGCTGACAGGTGGACCTGTCATATGTACGCATGACCATATTGCACTGTATCTATAGATACACAGTGTATTTGTATCTATAATTATATAGATATAGATACCACATACGTAGTTTATGATTCAGTTTTTGATTCATTACCATACTACATGATATGGAATATATATATATGTCATATACAGTGTGTGTATATTATATATATACAGACATTGATTTTCATGGAGAAACCACCATATGGTTAGGGCTGTCAAGAGGACCCACCAGATGAATCAACGCACTTTTGGCCCCCTCCGCGATAATGACAAAGGTAACAGGACAGGATAGCCTTCAGTACAAGACATATCAATGGAACATGAACAAAACACACACGACGGATTCACGTAGAAATCTGTCAGGTCAACAAAAGCAAAAGAACATCTACCCTTTGGTAATTTAACTTAGCTATGGAAGATCACCATTTTTTGTTTTTTTTTACAGGTAGAGCATCATAATATCATCTATAAATGGATATAATTGTCCATACTTGTAGTATCTTGTAGCTATGTTAAATGGATAACACAGGGTAAATGCCAAGCGGAGTTTCCATCGGTACCCAAAGAGTGGATCAAAAGATAGGAGACCCTTGGGTAAGCTAGCACGCTAGTGGGACATCACCACAAAAATCATGGTTTAAAAAAGCTTGCAAATCATCGATACACAAATTTTCAAGAGATATCGATGGGCAAACCATATTTCGATGTCCCACTATACAAATCTATACAAATCATCTTACAAATCTTTGGTGATAGACAACATGTGAGATCACCAAAGGAGATACTTTGCCCATCATTCGGCCATTGCAGGAGAGCTGTGGCAGTGGCAGACGTCCTAGGCTGGTCATCTCTGGTACGCCCCAAATTTGATCTGTCATACAAAATCAATCAAATTCGTATGACTATGTCTAGTACTGTTGCCAATTTGAGTGGGTCAATGGAGTGTCTTGGTATGTATTAATATATATTATATGTGAATAGTGTCTTGGTTCCAAACTGGGGAAGCTGTATTGAAACGGCCCAGCTGCTGAAGATAGGGCCATTGCCCGTGAGATCTCCATGTTCTTATGCATAATTTAACATAGCTATGGTATAGATGGCACATAGACATAGATGATCTACTTATTGAACCTGGTGATTTTCCATAGCTATGTTAAATTACCAATGGCATCCAAAGGCTATATCTGGTTGGTGGTTTGGAACATGAATTTTATTTTCCATAATATATGGGATGTCATCCCAAACCCATTGACTTGACTCATATTTTTCAAGATGGTGAAATTGCACCACCAGATGATTAACCATCATTAACCATCATCATAACCATGATTATATTAACCATATATATATTACCAAATTATATTAACCATAATTATATTAACCATTATATTACCAACCAATGGTAGGTTATTGCACCACCAATGGGATGATCATGTGTCGTGCCAGGCAAAGCTTCCACCTTGGCTGACGACGGGATCTACGAGGGTCCAACCAGGTGCCTGTCGTTTTCATAAGTACTGCAAATGTAATATATAATATAGTTGATATATATATAATATATAATATATATATATATAATATATATATATAATACATATATAGACAAAGAGTTCTAACCTCTATGTACATATATATATATATATATACATGTATTATATATATATGTATTGTATATATATATATGATTCTATATACACACTTGAGTCAGTCGCTTCAAGCAGACAAAATCCATTCGGGAAGAGTCATACACACAAGTTGCGACTGCTGAACCTGGCAAGCCCTGGCTGTGACAGGCAATGGTGGGGTGGATCGAGTTCAACACTCAGATCATTTACCCTCTGGTTATGACTAACATAGCTATGGAAAATCCACCCATTTTTCATGGGAAAACTCACTATAAATGGCTATTTTCAATAGCTATGTTAAATTACCAGATGGTAGATGTTGCAGTTTGCTTATTTTTAAGTTTGCTTGAGAAGAAAGAGTACCCTCCAAAGCCACTGACTACTCATCGTTACGCCGATTGGCCCTATTCAAAAGATTTGAAATTGCCATAGGGTGTGTACTCCCCATTGTTTGACACACTCATTTTTATACATACTCAGATATCATATCAAGTGGGTTGTATGTCCCATTCAATCTCCACCAAATCCCTACTGTTGATGATTCAACCCCCATTTTCGCAGCATGGCACCCCAATACATTCCCAGTATCAAAACACTCGGTGCGCATGAAATTGGCTGAGGCAGCAGCGGTCGTGGCACAGGTATGGTGGACCTACTTAGATCATCTTAGATCTATCCTCTTTGATCTTCCCAACCACTCAGTAGTTATTTTGTGTCTTTACCTAGGGACTCTGTGGTCTTGTTTTATGTCAGTCAGCCAGTTTCCAGAAGCTCTGTGGTGCCAGGCTTTCAACCAGGTGCCCGTGTGCGACTTCAAGGTCCATTCCTCGATGTCCGAAACTTTTTTTGGGACGACGAGCCAGGATGATTTTGCCATGGGACCACCTTTGTTGAACGGTGGCAACTCAGAAGGGGTGGTTTGTGGTTTCATGTATCCAGTCTGGGAGAATGATTCCGTTCAGTTTGACCAATATCCTTGTATGTTGAACCTCAGCAAAGATAGACTGGATCTCCTAAGCAAAGACCCTGAGTGGAGTGCGGTTTTTATCCCCTTACTGATGCTTGCGGTGCATATTGCCAAAAACGAAAGAACAGTATATATATGTTGAATGAAAGGATTGAAACTGCAAAGTGTTTTACCAAGCTCAATCTCATATAGAAGCTGATAACGAGCACATGTTCACATGACGGTCCAAGAGATAAGCAGGTGGCATGTTTTCTTCAAATATATGTATATATAGACATATAATAAAATATATATATACGGATATGCATCGGTATCGGTGACATTTAAAGACCATGGGGGAATCACACATGTTGATAATTGTCCGTGCTTACCTACCAGATGTGTAAATACCCAATGTTTGATCCAAATATCCAGAGGGATACAGTTGTATCTAGATCAAGTGTCAACCCCTGTTGCACAAACACATGACGCGATAGTGGTTGAAACTTTGCAAGGGTGAGGGTGTGAAGGGCCACCATTTGACAGGTCTGACTGCTTCCAGCTGGAATGGTGCTGAAGGAATCATTGAAGGCGAGGGAAATTGTACAGACTCATTTTTGGAGTCCTGGGATATCCTGGGATTCGCATTTCATACTGATTCACCATGAAACATCGGATCATGTTCGCTACAAAGCCACTTGAAAAAGTGCCCTCGTCCTTTCCGTCACTTCCGTTGATCAAAACGACCCTGGGACCTGGAAACGATTCTGTTGGTTTCCTTGCTGTTGGAAAGTGATTCAGCACAATATGTTCTTTGCATTCTGAAGCAGATATGTTTTTTGACAAGGAGGCTTATATCTCACACATATTCTCATGTCACAAAACCTTCTGCTTGCAGGTTTCAAATTAGTTGAAATCCATATCACTCTCAGATCGAATAAAAACATTTAAATGTGCCCCAAAAAATGAGAAAACATGGAGGCGTGTGACATCCAGGTTGGGACGCCCAGAACGGCGCTTTTGAAGTGAAGGCGCACACTGCTTTTGTGGCGCCTGGAGGACAGAGTTGAGTTGAGTTCTTATTTCTGCCTTCCTATGTTTTGGTCTTTGAAGCATCAACTTATTGTACAGGGGACACCACTTTGACCTGACGTTCTCTGGCGCAGTGCCAGGTGAACGGTACGCTTAAGCTGGCCGGGAGTGCTCAGAAGCAGATCCGTTGATTTTTCCATGAGATGATGACGTTGGTTAAGCCACCCTGCACCAGTTGGTAACTATTCGTTGGTAACTTGGATATACTTGGATAGTGGGATTAGAAAATGGGATAAACCCATTGGGGACCATAAACTGGAGATAGAGATCTGAAAAGAGCATAAAACTACGGTAAAATCGTGATCATGGGACAAACTTGCGACTCTGAACTGCCGCATCTGATGCGTGATAGCTGGGTAAAGAGAGCAGTGTACCTTCGGAGACTGATTCTTCTGATTTGCGGGGTAGGATTGGAGCATCAAAACCGCATCAGTACCGTGGTAGTCAATGTTTGGTCGAAGGGTAGTATGACTGTGGGTGGCGAGGTTCCAGAATCTGTATATCATTGGCTTTGGCTATCCACTGTTAAACATGTCCAAACTCCTTTTTACAATTTTTATACGCGGGTTTCTTAAAATGGGGAATCCTCAAGTCACCATAGGCTTCAATACTAATTCACGGTCTAAAGACTTGGATGATTTGGGGGTACCTCCATGACTTAGGAAGTGCATATAGTTTCAGAGATCGTCCCAGTTTTGTATCCGGTTCAATGACCGGATGACATGCAGAAGCCTAATCACACAAAGTAACGATTGTGAAAACCGTCATGGTGGTGTTTATGAAGATGATTTTGACGATAACAATAGTCATGCTGACTATAAGCAGTCTCAGTATGTTGTCTAATGATGTCTAATGTTACCCCCAGGCCAGGTGTGCCGCTCGAAGGTCTATCATGTGACCAACTCTTTATGGTTTATTTAGGGTTTGTTTAAGATTTATTTAGGATTTCATTCAGGGTTTAGAAAAAAAACACGGTTTTAATAATATTTTACTTTCAAGGCGTACTTAGGGTTTCATGTTAGATTTGGGTTTTATGGTGTAGGATTTCGGGCTTCGGGTTTAGGGTTTTGTGTTTGGAAACAAATCTCATCAGCCAAGTTGCAAGTTGCCTGACATTCCAAAATGCATAAAACACTGGCCCTGCGGAGCCAAAACGCACTTTCCCGGGCAGCACACCCATCCAGGCCGCAATGTTTTACATTATGATGCGATGGTGATGACTATGACGATGACGATGATGGTGATGACTATGACGATGACGATGACGATGATGATGATGATGATGATGTTGTTGATGTTGCTGTTGATGATGCTGTTGATGTTGCTGTTGATGTTGTTCGTGTTCTTCTTGTTGTTCTTGTTGTTCTTGTTGTTTTTGTTCTTCTTGTTGTTCTTGTTGTTCTTGTTGTTCTTGTTGTTCTTGTTGTTCTTGTTGTTCTTGTTGTTGAGGGAGTATTCTGCATCCACCCTTCAGCCTCTTCGAGGTGAAACCCGAAAACCTCATTGCCAGTCCTGCTGCTGGCCGTACTGGTTCCGTACTTGGCTTCCCCTGGTTCAGCAGACACGGTAGCACGGTAAAAAGTGGATCATCTACGATGATTGAAACTTGGAACCATGTGTCCCATCAGATAATTATTGGTGTTTTTAGCCGTAGTTTCTCCTTCCAAACAATCCAATGATTATTGCATGCTTTGTCAGATACAGATACTTGTATGTCAGCCATGGTCAAAACTGGGATTGTTACTACCAATATTGGGGGATGGCAATGGGAATACTCAATCCATTTTCATAAGGATTCGTATACCCATTGAAAGGAATCCCATTCATGATGGTGGGATGACCATAGCACTTAAATACCGTGCTTTGACCATGGCACATGTCAACCTCCGAAACATGAGAGTCTGTTTGCGACATGTGCTGCTTCATAATTTTCTTCCAAGTGTGGATTGATGAGTTATGATCAACATTGATCGATTATGAAGCCTCGAAACTTGTTAGTTGTGGCTTTACGAGTTCTCGCTGGATGACTTCAACATACTTGCCATGCCAAGGTGAGGGCGACCTGACACCGGCTCAATTGAGGACTGGCCCGACTGGCTGGTTTGCTTCCGAAGCGTAGATGGCTTGTCATGTTGAGTCAGAATCAATGGGGGGGTCCTAAACATAGATGGTTTATACTGGAAAATTCTATCAAAATGGATGAGTTTGGGGTACCATAATTTTTGGAAACCTCCAATTGATTGCTCGACCAACTGAAGAGGAAAAGGAGATCCCTAATCATTCTGGTTCTGGTATTTCTTGTGATCAAAGCTTCAATCACGCAGTGTGACAACTTCATTGATTGGTTATGATTGGTTTATGTTGCAAATGCCGCAAATGCCATGTGGGTAAATGAGTGAGTGGACAAAAAACCTAGTCTCAAAATCACATATGATATTATAATGTTTTATGTAATAGAACATCACATCACATGACACATTATTCTACATGATTGATTATTATTGTAAAGTTATGTCATGTTATGTTATCTTATGTTTTGTAGCATTTCATGTGTTTTACAGTTATACACCATTGTTGTTTATTAATATATATATATATATGTAGTATAGATGATTGGTTCTGAAACCGAAACCCTGGTATCGCTGTGAGGATGCAGCTGAACGCAGCGCAGGTGAATTTGGCAGGTCGGATCGGAGCCACGGAGTTCCGGAGCGGCTGATGCTTCAAGAACTGGAAGATCAACTGGTTCAATGGATTGGTTTAAGGGAAAAAAATACAGGAAAACCACAAAAAAATATGGGAAAATCTATGGTTTCCGTAGGTTTCCGGTTTTCCCTTAAACCAATCCATTGACTGGTGGGAAAAAACCATATGGCTATACCACTTCTTCAACAGATTTCGATGATTTCCCAGGTTAAGATCAAATGTTCCACGTTTTGACTACACATATGATATGGTTGGTAAAGGAAACAGAGGGTGAAATCAGATTTCGAAAGAATTTTGGTCAGATTTGGTAAGATTTCGTAAATGATCTGGGTAAATGATGCAAGTCTTGAGATGAATGTTTGTAAGTAATTATAAGATATTATAAGCGAGTTGAACTTTTTATATCTCGTTTGCAGCGACCTTTGCTATCCCCAAACTTGCTCATGTTTTTGATGGATGAGTTCAGTAATTTGCCAAGAATGACGATGATAAACCAATCAATCATGGAACCTGGGCATTTATCACGAAGATTCGCTACGCATAGATGGCGCAACCAACGAACTAGCAGAAATCGACACTGTCGTGGATACCCTGCCCAAAACGCACATGACCCGAGGGATCTCCGAACTCTGGACGTTCATGCGCATGGGTCAAAATTTAAGACAGACTGTTTGGTTTTTTTTTCATGTCGTAAAACCGAATCATAAACCCCCAAATGGTTGGTGAAGGGCATGCTTTATTGGACGTACCTCATTATTTTTAGTCTAAATCATCCCATTCACTCAATAAATCATGATGATCATCCTAATTATTTTACCATTATACCATTGGCCCAATAATCATTCCATTTAAAGTGGTTTCAATGCTCACTTTTCTTGGGACCATGGTTCAGCTCCAGCCCAGAGGCCAGCCCCAAACATCCAGTCCTTCTGCGCCGCCAGCAGCTCAGGGTGTCGGATTGATTTGTTGGGAAGTCGTGGCGGTGAAGATGAAGATATGTGTTTCTCACAAGAGGTCGTAATTGATAATATGGATATTACATCTATAATATATAATAATATATATATATTATAGAGATATCGATACTATATGTATAGTGATATGCATATATGAATATATATCTATATATACATATAGCTTTTTTTTTTTGCAGGATACCAGAAATTTCAGAGTTGTTGCAAAGCCTTGACCTTGTTTCTTTCAAGGTTATTTGCTCATCATCAGAATTCAAGGGCAGGGCCAGTGGGAAAATTTGTCAGATTTGGGGCCCCTGAGATTGTTCTGTTGTCTTGTTCTGCCAGGCTAATAAAAACTGATGCCCCAATGAATTTCGGAGATTCTTGGCCTTAGACCGGAAACCTGGTTTTTGTGATCATGGCAGAACATACTGTTCAATATTCTGTACAGCTGCGGGTAATGTTACCTTTTTAAGCTGGCTAAATCCACCATTGTTCATTACGCATTTGTTGAGATGGCCCTTTTTAGATGATTTTTCTATTCACAGTACCCCACCAAACGTCCCCAGCATCTAGTGATTCGGAGAATGACCTGATACATCTCCTAACATATCCACAACTGAGGCGAGTGGAAGTTGGCCGGCAGCGTGGTGTGCCCAGTTGGATGTTGGGATTCTTGGGAGTAATGTTTGTTGGATGTTGGCTGGATGTTGGTCGGTTGGATGTTTAAGCGATTTTTTCTTTCACAGTCAGCGTCTTGGTAGGTCAGAGAGGGACGCAGCCTGGCTTTGGCGACACCTCACAGATTCACAAGGCGGTTGCAAGGCCTGATTGTGGGAGGACTTGGTGAATCGTGGGATGATGGGCTGTGAAGGTTTGCCATCGTTGGAAGGTTGAGCCATGGATATGAAGATATATGAAACAGCCATATGGGGCTTGAAACAACAGCAAGTCGTAGAAATGCTGGCTGTCCATTGCGGGTACTACCATAATATGTAGATTGATGAGTCAAAGACATTTAGCATTCGCCCAAAAAGATCGAAACAGTAAAAGAGATTTGACTGCGGGTTTTGACCCCTGCTCACTTCGTTCTTGTGAAATCGCATATTTGGCGTCGATAATATGCGTCGATAATATGCGTCGATTTCGAACCAGAACATCTTGTTTTAATTCCTGCTCGTTGCCTGAGATTGTCTGAGGGGAGGGTTCAAATGTTTCGACAAAACACAATGACCTATATCTAGAATCGATCTATCAAACATGTCCGTATATGTTGATTATTTTGATCTAAACATGTTATGTTTGCCCAGTGACATCACATCATCCATTGTTTTACCATCACCTCCCAGCCATACGTGAAACACCCCGTGCAGGCGAGCGGGCGAGAAATGGGACGAGTCTTGGCTAAGTGACGATCCATCCCCTTGGTCTAAAGCGCGAGGTGACCATGTCACAGCGCCAAGTTGGTGTTCCGTGTGCTATGGCGTGATATTAATACCATCTGGTAAACATACAGAAAAAACTATGGAAAGATCCACCATTTAATCTGGTTGGTGGTTTGAACATGAATGAAATATGACTTTCCATATATTGGGAATGGAATAATCATCCCAACTGACGAACTCCATCATTTTTCAGAGGGGTAGGTCAACCACCAACCAGACATTGTATCACGTATAAGCGTTATAACCAGTTGACTGTACAAGCAGATGTAAATAGCTAATATGACCAGTGAAGATATGTTATATAATGTTATATACCAGTGTTAACTATATATAATTACTAAGTTTCCCCTGCTTTTCAGGAGAGACAACTTCCCGGCCCATCGAATCTCGGCATCCAGGGTTGGATCCGAATAGATCCAGGATGTATTTAGGGGCCGTGGGGAACGTGCTGTGCTGTGTTTCCCAAAATTGGAAGCGGAACATCTACAGGAAATCTGAACGGAAATCTGAACGGAAATCTGAACGGAAATCTGAACGGAAATCTACAATGAAGGGTGGTTCTTACAGCATGTAAAAGCCAGGGTTTCCCCCGAGGTTTTCTGATGGCACCGGCCAAGGATCGCTGCCGGCTCGGGTGACCACCTTCGGAGCAGTCGCCCCGGCGCTGTTCGCAACAAAATGGAACTGGACCACTGCCTCCTGTGAAATGAATGACATCCTTAAATGAAAAAGTGTGGAAAAGTGATGAGAACTGCCTAGTGTCAACTCTGGATTGATTAATTCCGATTGATTCATCAAGGGATGTTATTTTATGTTATTTTGATACCCCCCAACGGTCATCCTTAAAGTCCACATGTGCATCAAAAAGCGCAACTAAAATATAATATAGGTCTCCCATGGGGATTAGTGACAACCCACAAGAAAGGGCCGCCCAATTACAAGTTGGCTGAACAGAAACCCATCAATGTCAATCTATTGTAATCATTTTTGTTGGCCATGTATCCGACGTATAACATCTATAACATCGTATAACCCCAATAAACTATAAATATATCAGTTTGTTCACCCATCAAACCATAAGATCTATAGATCTTCTACATGGCCTGCTGGGCAATTAGCAGTAGTTCGATGTTTTTTTTCCAGCTATTCACATTCATCTAGCTCGGTGATTTCCCCATTGCCACGTTTGATTAGCGGAGATATAACATGGTATAACTATTAATAAACCCATATCATATATTAACCATGTATTATCCTGATTTATTAATAGTTATTAACCATATATTAACTATGTATTAACCATATATTATTAACCATGTATTTATGATTTATATTCACCATATATTAACCATGTATTATCCATGCATTAAGTATTAACCATATATTATGAATTCATATTAATTCCATTAGTCAACAACCAAACTTGAAGGGCCATTGTGTGAAGGGTGATTTCTTCAAAACCAAGGTGCTGGCAACTGGCGAAGCCATGCGCCAGCTCCACCTCCCAGGCAAGGTGTGTCGGGACCCCCTGAATCTATGATATGTGTTCATTATTTGTTATGATTTGGTATGATATGTTCGTCATTTGGATATCATTAGTGCTATCATTTGTTATAATAGTGTTATCATGTGTTATCATTTGTTATGATATGTTTTGAAGTCTGATGACGTGCTTGTGATGTGTTATATCTTATATGTTATCATGTGTTACGATATATGTTATGCTATGTGATGAACTTCCAAGTATAGCTGTGTCATGATATGTTATGAGATAAGTTTACGTATGTCTGTTTCATTTGGAGAACCGATGGCTTGAGGTATGTGCCCCATCCATCCCATGTTTTTTGGAATGGGCCTTGGACATGTTTTGACCGCAGCGCATGTGGTTGGCTGTATCAGTTCCAAACATGCCACCATTCAAGTACTGTAGTCCATCTACTCACCATTTGCATAGACAGGAAGTATTGTATAAGTAAGAGCCAAGGTAATGCAGAAGTCCATTTGATTTAGTATACATACGATCTGCCTCATTAGATAGTAATATTTTTGAAACGTAATATTATATGTATGTGTTTGATCCAGAAGCCACCGTGAAATCTAGCTGCGTGTCATCGGATCCATTACATACTGGAAGATCAGCACGCGACTCCCCAATCTGAAGCGCGAGCAATTTGGATGGCATTCATAGCTCATTTGTATCCATTTGTTCCATGGGCTGTTGGTACATTTGTACAACTCAAAATTATTTACCCGCCAAACCGGATGCTTCAGTACAAGTGACCAAGCATTTCTGGGTCCATTGGTACAGTTGAGCGTGAGACGCGCAGACCAGTTTTGGCTTAGACTTTGGTGGGGAGGCGTCCTGTTAGCTGTGCCATCATGGAGCTGTCGATGTTCAATGTGTTGCTTGGCCCAGACCACTGGACACTCGTGACCAACCATTTTGGGGGCATGAACAGCTTGAAAAGAATTTGTGATATGACCAATTACTACGGAGATTTGAGTGTCTGAAAATGGTGCATACCTACTAAATGACGGCTTTCATGGGAAAATGATATGAAATGATGATTAATCATCAAATTTGGGTACTCTATTTTGAGATAAACCCAAATAGCTGGTTGGTAACTTGTGGCAAACCAGCACAGTCGAAAAAGTTCCCAGCTGCCCGCAGTTTAGAGTATGATGGTTTTTCATCAGTACCTGCAGCGCCGCAGGGCTTTGTTTCAAGAGTGGAAGATCAAGTGAATCAAGTGCTTGAAAATCTGATGCGGTGTTGTCTGAAAGTTTAGAACCCCAATATCCATCAATATCCTATGTTCTATCATCATCTATCATCATTTTCTCATGGAAACTGCGATGGTTTTGATGAAACCCATATCAGCCCTACTTTACATTGTTGATGGCTTTGGGCGGCCAGCGGTCGGGCGATCCTCCAGATCGACATTTTTTTTCTATGGCACAGTGGAAGGAGTGACGCAATTCTATATGATTGTTGTTGCTACTATCTATACTGTTTACAATAGAGGTTCAGCTTTACCCACCACATTTGCGTTCACGAATCTACACCTGTAAATTTATATATGTAGAGTTCTGTAATGTCTAATTTAATATATATATATAATTATATACATATCATAATCATTCCTTATTAAACACATCACGATATCCATCCCATCCCTATCCCCATGGCAGGAGTCACGGCTTCACGGAGGCCGTGGCCAGAGGTTTGCGCAGCGGCTTCCTGGGTGTGGAAGATTACCGACGCCTTGGCACCTGCGACACCTTGGAAGATATGCGAAGTGCCTTGGAAGAGACCGACTATGGCACCTTCCTTCAGGAGACTTCACCGGAAATTTTATGTCATGGGAGACATATTCGGAGACTGGGGATGATTTTTAAGAAGGTCAAAGACGTCGATGTGGATTGAAGATGTTTGTTTACGAATGAAGAAATTTTACTTTGGCACGACACATGATGTGTTTTGAAGGGATGTTCCTCGTTCGGATTTAGGACCTGAACATGTTGGCATTAGCACCAACTAACATGGCCACCGCCAAATAGGAATATATCGCTAATTTGTATCAGAAGTCAGGGAATGTCAGGGATAATTATACCTGGAATTTTTTGGCATATGAATATTTATAATGCGTTTCAGATATACTGGATGTATGATGTATGCAACGGGCTATATTTTACCAAGAATACATGGGTGTGTCACAATAAGTGCCCCAAAACTAGTGTCATGAATTAATAGAGGAAATGATCGACCAGTGGGTTTTAGAGTACCCAATGTCAGTCTGAAAATAGGTTTATCATGTTTTATCACTATATGTGTTCCATGTTTAGATTGCCATATTATAGTAGCAACAAATCACCCATTTCTTGACAACCGCCAATCTTCTGGAAACTCCGAAAAGTGAGTTTTGAGTCCAAAGACTGGGGAGATCAAACTAATTGTTTTTTTTTCTCATGGGTTCTATTTGCACAAATGGGATACACCTATGACGTCGACTTGTCCGAACATGGGGGCCCCATGGGGGCCTCACGAATCTCCAGGATTGATCATCGTTTCATGAAATCCCAGGTTCTGCATCGGTGAAGTTGCGTACGAAGGATGGTCAAGTACTAAGAATGAACCAAGATCTGCCCTGGGTCCTACATTTTTTACCAACCCTGCTTGAAGGGAAATTTTGGAGAGAAATGACCATATTTTCTGGTCCAAACCATGACGGGGTGAAGGCCTTGAGGTGAAACATGTGCTACTCTGCTCCTCAAGTTGTACCTGAGAAGTTCCTGCCTCCCATAGTAACATAGTTATCATAGTTCCTCTATCCTTTTTTGCCGCATTTGTGGAAGGATGAGCCTTCGCCCTTGCTGGTGTCCACCATTTCAAAGAAATGCTATGAGAAGCTGGCGGATGAGTTTAGGTACCTTGGCATGGTCACGAATTTCAAGGAGATTTTTATATATTTGTTATCTGGTTGTTCGAAATTGGCCCCCCTCAACGAAAACATGCATATACCCACTTTCAATCAATTTCCTCCACGAAAACATGCCATGTCTGCCATGTTCCCATGGTGGGATGATCCCATATGGGCCCCATTGCTGTGATCTCCAAGATATTCCATTCATTGGATTAGTGGATGATCATTGGATATGATGGGTAAGATCCTGAAAAAAAACGTGTAGATACTGTAGATACTGTGGATTCAGAAAGTTTTTGTAAATGTTAGTATATCATAGTTTCCAACTGGTGCAGGATTTCGACACCATCCATAGGGTATGTCAGGTACTTGAAGGCACAAACCGTGGAACCTTTGACCACTTTCATGGACTTCATCGCGCGGGAAAAGATGATCGATAATGTCTGCATGATCATCCAAGGCCGGCTTCCAATGAAGTCACTATACATTCGCAGAGATATACGTCAATGTGTTTCTGCAATGTAGTGTGCATATGTGTGTTTAGGTTTAGATGCATTTTTTTCTGTATGTATGCATGAATGTGTATGTTGTGAACTTGCAAGAAATGTGAATGTGAAATTAGTTTGGCAATAGCAGAACCAGTCAAGCTAGCGACTGAGCAACAAAGGCGGGGATATATATATATATTATATAGACCTCTGGAATCTATTCCTTTGAAGGGTTGCTAGCTTTCAAGAGGTACATTTGTGGGGACTGAAATCATTGTCAAAAAGAGTTTTCTATGGAACTAGCAAGGTACAAGTTGCCGGTGTTGTTTTCTTTTGATGTGTTTCTTCTCATTTGAGGAGAAATTGTCCCGAAGCCCTCAGGCGCTTTGAACAACAAGGCACCCAAGGAATTAGAGGAAAAGATTCATCCTTTGGGCGTCTTTGAAGGTATGAAGGTCATCATGTCTGAGACTTGGTTGTGCCATGTTGGGTCGGGGATTCTTGCTAGAGCAGCTAGATCAGCATCAGCTATATATATATACGTATATAGTTCCCATTGATATATCAACACATATTAATGTTATCATATCATCATCAGCTATATATAGTTCCCATTGATCAGCTATATAGTTCCCATTGTAGTTCCCATTCAATAAAAAGATCTTCCAGCTCCACTTTCCAGCTGGGACTTGCTGGGAGCCATTGATGACTTTAGTGCTGACGGTGCCATTGAGTCTTGACAAATAGCGAATTGGATTTAGGCATCTTAAAATATGTGTTGATATATCATTAGGACAATTTGTTTTTTTGTCCATTTGTTGTATGTGTAATCTGGAATGACCCAATATTCATTTAAGTGAAATGTTCAGGAGTATTTCAAAAACAATACTTGACCCCAAGTCATGTTTCATTTCACGGCCTGTTTCAGGTGTGATCTATCTTTACCCAACATACATCTGTCTTTTAAGGATCATTTCCCAAAATTGCTATATAATGATCTATAAATCGAGCAAATGACCTCTAAATCTTGAACATGTTGACAAAAACGGGTTTGTTTGATATTGTCTCCAAAATTTGATGGTTTACCATGGTTTACCTTCATGTTCCCTCTAAAAACTGTGGTAATTTGGGTTGGACAATTCCGTAGGTTTCTCATGGTCAAACTTCTGCCCATGTCATTGCCCAGGAGAGCTTCGATGTGCAGGGTGGCTTTGATGATGTCTACCGGATCTTCTTGGTGGATACGCCCATTGGTGCCTACTTCGAAGAGTATCTCAAGGAGGCGGATCGAGACAAGGATGACATGGCCCGCGCAGGGATCGAAACGTCTCAGGTCGGATCGGAGATTGGTCGTCGGAGGATGATTGGGGACTAAGAGCAGGGAAGAATAAATATACCCTCTGGTTATTTAACATAGCCATGGTATAGATGGCCCATAGACATAGACGGTTTACCTATTAAAAATGGTGAATTTTCATGGCTATGTTAAATAACCAAATGGTAGAATAATCATATACAATTGTGGGATTTACCTACGGTTGAACAACAGTGGGAACAGTGATGGGATATACTGATATACTGTAGCATAACAAACCAAGATCTAATTGACTGGTTTCAAATGTGTTTCATTCTGCATCCTTTTCTGAGACTATGATTTCCAGTTGACTATATAATTATATATATATATATTCATATTATATATATATTCATATATTATATATATATATATTCATATTATATATATATATTCATATATTATATATATTATATATATATATATTCATATTATATATATATATATTCATATTATATATATATTCATATTATATATATATTCATATATTATATATTGTTGAAATCAGCATCCTACATACTCCGAGAATGATGGCCCAGAGGAGAAATAGTAGCACTTTGAATCGTCATGGTAGCGTAAGTCCCATACGACCCAGGGGACCCATAGCCCGTGCCGCTGTGGCTGATCAGCGGCTGGTCTTTGCAGAGCGCTTCAGACCTACCTGGACATTCCTGTGTTTGACCTGGGCCCATAGGATCTTCCTTGTCTTGGTTTCGATCATTGCCGTTGGGATTGGTGCGATCGAGATGAGCGGTGTTCCAGATGGAGGAGTTGGGAGCCCTACGAGTTCTCAACAAGCAGCGGCAGCGGCGGTTCAAGCAGGCGCTGCTGCGGGGCTGACACAAGAGCAAGTCCTGATACAGATGCAAGCCCAAACGCAGGTTCAACAAGACATGCTTCTTCAGCAACAGGCTCAAATGCAAGATGTCATGGCGAAGCTGGCTGAGTCCAATGCGAGGACGTTGAGAGCTGAGGAGGAGCGCCATCTGGCGTTGAAGGCTTTGAGTAGAAGTGAGGAGCTGGTTGATGCTCGTGGAGTTGGGCAGCCCTTCAAATTCAGCGGCAAGGTGGATCAGGATTTTTCAGAGTGGGATCACAAGATGAGAACTTTCTTGCGAGCCAAGTTCAGAGCTGATGTGGATACAGTTTTGCAATGGGCAACAAAGCAGAGGAAGGTGATCATGCGCTACACGGATGGCTCATCGAGGACCTCTTCATGGGATCCTGTCTTTGGGGATTCAGCAGATGCTCTTGACCAAGTTGAAGGAGTAGACAAAATGGTGGAAGGCATCTACGCCTACCTGGTCTCTTTCACAACAGGGGAGGCCAACAAGGTTGTCCGTAACTCTGGAACGGATGGGCTGGAGGCTTGGCGTCGAGTTCATGCTGAATATGACCCGACGTCTTCAGTCCGAAGGGTTGCGGTGCTTGGCATGGTGCAGAATCCTCCCAAGTGCAAGAGCGTGGAGGAATTGGGAGGAGCTTTAGAGGATTGGTTGGCCAAGAAGAGACAATATGAGGAGTTTACAGACAATGATGGCCGACCCTGCCGTGTGAGCGATGATTCGCTTTTGGCAGCAATGCACCAGCTGATGCCCCAGTCTTTGGAGGAGAGCCTGATGCTTCGACAGGATGAGTTCACCACCTGTGAGGAGCTCTTTGACAGGTTGTCCAGCTTTGCATCTACGAAGCACAGCTTGCACATCTCCAGGCGAGAGCTTGGGTCTAGCAGTGGAGGTGGAAAGAAGAAGGATGACAACGCTATGGACATTGGGGCGTTGAATGCAGTCTCGAAGTCCAAGGGCAAAGGAGGCAAGAACATCACCTGCTACAAGTGTGGGCGACCTGGACATCGTGCAGCTGATTGTCGCAGTGGAGGCAAAGGCTATGGCAAGGGAGGAGGAGCTTCTCAGGGCAAGCGCATGGACAATGTTCAGTGTTGGGTCTGTCATGGATATGGCCATTATGGTAAAGATTGCCGTCATCGAGCTGACAACAAGGGCAAAGGCAAGAACAAGTCCAAGAACGACGGCAAGGGCAAGTCGAAGAACTCTGGCAAAGGCAAGGGCTATGGGGGTTCGAACAATGCTTCTTCCTTGGAAGCGGTGCCCAATACGACTTATCGTGAACCTGGAGCAGAACCTGAATGTGGCAAGGACTTGGGCTATTTGGATCTATGTGCTTGTGATCATTGCGGTGAAGTTTGCATGGTTGGTGGATCCGACACGAGCCAAGACGACAGCATGGAGGTTGAGATTGAGGGCCGCAAGCCTGATTACTTGGTGGAGTATGACGGTGAGGAGTGGATCAAGGTGAACTACGACAGTGGTGCGGTGACAACAGTCATCCCAGTTGAGATGGTGGAGGACGATCTCAAGCTCCACCGCATCGGTGACTTCAAGGTGGCCAATGGAGAGAAGATCCCGCGCTATGGGAAGATCAGGATGCCTGTGATGGATGAGCGTGGCAACAGGCGTGGGATAAGTGCAACGGTGACCCATGTTCACAAGCCTCTTGGGTCTGCCGGAGAATTCAGCAAGAATCATGATGCCTACCTTTGGAAGGATGGTGGCATTCTTCTTCCTCGCAATGGAGCTTTGGCCACTGAGATGCGCAACCACTACAAGAGGATCACAAGGCAGTTCAGCGATCAGCAGGTGATCCCCTCTACAAGGAAGGCAACCTCTACAACTTCTATGTGCAGAAGCGGGGCAAGATGGCTGAGATCTGTGCCATTGACAGTGGCAGTGATTCCTCGTCGGCAAACAGCCGGCAGGGATACCCGTAAGGCCGGGCCCAGATGAGGTTGGTGGTGGGCCTGGAGGTCCTGTTGCTTGGAGAGGATGGGAGATGATGAGACAGGGGCTGGATCCGATTCAGCCGCATTGGCAAGCATATGAGCCAAGCAGCAGAGGGCCGCCACCGGGGTTGCCTGAGGATGTTCAGTGTTGGAAGAGGACAGACAGAGATTGTTTCACATTTCGGGCCACGTCTCAAGATGGGCCTGATTGGGCTGATGTAGTTTGGAGGAGGAGCATAGATGAAGAGACCGATGAGGTCTTGCGAGAAGAGTCTACGCTTTCTCCTGAATTCAATCCACACGCTCATTTTGAGCCGTGGTGCAAGAAGATGGTGACTGAGCTGTGGTTTGTGCCTCCGCCCATTGACTCCAGGGGTGTTGTCAAATCAGACAAGGCAGATCGTCCGAGCAGAAGACAGATTGAGGAGCATGCCCTGGAGAACCATGCGGTTTATCGCAGCTGGTGCCCGGCCTGTGTTGAAGGTCGTGCAACGGGCTCTAAACATCGAGCTCGGACGGAGGCAGAGAAGGAGGAGCGTGGGCCCACTATCCATGCTGACTTCTTCTACATGTCAACTGAGGAGGACTCAGCACCATTTTTGGCATTAAAGAGCGGGATGTCTGGGAGACTTCAGGCCATTGCTTTGGAGTCGAAGACTTCCAGCGAGTATGTGCAGAAGGCCATTGCAAGGTTTGTTGAGGAGACGGGGCACAAGAGGGTGGTCTTCATGTCTGACAATGAGCCGGCGCTGGTCAAACTCAAGCAGGATGCGGCGGTGAAGCTTCGCAATGTCGAGGTGGTCCATCGCACGGCTCCAGTGGGAGATCATCGTGCCAATGGCAATGCTGAGGTGGCAGTGCGAGAGATCAAGCGTCAGATGAGGTCCATCAGGATTTCTTTGGAGCAGAAGTTGAAGGGCAAGATCTCAAACACGAGTCCTTTGCTGGCGTGGATGGCACCTTTTGCGGCTCATGCCATCAACTGCTACCGTCGAGATGCGACGGGCAAGACACCATATGAGAAAGAGTTTGGCCGGAAGTGGAGCAGACCGGCATTGGAGTTTGGTGAGGTCACCTACATGCGAGAAGCGGTGGAGAAGGACGGCAAGCCGAAGAGAGATTGGGAGCAGCGGATGATTGAAGTCCGCTATGTTGGGCATCATTCACGTTCCGGTGCAATTCTTGGACTTACTCCAGATGGCCTGCGTGTTGGTGCTGCTGTGAGAAGGCTTGGAGAAGATTTGAGATGGAAGTCAGAGGGGCTAGATGAGCTTGGCGGGCTTCCATGGGATGTCAAGAAGAGAGCTGTTGGAGAGAGGCTGGAAGGTGGTCAACGTGCTCCAAGGTTGCCGCCTCCGGCACCTGACACGCCTGATGCAAGGGCGTTCTATGTTCAGAAGAAGGACATTGACAGGTTTGGTTACAGTGAGGATTGCCGTGGATGCAAGGCCTTGAGAGAAGGGAAACGTGCAGTAGCCCACAGCAAGCAGTGCAGAGACAGAGTTTATCAGTCACTGTCTGAGTCAGATGGAAAGATCAGGACTCAGCGTCACTTTGAGAGAGTGTCCAGCAGACTTGAGGTGAGGCTGGAGCATGAGGCAGAGGAGGCAAAGAAGAGAAAGGTTGCGGTTCAGCCCGCATCAGAGGGCGAGAGGTTGGCCATTGAAGATGCGCCGGCGGCATCGGCAGTTCAACCGGGTGCTGCAGAGACTTTGGGGCGCAGACAAGATGAAGGTCAAGAAGGATCTCCGAGATCACCGAAGAGGTGGAAGACAGATGGCCATATGAGATACAAGCGCGAGGCTGAGACCCCAGTGCAAGAGTTGGAGAGTGGTGGTGCGGCAGGCTCCACAGATCAGGCTCAGACTGTTTTGCAGCCTGCTGCGAGTGATGTGCCGCCGGTGATTTCGGCGGGTGATGTTTCCATTGAGGATGTCTTGGCGCCTGAACCTCATGGACAAGCTGATGCTGGAGGTGATATCTCAAGCATCGACTGGGGAGCCTATGAAGCGGTGGAGATGGCTCCATCGAAGTGCAGGTCGTTGTCTTCGCTGGACTATTGTGAGCGGAGGCTGTCACTGAGGAGGAAAGAGCTTGGCAGTGTAGATGTGGCGGAAGTTTTCTCGCCGCCGAGATTCACGTTGAGAGCTGGCATTTTGGGCTTGGCTCCGGGCTTTGCTGTGGATTTGGCTACGAAGAAGCCGATTGTGGGCAAGGAGGATGAATACTGGGATTTGAACAGGTCAGAGGACCGTTTGGAGTTGGACTGGTTGATCGACAAGGAGGACCCGGTTCTTCTTACTGGATCCCCTCGTTGTGATCCATTCAGCTTGCTTCAGAACCTCAGCAAGGAGTACAAAGATAACCCAGTGAGAAAGCTTCGCCGAGAAGAAGGTGAACAACATCTACGGCAGTGTGTGGATCTCTACATCAAGCAGATGTTGAGGGGTCGCTATTTTCTTCATGAGCATCCTGCAGGTGCAGATTCCTGGGATGTCCAAGAGATGATTGAGCTCCAGCGCATGGATGGAGTCTACACGGTGTCGGGGCCAATGTGCTTTTGGAACATGAAGTTGAAGACCCCGAAACTTGGTGCTGGCAAAGTTTACAAGAACACCAAATGGGTGACCAATTCGCGTGAGATTGCAGAGGTGTTGGACCAGTACTGCACAAATAGATGTGGGGGCCCGATCCATCGACACATTCCTTTGGTTGGTGGCATGGCGCATCTATGTGAAGCTTATCCAGTGGAGTTGGTTGATGCGACATTGGAGGGGCTCAAACGGCAGATGAGGGCAGACAATCATGTCAGTGCTTTGGAGCTTTTTGCGAGTGGTCCTGATCCGACAGAACCTTTGTTTGATGCGGAGACCGAGAAGCTGATGGAAGAGGAGGTGCAGGAGTACTTCGACGACATCAGTGGCGAGGTGCTTCCTTCAGAACTGGTTCGCAAAGCGAGGCAGGAAGAGATGGACTGGATCAAGAAGATCGAGCTCTATGACAAGGTGCCTCGCTCTATGGCTTTGGGGCGCAACAAAGCCGTACTACCTGTTCGTTGGGTAGATGTCAACAAAGGTGACAGGTCCGCCTACAAATTGCGGAGCAGAATCGTTGGAAAAGAGCTCAAGGTCAAAACCAGGGAATCCCTACTGGCACACGAACTTTTCAGTGCGACTCCGCCCTGGGAGTCAGTGAAGAGTTTGTTTTCACTCCTAGTAACTGACCTACCTAAGAGTGCAACAGCTGGCGGACAGGAACTGGTCATGGGGGTTTATGACATTTCCCGCGCACACTTTATGCCGAAGGTGGAGCGGGAGCTATACATTGAACTACCTCCTGAAGATCGAGTTCCTGGCGAAGATCTGGTTGGGAAGCTGAAGCGAAACATGTATGGCTTCCGTGATGCAAGCCATGGTTGGATGAAAGACTGGCAGAAGCTTTTGGAAGGTGGTGGATACCGAGTTGGTGCTGCAATCCCTGCTTTGTTTTACAACGAAGAGAGCTGTTCTCGAGGTGCGGTTCATGGTGATGATTTCTACGTTTTGGGGCCAGTTGCAGCGGTGGACAAGATGAAAGAGCTTTTAGGTTCAAAATATCAGATGCGTGAGGCCCATCGCCTTGGTTTTGGTGAAGGGTGTGTTCGCTCTGCAACAGTGCTCAACCGAGTTGTTCAACTAGGTCATGACGAAGGAGGACGGCGTTGGGTTCAGATCGAGCCTGACAAGAGACATGTGGAACTGATTTTACAAACAGCTGGTGTGAATCCAAACAGTTCAAATGGCGTGACTACCCCTTCAGTCAAGCCTACGGAAGAGCAGGCTCACCAGTTGCAGTTCTCTGCAGAACTACCACCACAACAAGCTTCACAGTATCGTTCAGCAGTGATGCGAGCGAGTTTCTTAGCCCAAGAACGTTGTGACCTTGCAGAAACAGTGAAACGTCTTGCTCAGGGCATGTCTCGCCCTAGGCTGGCGCACTGGGAGATGCTCAAGCGAATGGCGAGGTATCTGGTCTTCAGACCGAATGTGGCTTTGGTCTATCGACAGCAACGGATGCCTGACCATGTGAGAGTTTGTGTAGATTCTGACTATGCTGGGTGCAAGGTGAGTAGGAAATCAACAACTGGTATGGTTCAGTTTCTTGGAGGGCATGTGATAAAGGCGACCAGTAACTTGCAGACAGTCATTGGTTTGAATGTTTCTGAATCTGAATACTACGCTTTGGTTCATGGGACAGCTCATGGTTTAGGCCTACAAGCATTCATGTCAGATATGGGTTTGAACTTTGGCTTGGTGATAGAAAGCGATAGCAGTTCGGCAAAGGCATTCGCTTCGAGAGTTGGCTTGGGAAAACAACGTCACGTGATGACGAGATATCTCTGGCTGCAACAAGTGGTTCAAGCAGAAAGGGCAGTTATTCGCAAGATTGGAACTGCCCACAACCCTTCAGATATCATGACAAAATCAAGCAGTGGCGCAACGATCGACAAGCACATGATGGCGATGAGTGTGGTGGTGTTGCCTGAAGCATCATGCTTGCAAAAGAGCATACACGTGCCAGGCTCCACTACCAATTGCATGCCTGCTTCGACGTAATACACGTCTTAGCAGAGGAGGAGTGTTGAAATCAGCATCCTACATACTCCGAGAATGATGGCCCAGAGGAGAAATAGTAGCACTTTGAATCGTCATATATATATATATATTCATATATTATATATATATTCATATATTATATATATATTCATATATTATATATATATTCATATTATATATATATTCATATATTATATATATATATATATATTCATATTATATATATTCATATATATATATATATATTCATATTATATATATATTCATATTATATATATATATTCATATATTATATATATATATATATATTCATATATTATATATATATTCATATAATATATATATATATATATATTTGTTCATTTGGGTTGAAACTACCAAACAGATCTCTTAGTTCTGTGTGTTTGTTGTTAACGTGTGTTAACGTCTGCTGGAATTCCTCCTTCGCCAGGTGGGTGGCATCTTGACCAAACAGGACTTGGAGATCATGAAGACCAGTTGCGTGGCGGTTGTAACCAGAGTCATAGCCATGGTCACAACCATTAAGGTTAAATCACTGATATTGGATAGTTCAAAAAGATAAGTCAAACAACTGATTTTGGATTTAAGCAACCATTTTTTGATCATTTTGATCCATATTGGATAATTGGATAGTTCAAAAGAAGGTTAACATATCCAATATCAGTTTTCTAACCTTAGTGGTGCCCATTTAAGTTTGGTGAGAAGTTGTAGCCATGGTCATGAGGTAGAGAATAGATGGGATTGTGCTGTGCTACCACGTTCCATGCGACGTGCCGGAAAAAACGTTAAACTACCCAATAATATGTAAATACATGTGAATATGTACAGATTACAGCTATTCTACACAGATGGGATTAAACTCCACATATGAGTGCTCAATTGTGTCACCCAACCAGTAGAACCAATCCACAAAATGTGTTGGATTATTGTGGACGCTGTCATGTGGCTTTGTTGGTAAATATTCCACAAGGGGCTTGCAGAATCGCAGTTTTCAAACGACCATACCAAGTGGGTATGATCAAGTCGTTGGCGTTTGTTTGATTTTTTTCTGGAACCTCTGACGGGTGGATCTTTGAGTTCAAATAGATTTGGCAACTTGCACTTCTGCAACTGTATTTCATTTTTTTTAATTTGGATACATGTTCCCCACCTTATAGATATATATATATATACCGTATACCACATGTTTTTTTTCTGGAAATTGTTTTTTTCAATTCGCTTGATAAACTTTGACACATGCCCAGTTCCAGTTCGTCCATTTGAGAAATCTCCGAAACGTCCTTAAGGCTTAAAGAAGGCTTGGCTGGAGGACTTCTATGCCTTCGTGGAGAGCCAGGGAGGGACAACTTCCGAGGTCATGGGACATATTCTCAAGATGGAGGTGCGGCCTGGTGGACCTGTCTGGTCGACCTAAATTGGAGGTGTGTCAGAATAAGTCCGATGTAAGGGCTATGTATATAAGTTATATAAGGGAACATGGTTTTGTATGGGACAGTACTTCTATTGTATGGGACTTAATAAGGATCCTGACATTCCCATTGATATTTTGATATTTTGGTCGGAGATAAACGGTTTGGTGGCATCTTTTAGATGTTTTAAGGTCCACCGTTTGCACATCTTTGTACCGTACGTCAACATCTCCCAACTTTCGTCCAACGTCGCAAACGTCGGCGCAGGCGGATTTCAGGGTGCTGCTGGTCACCATGAACGCCTTGAATACCAACCTTAGTACCGAGTCTTCCCTGCAGGATCGCAATGCTGCTCAGCGGTCTCGCAGTGGGCCAGCTGTTGGTATTTGATGGGTTCTTAAGGCATAGGTGTAACCCAAATCATCCAAGTCACCAGATCATTTAAGTATTGAAACCCATTGTGACTTGGGATACCCCCATTTTAGGAAACCAGCGTATTGAGACCTAGTATTTTGAATGGACCTGGCTGGTGGATAGCTTCAAACTGGGCCATTGGTTTGTTGATCTTTTTGATTCTGGCGCTTGGAGACGAAATGATCACAGGCATTCATCAGTTTGGCAATGCATTCAGCTGGTGTCTTGAGAGCTGCAGGATGAGCAGTCATTATGAACTATAGTAATCCTATCATTCCTTGTGTCTTCTTGGCACGCACTGGAAGTTTCATGAAGTTTCCATGTCATGACAATCTCACATGATTCATGGAATTTCTCAAACCTGAGCCAGTTTGAACCAAACAAAGACGAGTGCTTGGCGGGTTCATATGACAAATTTTGAGTCCCTGATGAGATGATCCCGAGGATAATCTTCTGGGAAGACTTGATACAGTACCAACCGGGTAAACAGTCTCAAGGACGATCACAAAATTGCACCCGGAGGCATTTGAATAATAAGGACTTGCGGAAGTTTCCCACCACAAGCATCCATATCCATCCATACCTTGCAGTAACATCATCAAGTGAAAAATATCCATACCTTCAGGCCTTCATTTTGAATTCACCCAAGGATACCCATCCGGGTTTTATTGTTCCAGGTGTGTTTCCATCTCGGAATACCATCCCAAAACTCGAAAATCGCAGAGGTTTCCTGAAATTAGGGTACCACTAAATCATCCATTTGAAGAGGATTTTCCATTATAAACCAACCATTTATGGAAACCCCCATATATATAATTCCATATATATATATCCACATATATATATCCATATATATATATCCATATATATATATGTATATATCCATATATATATATATCCATATATATATATATCCATATATATATATCCATATATATATATCCATATATATATATATCCATATATATATATATCCATATATATATATATCCATATATATATATATTCATATATATATCCACATATGTATATATATCCATATATATATATACATATCCACATATATATACATATATATATATATATGTGGATATATATATATGGATATATATATATATGTATATATGTATATATGTATATATGTATATATGTATATATGTATATATGTATATATGTATATATATGTATAGCTATCATCCAACATGTGCAGTTTTCGGACACCGAGGCTCTGTATCCGAACTTCGGGTATTTGTATCCCGAAGGCACCAAGGAACTGCGTAAGGTCTTCAATGACACCACGGTGCGCGCAGCGCTGGAACCATACTCCAAATATTTGCAGCTCTTTGATCAGGTGGGACGACTAAGCCAGGTTTTGTGACATGTGTTTTCCTGAGCCAAACATGTGGATGAAGAATGATGAAGATGAACTGTGTACTTGTACATGTGTATACATATATGTATATATAATTATATAATTATGTAAAATCAATCAAAATCATGTCTATTAAGCATAAGCATACGAATATATATATATATATACAGTATATATATATACAGTATATATATATACATACAAATATTATGTTGCTACTCTAACATTCACTGTATGGTATCAAAATATCTCATATCCCATTGAAATGTCGTGTTTGATGCAGTGTCTAAGCTTGGCCTGGCGCTGCGGGATTCTCTTGGGATGCTAACTATGGGGCACCAGGGTTTATGAACTGTTGATCCATTGAGCAAATGTGGCCTTAAGTGGTCAGTGATACTGGTGAAATATATGTCACAATGGATTGATTGTCTGGTCCCTGAATGACAAACGAGGCAAGTGCTGGTGGCTTTATTCCCAAATCAACAGGGTGCAGATGACCTCAGATTGGAAGCCACTTGGGGGTATAGTTCCACTACGAAGTGGCTAATATAACAATAGTCAGAGGGATTGCATCTGAACTTGTTGGGGTTGTAACACCATAGTTATACCGATATCATCTATATATTGCCAACATACTGTATCTATAATATATGATATTATATATATATATGATGTGTATATATATATAATGTAGGTGATAGTATGACATACACATAATATATATATGTAATATATAGTTATACTACGTTAGAAAAATAATAATGATAATTAATAACAATAATAAACATAACAATTATAATAGGAAGGATAGTGGAATAATAATTATAATAAATGATTATCTATATCTATATATGTATATAAACATACACAATAGAATTATATCACATCCCAGTCCTGCACCAGCCACCACGTGCGCCTTTATGGCCCGGCGCGAGCAGGTGAAGGACTTTTACGATGCCGAGAGCGGTGGAAGGGTTGGGCAGACCTCCTTCCAATCCATTGAGGACTTGATCTATGCAGCGCCTGGACAACATTGGAGATGGCTGGTGTTGTTTTCTTTGGCTGATTGGATGGGTTACACTTGGATACTAATATATATATATATATCCTCTATGACTAGATAGTGAATTATATTCACTTGATGAATATTTGTTTATACTATCAAAATGGAGAGATGACGATTTATGGACCAGCTACTGTATTTAGTTCTGCGAAGATAGCCTGGTTTGTGTGGTTTTGGTCCACAGAGGTGGTGTTGTTGCGTGCCAAACGAGCGCTAATTTCAGGGATGATGCCACTGTTAGTGGAAGATGCACAGTGGAATCTTTGAGTGGCCATGTATACACCTGTTTATACCCATGTTTGTGAGGGATAAACATGGAAAAGTTCATATCTAGCCAAAGAACATCGTCTGGCATCTTCTGAACCTCTTCTGTTCAGGTGATTGCTTTTGCTCTTTTACTTTGATAAAGAGTCGGGATGACAGGTAAGACTGCATGGGTCTTGGAGTTTTCCTGCAAAAAAAACCCTTGGCTACATCCTTGTGAGCACAGAACCAACATCTGGATTTGTACCTGGTCATTTGGAGGAAACTTGAAATGGATGTACATAGTTGGTTAATGTTGGTTATATCCAAACAAATACCCACTATACCACCGACCTCATTGGCTAAACCACTATTCATTCATATTTCTTATGTATATATATATATTGAAAGTACAGGTGGACATGAGTGAACATGCCATGTCCTGACATGCCCGCAGGGAGGGCTCAAGAGCCAAGGCAAAACATGTGCAGCTGCGACTGCATGCAGGGCTAGGTGGTAGCCCCCCGTTGTTTCCCTTGTGCTAGGGATCGTGTTGGCCATAGGGGCCATTGCATGGTAGGCGGAGCTCCTACCTGGTGAAGATCCAGGACTACATGCCTGCTGGTGGAAGTGATGAAGTCCCGACATGGGACGGCGACCCATCGAGCTTTGAAAGCTTCGTGACGAGCTGCAAATGGTTCGAGGCATCGCTGAAGGACACAGAAAGAAAACTGGCAGCTCCGAAGATATGGCAAAAGCTCAGTGGGTCAGCCAAGTCAGTGGTTCGTCATTTGGATCCAACAGAGTTTGGGTCAAGTGAAGGACTACAAAAGCTGTTGGACGTCCTGCGGAAGTCTCCTCTCCAACGACTACCTGTGCCTGACTCCTTCCAAAGGTTGGAACGATGGACAAGTATGCGGAGGAGCCCACAGGAGTCAATAGCTCAGTTGCTGGTTCGTGAGGAAGAGCTGTTTGTAGAACTACAACAGTCACTACAACGTGCACGACAAGAACGTGAACCTGGTGCAGTTCCACGACCTGCAACTGAACCGCCGCCGATGAGTGAGTCACCGAGCCAATCACCTACGGCTGGGCCTGCTATGCCGACCTCTACCACTTCAGGAACTATGCCGACCTCTACAACTTCTCCGACTATGCCGACTTCTTCGACTTCACCCTCTTCGAGCTCTACGACTGGTGGCTTCTTCGAGGACGAGATGCGTGGTTACAGGTTGCTCAAGGCTGCAAAGCTTTCGACGGCAGAGAAACAACACGTGCTGACCTTGACCAAGAACAGCACCCAGTACTACGCCATCCGTCGAGCCCTACGTACTCTCTTTGCCGAGGGTGAGACAGCTGATGATGGACGTGTGAGAAAAGCGGCATGGTATGTGGATGAATGGAATGATGATTGGGAAGGTGAATGGGATGAATGGCCGACGTCAGAAGATGTCTACTGGGCAGACTATGGAGATGGATGGAATGAAGATGATTGGTCAACTTGGGACCAATGGGACTACGAAACATCACCTACTTCCTCTCCTATGACTTCGGCGACACCCATGGAAGAGAATGCGGCGGAAGCAGTTGGAACCACTGAGTCTCAAGAAGAGACCCGTTTGTCAGAGGCATACACCATTGCCGCTGAAGCACAGAAAACGTTGCAGGAGGCGAGAAAAGCAGTCGCACAGACACGTGCGGCACGTGGCTACTATGATGCAGCCAACTCCAAGGGCAAGCCTTCGATGAAGGGCAAAGGCAAAGGCAAGGGCAAGATGTTCAAAGGGTTTGGAAAAGGCAAGTCGAAGACTAGCTATGGACCTTGCCTGACATGTGGTCGTCCTGGCCATTCATACAAGTTTTGCCCTGACAGATGGTCCAGAAACCAAGGATCACCTGGAGCGTCTTCAAAAGGCTCTCCATCAAGTTCCAAAGGTCGGGCCTACTTCACTGCGTATGACGAGTACGCCTTCTATGTGCCCACTGGTGAGATCAATGTCCTTTCAACTGAGGACTGTCGTGAGCTCCAGACCATTGGCACCACCAAGGTCGTTTTGGACACAGGTGCAACTGAGTCTGTGGCAGGTGTCAATAGCGCTGCAAGGCTTTTGGACGAGGACAACTTGACCTACAAGATATGCCTGAGAGATCGTCCTACGTTCCGTTTTGGGAACGGTCATAGCCAACAAGCCGTTTCCAAGATGACTCTCAACACTCCAGCACTGGGAGAAGTTTCTTTCTACCTCTTGGACGGCACTGCAGAAGCGACACCAATGTTGCTTGGAGCTCGAGACTTGCGAGAAAGGCAAGCTATGATCTCCTACAAAGGTGAGTACATGGCGCACCAAGATCGACATGGAACTTGGAGGGCAAGCAAGCTGATGAGCCTTCGAAGTGGTCATTTGGCACTGTCTTTGACTTCACCTTCGACTGGTCTACATGCTGCTCTACGTCTTCGAGATGCTCCTGGCCGAGGACCTGGTGATGATCGAGATGGACAAGATGGAGATGAACATTCACCTCACGATGGTGGCCCTGGTGGAAGGCAACATGGTGGTAGATCGATTGGCATCAAGAGGCAGCATGCAGAGACTGCTTCTCCTGGTGACGCCAACAACTTCAACACCATGGACCACACCTTGAACTTGGACGCCGTGATGGAAGATGAACCGGAGCCGCTGAGAACAGCAGTTCATGAGACACTGGAAGGCCGTTTTGGCCATGAGCATGTTGAGCCCGAGACGTGACAATGGTTACTCACCAACTTCCTCTGTGGTGACCCGCAGACCTTTTCCTGCTGGAGAAGATGGCTCACGCAGTATGACTCGCGTGCACTCTCCGAGCCATGCAGAAAACAGTGAGCCGCCTGCTGAGGAACAACTGGTTGAAGTCTTTGATGAAACTTCAGGGAACTGGGTTGCTCGAGACACATCACATGCACAACATGGACATGAACATGATGGTGGTGAAAATGGAAACGATGGTTTGGTGATGATGGTGATGTCAGGTGTTTCAGAAGGGACACCGCCATTGAGTGACCGCCTTAGCAGTCTGGCTCAGCGACTCCAAGCGCTACGTTCCAGTCTCAGCCCATCGGGCGATGAGCTCAACCCTCAAGCCATGCGCTCCTTCGACACCAATGGATCCTCGACAAGAGGGCTGGCCGTGCATGGGCATGCATCAACCTGGACCTCAACGGAAGAACAAGTATGCCAACTGGCATGCATGCAAAAGATGCGGACTACGCCTCTCCTACACGGCCAAGAGCGGCTACACCGGGGAGTCACGTGCAATTGGTGCCGATCCTCAACATGTGGCTGCTGCGCAGGAGGAGCTGAAGATGATCTACTCCATCGACAACATGAACGAGAAGATCTTCAATGGGAAGCTGATGGAAGTTCGTGGTCGCGGACTAGTTCAGAGTGGAGGAGCTGGGCGCACCACGGTGGAGATCAAGGCCAACGAGAAGTTGTGCAAGTGGCTGATGGGAGCACAGGCATCAACTCCGGAGACACCTCCAGGAGCAATGACGTCGGGATCTATGGCACCGACGACACCTGTGCAGCCTCCGGAGACTCCAAGACAGAGATCCACTACACCGACCCGAAGTCCAACGCCTCAAAGGAGCTCTACAGCGGCACCGAAGATGGCACCGGGCTTCAAGATGAAGAAGGAGCTGGAGCACCAACATGTGGAAGAGGCACAGTCGTCTCCGGCAAGCTGGGAAGCAGTGGGACCTCATGCAACAGTCCCAGAGACGGTGGAGATTCAGGACTCTTCGGAGGAGGAGACGCGCGGTTGAGCGCACTGTGGAACGCGCTTGGGGCTTTGAAGAAAAGGATGCGGCTGGGAGATCAGTCCCAGCAAATGGATGGTGGCTACAACATGCACTATGACAACACGGACAACTTCACTACGCCTATGACCTGCACTACGTCAACCACGCGGCAGAGCACTACGAATGACAGAGAGCGGAAGCTCAACAAGAATTCAACCCTTGACCTTGGCATGCCTGAGACTGAATGGAATGGCTCGAGCCCTGTGGAGGACATCTACAACCTCTCTTCCACAGTGAATGTGACGAAGAAGATGGTACGCCCTGTTTTGGCACGGCGTTTGGCAAAAGCTGCAGCTCTGACCACAGTTTTGATGCATCCTGTGAAGGAGCTCTTCAGCATGATGACAAGCCAGATCGACGTCTTGGAGGTAGCCTGCTCACCAACCTCCGAGCTGACCACTACGTTTGAGGATGCTGGCTACAAGTGCTTGCGAGCAAACTACCGCAACGGCTTTGACCTGGACACCCGCCGTGGCACAGCCTACCTCAGGGAGAAGATCGAGGAGCTCAATCCGAAGCTGGTTTGGGTTTCTATGGCATGCACGAGATTGACCTCTCTGCAGAACTTGACCCCGAGGACACCGAAGCAGTGGGATGCTTTCATGAAGCGACGTGGACAAGATCTACGACGATGTGATGAGATCGTGGACTCCCTGGACACGACGCTGCAGAATGGCAATGACCTTGCCTGGGAATGGCCAGCTGGAGCACATGCTGGTTGGAATTCAAAGGCAATCAAGAAGCTCCAGAAGAAGATCGTCCAGCACGGCCGCAACATATATTGGTGCAGATTCGACGGTTGTTGCTATGGACTTCGTTTCAAGAATCTGCCAATACTGAAACGATGGCTGGTGCTGACGACGAGCAGAGAGCTATGGATGACGTTGTGCAAACGTTGTGATGGGTGCCATGAGCACATTGAATGCAGAGGCCATGCAGCAACTGCCAGTGCTTATTACCCATCTCTGATGTGCAAGTCAATCCTGAAGGCTTTTGAACATTCCTGGAACCACGACGTCTACTCCTTGGAGAAGATGGCGGAGAAGCACCTTCTGGAGATTGACACCAAGCCTTTGGACACTTCATCCAGGACTTTGTCTACATGGTCTTCATCGTCTACGTCAAGGACACCAACACCGGAAGTGATGGCCCTTTCTCGGAGAAAACTCTCCTTGGAGACCGCACCGACTGGCAAGAAGCTTGAGGAGGTCAAGAAGACTATGCTTCGAGTTCATCGTGCGGCAGGCCATCCTGGAATGTCAAGCTTGGTGCAGTTGCTGAAAGCCAAGGGAGCACCTGGCTGGGCTATTGAAGTCGCCCAGAACCTCCAGTGTCCCGAATGCACAGAAGCTCAACGACCTCGACCTCATCCTCCGGCCTCAATGAGCGCCGAGGAGCCTTGCATCTATGAGTTCCTGGGAACTGACGTCTTCGAGTTTGAAGAGCCCAATACCGATGACAAGCAGAAGAAAGAGGACGCCAAGCCCAAGCACAAGTTCATTCTCTTCCGTGACCGGGCGAGTGGACTGACGATGATCAAACACTTGGCATCGTACAAAGGAGCTTGGGAGCCCAAGACCTCTGATGTGATTGAGGCGTTGACTGTATGGCTCTCAACATATCCAGCACCACGTTGGGTTGTTGCAGATGCTGCGCGCTACTACACCAGCCAAGAGATGATGGACTTTGTCAACCGCAGTGGCATTGGTTTGACGATTGCCCCTGCAGAAGCTCATTGGCTGATGGGACAGGAGGAAGCTGCCATTGGAATTGCCAAGCGGACTGTGGAACGCTTGATGCGAGAAGGGAATGATTTGCCAGTTCCAGTGCTTTTCACTCTGGCGGCAGCGGCTATGAACAGCCATGTTGGAGCCTCTGGTTTTAGTGCACATCAATGGGTCTTTGGCAGTGGCGGTGGCATTTTGGATGATGAGAAGCTGATGCCGGGAATTTCCCCTCACAAAGCTTTTGGTGGACTTGCCAAAGCTCGTGAACGTGCCAAGCTGGCTCATGAGAAAGAGCGAGCTGCTGAGCGCTTCAGCCGTCTCTCCAATGCTGTTGGACGCCCTGTGAACCACAAGTACAACCCTGGTGGCCTTGTGATGCTCTGGCGACAAAAAGTACGCCCTGGAAAGGTCAAAGGTCATTGGGTAGGCCCTTTGAGAGTGATCGTGCAGGAGAACTCCACACTTTGGTTGGCTTCTGGTGCAACGCTCATTCGAGCAAAGCTTGGACAGGTGAGACCAACAACACAGCCTGAACGTTTGAAAGCCCAATTGGAAGGCACTGCGATTTATCGCACCCCCATTTCCATTGGTTCTTTGCTGCAGTCGTTTCAAGGGCGGTACTACATGGATGTTACTGGTGATACGCCCAGTGAACGACAGCAACAACAAGACCTGTCTCCCACAACTGTCCTACAAGCACCTTCTACACCTGGAGCAACAACAGACTCATGGTCTTTGGTTGAAAGAGATGGAAAACGAATTTTGATTCGACACCATGTTCTACCACGACTGGCTCTCTTCAACCCGCAGAAGGTGACCGTATGCCCTGTTTCTATGGATGAGTTGCGTGGCACCCGAGTGACCCACGCCAAGCTTGTGCCGACTGGCGACACCGTCCAGATCAAGGACACAATTGAGGATTCAAAGACCTTGCAGGATCGATGGACTGGCGAGACGCACTTCGAGCTCAAGGAGATCATTGTGCGACCTGCCAAAGTGAGGAGAGGAGTCCCTTCGAAGCCAAAACGAAAGGCTGTAGAAGACCTACCTCGACTTCCTCGTGGACAAGCTGATGGTTCTGCAGAAGTTGAACAACCTGGAGAAGCTGAACAAGATCAACAGCCTGATGGGACTTCTGTCTCTGAACCCTCACCACCTTTGAGCAAGGTACTTCAACAAGGAGGACTGAACCGCCTTGATGGACTGCCTGAACGAGTTCCTGCAAGCGCTGGATCATCTGGGTCCAATCTATGTGTAGTACCAGAATGCGTGCTGCCTGGTGGACACCTTGGACACCACGAAGACTCAGGGGGGAACAAGTTCCTCTATGACAACTATGATGGCAGACATGCCGTGGTTGCAGAAGAGACCGAATCGTCTGAGAGTGAGGACGAGAAAGCACCTTCGAGCTCTACGACCTCCGAAGCTGAATCAGAAGAGTTGATTCGAGATGGAGAACTTCCAAATGCCGAACCTGCTCAACAAGCCCCTCAGGAAACCTTCATCTGCATCGACATCGACACGACCGAGGCCGACTTGAACTGGCTCGTCAAACACAAGTCCCAGAAACATGGACAAGTTTGGCCGTCGAAGAAGATGCAGGACAAGGGCAAAGAGCTGGATTGGAAGAAGATGACTTTGGATGAAAAGAAAGAGTTCGACCTTGCCGAGGCGAAGGAGATCAGCAATGTCATTGTCAGCAAAGCATTGCGCAACTTGACGCCTGATGAGCTGAAGAAGTTGGACGCTGGCAGGGTGATGAGCATGAGATGGGTCCTGACGCGCAAGAGCTCTGGAGATGCAAAGGCGCGTTTGGTGGTTTTAGGCTTCCAGGCCCACAACATCACCGAGGTGGCGACTTCGTCACCGACTATGTCAAAGGGCGGCAGAAACTGCCTATTGGCTATGTCAGCGGCGATGAAGTTCATCATCAAGTCTGGCGATGTGACATCGGCCTTTCTTCAGACCGACTCTTCATTGGAGTCCGAGGAGCTGAATGTTTGGGCCCCTGCTGAACTTTCTACAGCATATGGAGCTGCGCCTGGCACCATCATTCCATTGAGGGTGATGCAAGCTTTCTATGGTCTGGTACATGCTCCACGAAAATGGTACGAACGATGTGTCCGCACCCTCAAGGAGCACTCATGGAGGCAACTGCAAGGAGATCGATGTATCTTTGCACTCTACGACCCTGACAACAAGCTCGTTGGCTTGGCAGGTATTCACGTGGATGATTTCCTCATTTCTGGCGATCCTTCATCAACCTTTTTCCTGGAGGCCGAGAAGAAGCTTCAAGGATCTTTTCGATGGGGCAAATGGGAGACTTCCGAGTTTCAATTTGCTGGCTGCCGAATTCGACAGCGTGAGGACTACTCCATCGAGATTGACCAGGAGGAGTACGTGAACAGATGGGTCGAGGAGATGCCTATTGATCCAAATCGACCCCAACAAGCCGATCTACTTCCTTCAGAAGTTTTCAGCGCTGAGAGGAGTGCTGGGAACTATGAGTTGGAGAGCAACACAGACAGCTCCACACTACTTGGCAGAAGTGAGCCTGTTGCTGTCCGAGATTGGCAAGGGCACAGTTAGCACTTTGTATCGGGCTAACAAACTAGTCCGAGAGATGCGAAGGGATGCAAGCCAAGGGCTTATTTTTCCAACTTGGGAACCATGTGCGCTGGCAGTCATCACTTGGACTGACGCCTCACAGCACAACCGACCTGACAGAGCAAGCACGGTTGGTGTGATTAGCGCCCTGGCACCTGCAGATGTTCTTGAAGGACGTGAACGTCAATTCTCCATACTGCAGTGGAAGTCTGGAAAGGCACCCCGTCAATGTTTGGGATCCAATGGATCTGAAGTGCAAGCTGTGACGATTGGAGAAGATCAAAATTTTCTTCTACGTGCGCTGGTGGCTGAGATTCAAGGTTCAGTTCCTGAACGAGGTCTTCTACCAGAACATGTGAAGAATGTGAAGGGAGCGCTGGTGATGGATTCCCGTGGGATCTACGATGCAGCGACCCGGAATTTGAGTTCACTCCATGGTTTGAGAGACAGCCGAAGCGGATACGAACTTGTGCTGGCGGTGAATCAAGCCTATCGGGTAGGCACTGTGTTCCGATGGGTCAATGGATTGGCACAACTGGCCGACGCTTTGACCAAGCATGGTGCTATGAAGGTCCTGCTCCAGTTCTACCAGCAACGACATCACTGGCGACTGGTGCACGACGACAAATTCACCTCAGGCCGTAAAATCGGCAAGCGCGAGATGCTGAAGGAGCTGAATGACCATCACAACCATTTCATCTACCTTGTAAAGAAATTGGCAGCGGACTGCAATCTGCCCTGGGATGAAGTGGAAGATAGGTCAGCTTTTGCACCCCTGTCATGACATACCATGATTCAGGGGGGATGCAAGTACAGGTGGACATGAGTGAACATGCCATGTCCTGACATGCCCGCAGGGAGGGCTCAAGAGCCAAGGCAAAACATGTGCAGCTGCGACTGCATGCAGGGCTAGGTGGTAGCCCCCCGTTGTTTCCCTTGTGCTAGGGATCGTGTTGGCCATAGGGGCCATTGCATGTATATATTTTTGTATGCATATAACAATAGTGTACATTATAATACATATGTATATATATATATATATATTATTGTATATTAATATAGATTATGATAGATTATTATGGATTAATATAGATGAATATACATTAATATAGATGAATTTAGATTGTCACAGATTGATATAGATTCATATAGATTAATACATATATATATATACATATTACATATATAGTGTTATGTATATATATATATACACATTTTATGACCAAGGAGAATGTTCACATGTACGAGATGGCCTTCGAGCAGCAGTATCACTTTGGCATTTTCTATGCATGGGTCAAGCTGCGAGAGCAGGAGATCAGAAACATTAGGTCTGCCGCCTCCCCGGGGTCCTGCCGGCCATGGACTTTACCTACTTGGTGGGTTCAATTGGATGTATTCCTTAACCAATTTTTCAGATGATTCACCAATTTTTCATCCACCTAACCAAGGAATACATCCAAGTGAATACACCTTAACCTATCTTGGTGGATTCAATTGATGGGGAAAGCGATGATTCACCCAACCCTTGTTGATTCGCCGATTTGGAGGTGTCCATCAATGGCCCATAAGGGGCCATGGTTTATTTCATGGAAACATCCGAAAATAAAATGGATGATTTGGGGGTACCTCCCTATGTTAGGAAACCTTCATTTCACCACATCTCATAAATATTTATGTTTGATGGCTCTAGATGTTATTTGTCTATGTGGGTTCAAGATATATTCATTGCCCTGCAGATATGTGTTATTGTTTGTTCAAGAATGCTTGAGATGATTGGTTGAGATGACTCATCTTTTTCAGAGGGGTTAAAACCACCAACAAGTTATGTTTATTGGTGTATCAAGTCCATGAACCAATATCTACCATAAACCCAACATAGCCCACCACTTAACCTATTGAACTCAACAAATTTAGCCATTCTGAACCGGGGCACCACCTTGCACCCGATATTTGGTATCCCGTGGTATCCTTGGAATCCGTCCATATCACGACGATGTGTTGTTAAACCATGACCTGGGTTTTCCGCGGTTTGGTGGCAGGTGGATTGCGAACATGGTTGTCCTGAACACGAAGGATCACATTGATGATACCATTGTTCCCATCTTCCAGCCTCGTATGTAGGTCCAAGTTACACCGGTCTCACAGTGGAGAGGAGGGACCAGACTGAACACAAGCCCTGCATCCGGAATGACTGAAGGCCCCCATAGATTATTGATGATTATTGGTTCTGGAGATTCCAGCATGGTGTATACAATATGTCATATATATATACGTATACATATACACACGATTTTACAAGTGTTGTAGCGACATCAATAAGAACTCACAATTCATCTAAAGCTTAGCAACAGGAAGCAAGAAACATCCCAGGACTGGCTTACTTCTGGTTTGGTGTTGTTCATGTGTTTTAATGTGTTTTACAGATTGTGATTTTAGCCAGGCCCAGATAGTTGAGAGCGTTAAGAGAAAGGTACCCAGGAAGTCTCAGTACTTGGTCATCACTCTCTGCTCGGTTCCAGACTTTCGCTATGAGCTTAGCCTGCATCGTGATGCTGGGCCTGGACGGACCATCAAGAATTGAATGACCAACATGGAGTTTATAACCATAGACATATAACCCATGTGTTTTTCTAGTTTGGTCTAATAGTCTATAAGAGTAGCCAATTTAAGTAATAATAAGAGTAATATTACCATTGGAGTCATAAATCAGAATGGATAATAGTATGAATTGATCTTGGTAGTATAATGACCAATCAGAATGAGAGACATAATGATTAGAGTCATAGGGGATATGAGAAACCACGAAGAATGATGCCAGGCCAGTCAAATCGACCTTTTCATACCTTGGCTTGAGGTCACTTAACAACCCCAAAACGGTCGTTTTGAGCTACCGTGCCGATGTTTAGAGATGAGGATTGAAAGCAGTAATCCTTAATATATTTCCTTCAAACCACCAATGGCCCAGGCTTTCCATGGATTTCCTGCATGTGTTATCTCACTCAAACCAACCCAACAAACTAAGCTGGATAGATTGTGGCCATACACTGACATTTTTTGGGGGGGAATATATCATTTAGGTTTTTCATTTACGCCACTGAAAAATATAATATATTTTCAGCAGAGGATCAACAAACCACCAAGTAAATACCTGTGATTGTTGGCTGATGTCACATGATACATTATGTCCCCATTATCCCATATCTATCATGTTCTATCCCCATTATCCAAAATATATACTAGTTAGTTAATGTTGGCTCAACACCAAATATACATCTAAACCAAGTGTTACTTCATTATCATCCCAACTATGTCGGATTTACACTAATGCTAAATTAGTTAGATAACCAATACAGTAATCACAAATCTCTGGGGTAAAATCTAAGCAAGTTTGGAAGCACTGGCTTCCAGTTGGGCAGGCCGGTCGGTGGGCCGCATTTTGCCCCTGGTTCGGAGTGAACCAGGTGGAAGCGCCCGCGCAGTGGGAAGTTGAGTGAAGGACATTGAGATGCACATGAAACTTGCTTCAACACCGGCCAATGTTTGATCAGATTTGTATGTCCATATGATTCTATATGTGTATGTACATGTATATATATATATCATATATGTATATATGTACATGTATATAATGTAATGATATGTAATGTGCATATATATATATTATACACATCGACTTGTTTTTTTTTCCGCAAGGTGATGTTTTGATGTGTCTTGATCAGATATATATATATATACAATGAAAGGTTGGTCTGAGAGTAATTACCTCACAGCTACGGGATTTAAAGCCAACACTCCCACATGAGCGACCAATTCTGTCAGGGATCTGTGTGACTCCTGCGCATCCCCAGCCCCACATGGTGAAAGCGGAGGCATCTCAGATGAGCCCATGCTCCTTCCCATGGTGTCCATGCACCTGCACATGGGCACACCATGAACATCCGGGATTTCGCCCGGGGTTCAGCAGCCGATTGCGGATCATGCTGGCGCAAAGCAGGACAAACAAGAGCGATGTCAGGAGATTGTCAGGAGTGCTGCAAGGATTTTCATAGGCTAAAGATCCAACTGTCCCAACGTTGGCTGAACGGGGAGATATTTTCAGAAAACCTTATCTAGAATTGAGATATAGTAAGAGTACAAACAGCGGTGTCGTGCAAAGTTTTCCTCAGACCAGTTTCTTTGAGCAATAGCCATTCAGCACCTATCCTAAAAACATGTGGGCTGCTGGGGTTGTGTTCTGGGAACATTTCTTGCGATTTACCAGGTAATTACCCTTGGTATATACTTCTTCGAATTTCTTACGTTGCCTCAGATATCAATTTAAAGATACAACTTCCGAGAAACAAAGAACCACATTGGAACATTGAAACATATTTGATCCAAATAGATCTTTTGTCAATCGCCAGGTGACTTGACAATGTCACTTGAGAGGAAACTGAATTCTTCGGTCAATGACCGTGGGAAATCTAACTAATAATAATAATAATATACATATATAGATATACAATAATTAATATGTTTTGAATATATAAATTAAATATTGAAAAATACGAATTAAAATATTTTGTTTGAACATACTATTTTTATTTGGTCCTGATATAGAATGGATATGAATATATATATATATATGCATAATTTTGTGTCGCGTCTTTATATTCACCAGGGGAGGAGGAATATATACATACATACATGCATACCTACCTACCTACCTACATACATACACACACACACATACATACATACATACAGACAAACAATACAATACAATACAATTACAATTACAAATACAAATACAAATACCCATACCCATACCCATACCATACCATACCATACATACACACATACGTACTCTCATACATACATACCTACCTACCTACATACCTACATACCTACATACCTACATACCTACATACCTACATACCTACATACCTACATACCTAGACTACCTACCTACCTACCTACATACATACACACACACACATACATACATACATACAGACAAACAATACAATACAATACAATTACAATTACAAATACAAATACAAATACCCATACCCATACCCATACCATACCATACCATACATACACACATACGTACTCTCATACATACATACCTACCTACCTACATACCTACATACCTACATACCTACATACCTACATACCTACATACCTACATACCTACATACCTAGATACCTAGATACCTACATACCTACATACCTACATACCTACATACCTACATACATCCATACCTACATACCTACATACCTACATACTTACATACATCCATACATCCATACATACCATACATACCATACATACCATACATACCATACCATACAATACCATACAATATCATACAATACCATACCATACAATACCATACAATACCATACAATACCATACAATACCATACAATACCATACAATACCATACAATACCATACAATACCATTCATACCATACATACCATACATACCATACATACCATATATACCATACATACCATACATACCATACATACCATCCATACCATACATACCATACATACCATACATACCATATATACCATACATACCATACATACCATAGATACCATACAAACCATACAAACCATACATATTATACATACCATATATACCATACATACTATACATACCATATATACCATACATACCATACATACCATACATACTATACATTACATACATTGCATACATTATATACATTATATACATTATATACATTATATACATTATATTCATTGCATAAATTACATACATTACATATATTATAAACATTATATATATTACATACATTATATACATTACATTCATTATATTTATTACATACATTTTTATACACTACATCAATTATATGCATTATATACATTATATATATTATATGCATTACATACATTACATAAATTATATATATTACATATATTTATATATCCATACATCCATATATCCATACATCTATCTATCCATCTATCCATCTATCCATTTATACAAACAATTATACATACATACATATATATACATACATATATACATACACCTTTTAGACAAAATAATTATTTTTTTAAGAGATATTTATATTTAATTGGGTCGATTTTTTTCCTGGAAATCGTACTTTTTTGCAAAACGCAAGCAAATTTTGGTGATCATAGCGTAACAATGTGTTTAAATGTTTTTGTGTTTTTTCTTGCGTTTAGCTTGGGTTTAGGTATTTAGTTATGTTTAGGGATGCTTAGGGTATATATAATTTTTATATATTTTTGTTGCCTTTAATTTGGGGGATTTTTTTTTGTTGTAGTTGCTTTCTTATTAATGATTTCTGTATGTTTAATTGTATTTAGTAATTATTGTTAAATTGTTGCTCTAGTATTGGTGCTTTCTTAATTATTACTACTACTATAACTATAATATTTTATTTATATTTTACTAAATTATACTATATTATACTAAACTACATTACACTACATTACAAAATACGATACTATACTATATTACACTACACTATTTTACAATTATAACTATAATTATATTAATTATACTACACTGCAATAACAACTCCAAACTATAACTCTAAACTACAACTATAACTACACTATACCATACTATATGCAATAATTATGGTGAGGAGATTATTGCAATCATTATAGTTATTCTAAATATTATAATTTTAACTACTTGTCGGTCTATTAATAAATTTATTTTACTATCCATAATTTTTAATAACTATTTTCTTAACTATTTTCTCCTATAAATTTCCTATTTCCCTACTTACCAGGGGAGGATTATTAGATTTTATCAGAATTATTCTTATCCTTCGCTATTTTTTCCTCCTCCTTCTTTTCCTTTACCTCTGTTTCCACTTCCATATTTACTTCCGCCTTATTAATTCTTCGCCAAGCTTTTCGCCAACTTTCGCACGCAATGGGCACTGCTGGACCTCAACTACAAGGATTTGAACGCACTGGACACCGCTGGACCTTAACCTGGGACCTTCCGAGCTCAATGAGCACCGCTGGACCTCAACCTGGGGCCGTCTGAATTTAATGAACACCGCTGGACCTCAACCTGGAACCTCCGAGCTCAGTGAGCACCGCTGGACCTTATCCTGGTATCCTTCGAAAGCAGTGAGTACCGCTGGACCTCAACCTGGGACCCTCCGAGCTCAGTGAATACCACTGAGCCTTAAAAGCCAGATAAAATGCCAGAAGATATATTAAATAAAACCCCAGATAAAATCTTAGAAAAAATATCAAAAAATATATTAGATAAAATTCCAGAAATTATTTTATTTCGAATAATCCCTATTATGATATTTATATATTTTCTTACTACCAAATTTTCTATTATTGTATTTGATATATCTTTGGGTATTTTATTTATTATTCTATTTGGTATATTTTTTGGTATTTTATCTGACAAATTTCTTGGCATTTTATCTGGCATACCTTCTGGCATTCTATCTGACATTCTATCTGGAATATTTTCTGACATTTTTTTTGACATTCTATTTAATATATTTTTTGATATTTTATTTGACATATTTTCTGACATTTTTTCTGATATTTTGTCTCGTATATCTTCTGACATTCTTTCTGGTATTTTATCTGACATATCTTCTGACATTTTTCCCGTTGAGGTCCGGCAGTGCCCACTGCGATCTGGAAGTCGCGGTTGAGGTCCGGCAGTGTCCACTGCGATCTGGAAGTTGCGGTTGAGGTTCGGCAGTGCCCACTGGAATTTGGAGCTCGCGGTTGAGGTCGGGCAGTGCCTATTGGGATCTGGAGGTCGCAATTGAGGTTCGGCAGTGTCCATTGCGACCTGGAAGTCGCGGTTGAGGTCCGGCAGTATCCATTGGGAACTTGATTTCGCGGTGGAGGTCCGGCAGTGCCTACTGGGATCTGGCGCTCGCGGTGGAGGTCCGTCTGTATCCAATGGGATCTGGACTGCGAGGAGGAGGAGGTGGAGGAGGCGGATACGGAGAAGGAGGAGGAGGAAAATAATTTTAATAGAATCTAATAATTCTTACCTGACAGATGGGGAAATATATTGGATAAAATATCAAAAAATATATCAAATAAAATATTAAATAAAATATCAAAAGGTATACCAAATAAAATACCAAAATATTTACTAAATAAAATATCAAAATATTTGCTAAAACATATACCAGAAAAATTTCCAAATAGAATACCAGATAAAATATCGAAAAATATATCAGAAAATATGCCAGAAAATATGCCAGAACATATTCCAGAAAATATGTCAGGTAGAATGCCAGAAAATAGGTCAGATTTTCGCAATTAATGCTCACACGAAGTAGCAAGTGCCTGTCTCTCTGATGTCCACGATGTTTTACCTCACGCTAGGGGTCGCGCCGCTAGTAGCTCAAGGCGCCTATCACGCCACGGTGCCGATATGGCAAATGGAAAATATGGTTGAATGTCCTGAAAAGAGAATGACGTGTCAATGTATTCTGACACGGGGGAAAAAAATGTTATCAGCCACATTTCGGCTGAAATCAAAAGCCTCGGCCGCTCAGTTCACCTTCAAGCTCTGTCATCTAATGTACTTAGATGACTCCATGCACCCCATGATCCTGGCTCGGTTATGATAGAGAAACCATGGTGGACGTTTCTCCAAGTGCAACGTGTTTGGATAATTTTGTCTTGAACGATGCCATCTTTGATCTTTTGAATCTCATTGGCGCAGCGCAAAGACTCTGCATCACGTCGTGCTTGATTAATTCCTTCAGCAAATCCAGTCAAATACTTTCCATCGCTGATGTTGCACAAACGATGCCAGAATTACATCTGTTCCACAGTGCTGGACGTTCCAGGATACTTGCCCTGATAGCGACTGATGCGTGATGAGATGCTCGTGTTTTCATACCACCAGTTACGTACATGATGCCCGTGTTACCCAGACAAAATTTTTTGTGAGATCTCTCGCCAAAACTGCTGGTTTTCTTCTGCATAAACAGTCTCATAGGCTTCGCGCCATCGCTGCTCCTCGCTCGGATCGACATGGCTCGGCCGGGCGTAGGTCTCAGCAAACATGATGTCATTCTCATGATCTGAGTTTTCTTCAGATGCATCTTCATCGTCCAAAATTGCCTCATTGATTGGGGCCTGGACATTCTCAGAAATCATGTCATTCTGATCAAATTCATTGCGCTCAGAGACTGCCAAAAACTTGATGAAAAACCAGTGTCCAAAACGGAAATAGATCATCAAAAACATCACTGTCATGAAAATCACTATCATCCATCCAAACAGCAAATTGTCACTTGTGTTGCGCTCCACATCTTCGTGTCAAGCGGCCTCTGCACCTGCAACATTTTCTGCCGTCTCAATTGCCATAGCCATAGATGCTGACTTTTTCCACGTATCAGACCAACCGTACTTGCGATGGTGGTCAAGGTAGAAATGCCTTCGGCTGCAATACTTGTTGTTCTTGTTTTTTTCATCGATTGGTTTTCTGTATTCCGCCAGTTGACATTCTCCTGGTTTCTTCTCTCTATTCTCAATTTCTGTAAATCCAAAAATCTGCTCATTTGTTGCATCTTGAAGTTCTTTTTCTTGCGCTTCACGATCTTTCTGAGTCACTTTCTTTGCTGCCGTGAAGTTTGGGTCAAAACACATTTGATGATTGCCTCTGTTGAGAACCTCTGCAAATTTGTTTTTGGCTGATGGCTTTGTCAATCCATCTGCCAACTCCTGAAAAAAGTTGATCCATTTCCACTCTGCCTGCATTGCTTTCACCCTTTCCGCGACAATCGCTACCTCAATTGCCGTTCTTCTCTCACTGAGATGCATACCTGCAGTGACGGACTTGGAGGAGTTATAAAGACTCTTGGCGTCCGTCAAAACAAAAGACAAGCCACTCAGCTGCAACGTGGCCTCCTTCTCAATGTTCAATATTGGATTGATTATGGTGGCCCAAAAAATCTTGCACCATTCCAGTTCATCCATCGCTGCTGCTGATGCCTGAGCTTCTGCCGCCAAAGATGACCTGCACATGCGAACCAATTTCTTTGAGTGCCAGTCGACGATGGTGAGACTCATCGGCTGGCCACCTCGAAGTTCTTCTTCGCTAGCTGCAAAAATCATGAAGCCCCCTTGACTGGTTCCGTCTGGGCGAACTGCCCATGCCGCATCTGAATACATAGAGAACTTCATATCTTTCATTTGACATACGTGCTTGATCATTTTCATCTTGTACTCCTGTGCTACGTTCTTTGCAAATCTCAAAAGTTTGTTGCTTTCATTCACGTCCTTGATCTGCGGCTTTGCCACAGATGCCTGCAAAATGCTCACTGATGCTGACAGCTGTGGCATGCATTGGTTTGCAGGCCATGCAAGTGCACCCACAAGGGCACGAAGGCATCGGTACTCTTTTTCATCGCAAGGCTCATTTGGCATGGCTTTGCGATTCTTCTCAATTATAATGGGATGTACTCTCTTCACATACTCTTTCATGGAAATGGTCAAGCTGTCGTTGGCCAAAGATTGCTCCACATCTGCTCCGCAAAATCGGATGATTGGGCCAAAATCCCAGGATCCAAACCTGAAACGACGTAAAAGACCACAAAGCCGATCTCTGAAACTTGCAAAGCTGCCATCGTAATCACCTTCCAAATCTCCTGCTCCATTCACGCCTTCACCGGCGCCAAGATAGTCATCCACATGCAAGCCCATGATGCCATCCACTGCGAACATTTCTGAGCCCACGTAAAAACAAGTGAACTCTTCGTCCTCTTGACATGTCAACCTCAGACTGAGATAGACATAACGGTCCAAAGGATACCTCAGAAACTTGACCTCATTGACCATGACACCATCAGCTAATGAGTTCCATTGTCTTGGTGCTCTCACATCGCCGAAAGCTGGCTTGGTGGCTTTCAGCGGCTGAAAAGGTTTGAGGCCCATCAATCGCTCCAGTCGCCTGCGCATGTCGGCTGAAGGTCTGATGAAAATCCTAGTGTTCTGGTCAATGCTTTCTGCCTGCATGAATGCAGACTTGACATCTGTGACAAACAACTTCCACTGCTTCTGAAGTGCATAGCAGTAGATGAGGTGTTTTCCCATTCGGCTCAAAGTGGGAGATTCTGTCTCGATCTCCTTTGTCAACACATCTCGATGTTTGAATCCTTGCAAGATGACTCTCGCGTTCGCCACTTTGCCACCGGGCGCACCTGGCTTGGGCTTCCATCTCTGCAAAAACCTAGCAGGGATTGTTTCCTCTGGGTCTGCCTCCTCCATAGGAACTGCACGCCATGCCTCATTCTCTATCCAAACCTTCAAAGCTTGATCTTTCGCTTCATCAAAGAGTTTCTTTTCTTCAGGGCTGAGTCTCTTCTCATTGAACTCCTCAGCCAACAGTTCATCGTCAGATCCTACCTCTTTGTCACGAGTTCCTTCAAGCTCTCGACAAGCTCCATCAAGCTCCTTTGCGGTCAAGGGACGAGGGGCCAAACCATCCAGCTTTCTGGCTGCCTCGTGGGAGATGTTCAGCATGCGCACACGTTGATCATCCTCTGGTGGAGGGCTCCTTGATCTCTCACGCTTGTCACCTTTTTCATCTACTTCCTTCTCCAAATCCTCAAACATTTAATCCACTTCTTTGTCAATCCTCCTCTTTCGCTCTTCATCTGTTTCCACCTCCATGGGATTCTTCTCTGCTGTTGTGACTTCATCTGCTGATCTCTTCAAAGCCGAAATGGCTCCCTCCATGTTGCTGGTTCCATTGTTTTCTGCTTCTGCTGCTTTGTTCTCCTCTGCTGCTGCTGTATTCTCCTCTGCTGTTGCTTGCTGTGGTTGTTCTTGGTCTTGTGTGTCAACAGAAAACTCACCGGGCCCAAGATCAAGAAAGCGAATGGGACCACGCACAGGACGGAGGGCTTTCAGAACTCTCTTCATGGTCGGCTCTCGTGCGGCCGTGTCAGGAAAAGCTTGTGGGCGAGCTTCTCGTTCTGCAGGAACCTCTCGACGTGCCATCACCTGTCCAACGCGCACTAAAGCTGCGCCATGCGCCATCCAGTAGGTTTCTGGTCGGCCATTGGGTGCTGCTCAATTGCGCACACCAAAGCTGGACCTCGCCAACGTGAGAGCTCTTTGTCCATGTTGATAACGCCAGTAGCAGGCATAATCGCCCACAACCAGCGGACTGTCCTGTCCTGGTCTTGGCCAGCATTGCCTGACGAAGAGTGGCGTCAGTGTTGGCTTCATAGAAAGCTTTTGTTGCCAGGGCTCGGACTGCTTGATCCTCCATGTGTGCTTGTCGTCCTTGTACCCGGAGTCGTGTAGGCTCATCACTGATCCCATCATCCTCCGGTGTGTATCCAAGCACCATAGCTGCAGGAGAGATGCCATGGATTGAGCGCAGTCTGTTGCGCTGTGAGCACGCGATGATCACTGCCTTCTTGACATCCAAACTCTCGTTCTCGTGCATCATTTTCATGAGTTGTCTTCTACGAACTGCATGAAGGCGCTCCACTGTGCCCATGCGATTGTGAGAGTCCTTAGGTACCAAGATCAACTTGATGCCGAACTCATCGCACCAGGCTTGCATCTCCTCTCCCATGTGAGCTCCTGACGAGTCTGTCCGGATTCGGCGAGGTGCACCCGCCCATTGCATCCACTTCTCCAACACTGCAACCTCTTCTTCCAAAATTTCACGGCCAAGCACCTCGTTGATTTCGTACCTGGTGTGAAGATCCATCATTGCTAAGACCTTCACCTTCTCACCACGCCACTTCAGGTGAAAAGTATCCATCTCCAAAAGGTCATTGAAATGGGTTGTTTGTGGCAAAGAAGTTGTCTGTCAAGCTTTCTGGGGGCAAAGGATTCACATTATGTCGCATCTAAACTGTCGACCGCATCGCACGACACTGTCATCAAACTTCGCATCACAGAGTGCTCTGACAAGGCGGTCATTTCCTGGATGACCCTGTTGGCGATGAAGTTTCTTCACCACGTTGAGGGCAGTTGGACCAAATTCTTTGGAGAGACGTCGATCATGTTCTATGAGACGGTGTGTCGATGACTGCTTCTTCTTCTCTAGTTCTTTCTCTGTCTCATCCACTTCATCCGTGACCATGATTTGGCTAATCTGACGTTTCCTCCAATTATCCTCCATGAGATTGTAGATGACAGGATCTGCAATGGATACAAAACCAAGCTCATAGTTTTGCATGTCCTTCAGCGCAGTGCTTTTGCCCACCATCTGTACATGTGAACCTGGGGGGCATTCGCATTGGAGAGAAAGTGCATCTGCCAGTTCGACGCTTCCAGTTCTGATCCTTGTGCTCTTTTTGACCTTGCCTTTGAAAACTCCATTCTCGTAGTATGCCAACCCCGTGCGACAACGGTCGCATGTGGCATCATAGAAATTCTCCATGGAGTCCCACGTTTCTGTCTTCCATGATGCTGCTCTGTCTGGATTTTCTATGCCAGTGTCTGCAACAATCTCTTCTGCTTTGTCGTGAACGTCTTTGCAGTGCTTCAGGTGTTGTTTCTCCTCCAAGTCTCGCAGCTGATGCAAACGTTTCTTTGAAGAAGAATCCAGGGCGTTCAGATTCTGCATGGTTGACCACAAAGTGCAGGGCGGTGCCATCCAAATAAAGTGCGGTTTCTCCTGCTCCATCAATCTCAAAAAACATGCTCGGACTTCTTCTTTGCTGAAGTCCCAATCAGGCAGTGAGAAATTGGAAACTTGCACATCTGGATATTTCTCTGCCATGTACTTTGACAAATTGCCGTGATCAACGTACAACTCCCAAAACAGAAGTTTTCTCCCAGCAAAAACGTTGCTTGTTGTCTTTTCGCTCATCTCCAAAGCATCCTCCAAATCAACCTGCACATTGTCGCTGGCTGGCGCATCCTGAGGTTCACGCTCTAAACTTGGCTCAATGCACCAGCTGTCACCATTCTTTTCGGCAAGGAGGACAATCTCGTCCTTGGCCAAAACTGCATTGGGGACAATCTCGCCATCCTCATCCAAATGGTAGACTTCACATCCATTCAATCACTCCACCATGTGATTCACTTCAGCTGGTTCCTTGTAGTCCAAGAGATCCAAAATGTGTTTCTTGCGGTCTCTCTAAGGCTCAAATCATTCGGAGTTCATCACCTTATCTTTGCGTTCTCATAGTCTTGTTTGACTTTCCATTCCTCCAAAGTGGGTCTTGCCAGCAAAAATGGTGTTGGTCCTGGAACCACCGATGCTCGCAAAGACAACTTCTGGCCACGGACATACGCAGGGAAGATCACCTCATAGTTGGAGCGCAAAGTGTTTCGATCTCCAAATCGAAAATCTCTCATGACATGCTCCATTTTCACCTCCTTCGCATCTGCTGGACGCATCATGTCCATCCACTTCTTCCAAATCTCTTCACCGACTATGGTCCTTGACGCTATCCACTTCTTCCAAATCTTTTCACCGACTATGGTCCTTGACGCTCCAGAGTCGATGATCGCCTTTCCGGTGTCCAGACTGGCAAAGAGACACTCTTCCGTTGCTACCATGACGCTGACCTGCTACTGGTTGATCTCCTCCACATGCTGACTTGCTCTTCTGGAACCTCTTTAACGCCACTGCTCTGAACTCTGTATCTCTTGAACCTTGGCCCATGCTGTCCAGTTGACCCAGACAGCGTGGATTTGAAATCACTGCCAGGCGCTGTGCTGGTAGAGGAGCTCGATGGTGGTCTTCGCAAACCGCTCGCTGGCCTTCTCGTCCTCAAATCGTACCACTCTGGAAGTGATCATTCCCTCTCTAGAAGGACTTACCCCCGAAAAATGGAAAGAAACAGCCATACTGTGCCTACTTGACTGGCCTTCCAATTACAGTCTTTTACTATTGTGGCATATAAATGGGAGCCTTCATCAAACAGAGGCGCGTCTCAGGAAGCAACTGTCCCACAACCATATGTTTGCTGAGTGGACAGTCCATCTCGACAGATTCGCGGAGCGAGTTTTATTCCAGCAACCAGCAGTTTATATAGCGGAACATGCCTTGCAAACCAACCTGCGGGAACGAAATTTCCCTGATAGGCGAGTCCGCAGGAGGGTCCCTCCTGAGGATCTGGACGAACATCGAAGGGCGCTCAGAGCGCTTCATCAGCGTGCTATTGCCCAGCAAGAAGTGAACCCAATTTCATTTGGGCTCACCAATGCATGGTATGATACCATTACAGCAGACAAAAAACACCATCTTGAACATTTCACGAGAGGTATGACATGATCCCCAACTCAACCCCCTACTGTCACACTTTCCTCCGTGTGTCCACCCCCCCTATCCCATCCTCTTCTCTCTTTTGTGTTTCACTCCGGGTTTTCACCCATTAGCTGGTTTGTGTTTCATCAATCATGGTGGTGAAAGATGACTTTCGTGTCCAATAGGTTCATTTGTCACATCCACTTCAGTTAGCTGTTCATACCCAGTGTGTCTGTCCAAGGACGTGACAGGTGCACTGGTATGCAGCCGGAGACACAGCTTCCCCATTTATAATTGTTAGGTTCCTCATGCGACACATGCCTGGCTCCAACCAACCCAGATCTCTCCAGCAGTTGTGAGCCACAGTTGGCTTTGTGTGCGAGTGCCAGCTTAGGCATAACAGATCGGGCCCATGGCTCCGTTAATACCTGTTTCTCAATGGGCTCTCCCGCCGAGAGCTTAGCGTGTACTAAGGTTGCCTCTGCCATGAAAGCCTAGTGCACGCACTCGCTTTTTCGCAGTCTGTGCCTGACAATCATTGATGGGAAAGATGTGTTTGTTGTCTCCAGATGTCGTTTTGATAAACCACTCATTCCCCCACCCTATCCACCAACTAAGGCGCTTGAATTAGCTGACTCCTCCATTAGATTTTACCATTTGCAGAGCTACATTAGCTGTTGGTGCCTCTTTCTGTCTTTTTCTTGTTTGAGGTGTGACTGTTCCCTGCCTGACGTGACCCTCACTCCCCCTCGGATGTTCCTCCTTGGCGCCTTGGTCCAGGTTTTACTGGTCCCTCCCTCGGGATATCGTTGCTTCCGGCGACGGCCTTGTTGCCTTGCCTCTGTGCTTGGA